TTATGTATGTTCATTTCCTTATTTATTTATTATTATTATTATTATTATTATTTTCCTTTCTGGCGTTCTCAAACTGAGGAGTTGAATTGAAAGTCCTGCCTCTTTACTTGCTGCTGTACATTCCATACTTTGAAATGCCCTATTCTTCCTAAAGTTTAGAATATCAATATGAACTTTTCAATATATTCTAGCAAAGAATGAATTCTCCCCCTGCCAGTAAAGGCTCAGACATGGTAACTGCAAATACTTCCATATGGCAACAATCCTCAAATGTATTGATCAAAGGAGGGAAATTTCCCCTTTTCATGAGTTTTAGAGCTCAGCTTAACTTATGTAGATGCCCGTTCTGAAAAATAATTTGATGCCTTGATGCTGGGTATTACTGTGCACTGCATATGGTCATGGTAAAATGCGATCTTCCATAACAATGTGAATTTTGTTCTAATGACACACATACTATATTTTTTACTTTTGTGAAAGTTCCTTTTAGAGATTTTCAGAGCTGTCTGCTAATTGTTTTGTCTCTCTTGACCATGGAACATATGTACAGTTTTACACAGTATTATCTAGTATTGAATGAATTAGTAGGAGCTAATAAAGACCTAAAAATGAGCAAGTCTGATATATCAATCATCTCAACTTAGACATTATTTTCTCCCAAAAATTGATGGTAAAAGATTTAATGAGAAAACTTGACTTACTTACTGCCTTGGTAACCCTTCATCCCGTGTCTTAAACAATATGTGCAATGTCCTAAACAGAGCTAGAAAACAAAATTCTTAATGTATACGGTGTCCATAAAATCTTAATTGGCTTGATATTAACAGAGACATATACTAGAACTAGTCCACCTTTTAATTTTAACAATAATGAGAATACTAATTTTATTTTGCAATTAAAGTGCTTGCACTCCTAATTTGCTCTCCACATTGTACAAAGACAAAAGAAAGTAACTGTAATACCAATTATCTCCACATTTAGGAAAAAGGAGGAAAGATCTGTAGAAAAAAATAATGCAATCCAATGGATTTACAAATGGGGGTGGGGTGGAGTGCAAACCCAATCTAGGGTTTTTTTTAGCAAGCATCCCATTATTTATTACTTGGGTTTAAAGTCTTTTTTGCATTTGAGGATTTTATACTTTACCATTAATAATGAGCTGAGGGACTTTAGGTGTTCAGTGCCACAATGTACCATAGTTTAAAATGTGTGCCTCTTATCCCCAGATAATTATTTATATAATTATTGATGTATTTTCTCAGGCCTCATTGACTTAAGTCTATAGCTTGTTTAGGGGCCAGAGATTTTCAAAACCAGATGTTATTGTAAATTTTCTTTTATAAACAATATACTTTAATCATTGTAATCCAAAATTGTGTCTGAGAGTGACCATTTGGTGATATGTTGCTACCTATCGCTAAGCTTGGCTTTTTGTGAATAACCCCTCTCAAATAGTAACAGCATTTCAAAACCAAACCTGAAATTTAATTTTGGAAACATGTACTTATATGTGTACTGAAAATCAAAGATGAACAATATCTTTTATTTTTTTTATTTACTTCGTGCAAGAGGGCACGAACAACAAAATTCACTGTGATTACCAAGTGTGTTTCAGTTGTAATTACTTCCTCTTCCTCCATGGCATCTATTTTTTATTCTAACCACTTATGGATAGTGGGATGTATGCATCTATTAAAATTTTACCAAACCTTTCACTGAGTGTATTTAATAGCACAGTGACTTTCTCCTGGCAGCTTATCTTTGTGGCCAAGAATGATCCGCAGCCGTTTTTCTTAATACCCTTTTAAGCTGTTTCAGGCACCTAATTACTTAAGATCCAAAACGTAAAGGCCGCTACTGCTGACATCTCCATGGCAACCTTCCATAAAGATTTCTGCCACCTCTGTGGTGTTGAGCAATTAATCTTTATACTGCACTTTAATTCACTTCATGTAATAGAACTAGAAAGACTGAAAATGAAAACTGGAAAATTAGATTGCTTTGGACTATACTTCACACTTCGTTTTTTTGTTATTTTCCTTTCTTAAAAATAAGAGGTGGTACTAGTGAGTTGACCCTGTCAGTTCAAGGTTTGTCGCACTCTCCTTTGGCAGTAAATAAGACAAGAATCAACGTGATAGCAATGACCAACATATCAGCTCTGTTCAGCAAAATCAAAGGCACAATTGCCAAATCATAACCCCTTATTTTCAAAGTCAGTTCTATGAATGGGCGGTCCTATTATTTTTCTCCTGCTATTGAAAGGGTTTATTACACAGCCCAACCTGTTAACGGTTGGATTTAGAATATCTTTTTTCAGCACGTTACTGATAGTCCAACACATAAACACATACCTGCAGTCATAGGCCTGTTAGCCATAAAAGGAGAAAAGGAGAACTTGTTTGCCTTCTTTTGTATGTGTAACATTGTATATAGTACTGATTGATCTTTGTAGAAAACAAATTAGTTTATACCGCATATTCTATTATCGCTGAATGCTCAGTGACTTCTTTGAATAAAAACCTTTTTTTTTTTTGGGTCTATATTTTGGCTTGCTGATTTACCCATGACACTTGAACAAACCTATGTGGGTTTTATTTAACGGAAGAATCTGGGCTCATAGAGTTGCACAGAAAGAAATTCAAATGTGTTTCCTACTTCAACGTAATGCAAATCTTGAAAAGGACCCTTTCAAGGGAGTTATGTCCAAACTATTCTTAAATCAAGAACAGATATTTTAAGTGTTTTTGTTTTTAACAATACATATTTTGTAACACTAAGTTTTAATTTTTTTTATTTAGTCCTGCACTTTTATGTATTCGCAGTATCCAATATAATTCATTCCATGGTTGTAATATTTGTGAGAGGAACTGGAGGAATGTGATCTCATCTATGCTTATAAAGGGGATGCTGGCTATTTCTCAGGGTCCCATGGTGTTGGTGGGGTGGGGGAGCCTCAGTTTGGTTCAACACAGAAGAAACTCCAGTATGTATTTTGAAACACAAATGCCTTAACCAACTCGGTGCTGGGGAGGCTGTGCTATCTCCCAAGCATTGACAGGGTTGCATTTTGCTAAACTGGGATAAGGGTGAAGGGTACATTTGCTGTGTCTCCCAAGTGTCTATAAATTAGTCTCCTGATGCATTCATGTACTTCTAAAGCACCAGTCCCACTTAGCAAAGTTAGATCAAAGATACATTATGTTTTCATGGTTTTAGAGATAATTGTCTATAAAACAATAGTATGTTATATTGATTCTAAACCAACTGAGAATCAACCTGTTGATGTCATAACAAACTCACAAGTTGCAGTGATTCCAATAGACTAAAAATCACAGTGACAGTTGTAACATAACAAATGAGCATATCTAGTTAGGCATTTTAATTTTTGTAGTACTTGAAGTGTCCTCGGCAATGGACAGATATGTGGAGGGTATCACACTGTTGTATATCTAAAATTTCATGAGGAATAAAGTAAATTAAAATGGACTGTTAAGCTGGGCTGGAGCTGTAATTAAAAAAGAAAATGCGTAACACTGGGGTATTTTTTTTTCAGTGGAGCAAAGCTGTAAAGAAACCCCTCCCAGTATGTTTAAAGTAGATGTATATAGGAAATTCTATGGCATAGCGTTTCAAAAGGAAAATTTAGTTTAAAAAAATGAAATAAATAAAAGTTTGAACAAATGTATCTGGTTGATACTGCCATGGTCCTGTGCCTGGCCTGGAAATATTTTCCAGTGAGGGATGTATTGTTAATTGTCTTACATTTATTTTGTTTTTGTTTTAATTTTTTTAGGGGTTTTTTTGTTTCTTTTTTTGTAACATGGCTTTGTAAATAAAATAATTTATATGTTTGTAAGAAAAAAAAAATACTGTGTGTTTTGCATTTGTTTTCTTTAAGATGGGATGATTTAATAACTGCTGCTGTGTGACAGGATGTACCATATAGCATAGGTTGATATAATTTTTAGTTATAGGAATAAAAGGGTTCACGGCTGCCATCAGAGATCATGTGGCACTCCTAGACACACACACACATACTGACTCAGATACACCTTACCAGACACACACTGGCATTCACAAACATTAGTAGACACACGTACAGAAATATCTGAGTATATACAGGTTTTTAGCCACCATTTTGCATGCAGGGAGCTGGCTTCCGTTGTGAACTGGCTGGAAAGAGGTTAAGCGTCCTGTCTTCCCCAAAACATCATATTTTTGCAGTGCCCTAAGCAGAGCCTGGCCAGTCCCCTTAAGAGTATTGCCATTACCTACTAGACTCCCTTGAAGAATAAACCAATCCTGTGATTATTGGCTGCCTATTGTGTTGTGTATGCATGCATGCATGTGTAGTGTTTGTGTGTGGTTATCTAAGGTGTATGTATGTTGCCTGTGGTACTGTGTGTGTGGGATAATCTGTGATGTAAGGTGGATATGTGGGTTGATTGTACGATTTGTGTGTGATGGATATCTGTTGTGCTGTGTGCATGTAGTACTGTTTGTGTTGTGGAAACTGTCTTCGGCTTGGTCTGTACACAAAAACTATCAGAGCTATTTACTAAAGTGAGCACTCGAGTACATTTCAACTGTAAGATCAGGGCAGTTGAACTGAAAGCAGAGCTGAATTTTTTGATAAGCAACTATAATCGTAAAAATACTGGAAAGTGACAAATTTCCCTTTTAATTTACAATCCCCTTTAGTAAATGATTTCCTCTTGGCGCATTGTTTTAGGCTGATAAAGTTGTCTTAGTAACTGCTATCAGAGACTCCCTTGAAGAATAAACCGATCCTAATGAGACCCCAGACTAAAAAAAAAAAATGTTAAACGTTTCAGTGGTTGTTGTGAAGTGCCTGTTTTAACTGGCATGTTACCCCAGCAACAGCCTCCATCACATCAGCCATGTGCATGTCAAAACATTCATTCCAACCGCGCCCCTCGGTGACGACATATAGGTGAGACTGCGCCGTGATTGGCTGTCTTCACAATAACGCATTCAATCGATTACGTCACATAATTGTGTTCCGAATACTATTGTTATGCCAATAAAGATTTATAAAGAAAAAAAAACAAACCCGCTGCGTTTCCGTCTACTAAGCCTGGATTGGCGTCTATGGTAGTGACGTAAGCCTGCTGATTCGTTTCCTAGCAACGGAGAGACGCTGCGTTAAAGACCATGGCTGCCGGCCGGGAGATGGGGGCTGCGGACTATCTGCGGGAAAACAAAGTTTTGGAGTTAATGGACAATTTAACCAGCCTGCTGCTTTACCACCGGCCAGGTCAGTATCGGGCTCCGTGTCCAGCATTGTAATCAATGGCTGAGATCCCAGTGATGCCCACAAGGAATATCCCAACACATCAATCAATAATAATAATAATAATAATAATAAATAGTACATTGCTCTGACTCGCCAACCACAAACCCCACCGCATACATCATTACCGGGGCATTCCCTCACTATAGGGACAGATTAAGGGGGGTTATTATTGCTGCATTCTATGGGAGGACAGCTGACACAACCGAATGTCCATAGACAATAATGGAAAATAACTCAAACTGATTAACATCCACTAGCCAGACCACAGCAATAATTACCGTGGGTAGAGTGACATGTTCTGAGACTCAGATTAACAGCTTACTCTAATCCAGGGGTGCCCAAAACGTAGATCCCCAGATATGGTAAAACTACCACTCTCTTTATGCTTTGCATGCCTGTACAATGACAATAATGCCCTTCTTCTTGAAAAGCCCTGAAAACCAGTTTACAATAACTTTTACTTGCCTTAATCCAGAGCTGGACAAGGCTCCCGCTGTTTGCTCACCCTTTTGTGATATCACAGGAAGAGCGTGAAAGTCCAATCAAAGGCTTCTCATAGGACCACTTAACCCTGTGAGCACATGTGAGGAAGGAAAGGATGAGGGAAGGTAGGTGAGGGAACAAAATTGGCGAATGGAATAATGGAGGGAATGGTGAGTGAGCTTCCTCTTGCATGCTCTGCCTGCAAGGGAGAAGTGAACGTCTGTCATCAACATGTAGTGAGTGCTGATGATAAGCATTAAAATATGCGCAGAATTGACATTAGGCAGAACAGAGTTTCAGGCTGCCTGAGTTACAATATCTCACAAAAGTGAGTCCACCCCTCACATTTTTGTAAATATGTTAATATATCTTTTCATGTGACAACACTGAAGAAATGACACTCTGCTACAATGTAAAGTAGCAAGTGTACAGCCTATATAACAGGCTAAATTTGCTGTCCACTCAAAATAACTCAACACACAGCTATTAATGTCTAAACCGTTGGCAACAAAAGTGAATACACCCCTAAGTAGAAATGTCCAAATTGGGCCCAAAGTGTCATTATTTTGTGTGGCCACCTTTATTTTCCAGCACTGCCTTAACCCTCATGGGCATGGCATTGACCAGAGCATCACGGGTTGGAGTCCTCTTCTACTCCTCCATGACAACATCACAGAGCTGGTGGATGTTAGAGACCTTGCGCTCCCCCACCTTGCGTGTGAGGATGCCCCACAGATGCTCAATAGGGTTTAGGTCTGGAGATATGCTTGGCCAGCCTGACCTTTACCTTCAGCTTCTTTAGCAAGGCAGTGGTTGTCTTGGAGGTGTGTTTGAGGTCGTTATCATGTTGGAATACTGCTCTGTGGCCCAGTCTCCTCTTGCTCCTTCAGATGAGCTGAACACAACTCTGCTCACTTACAAGACATTGTTTCTGATTGTGATCACTTCCACAAGTAGAATGTCTAAAATTAAAGCCTTTACCTTTAAGAAGCCCTGTAGATATATCACGATAGGGTGAGCTTGAAAACAAAACCTGAGTTTCTACATAAGGTTGTAACAAAATTTCATCTGAATCAAGAGGTGGTTTTGCCTTCATTCTTTCCTAATCTAGTATCCTTTTGGAAAACAGATCAACCATGTCCTTCCATCAGGATCAAGAAAAGGTGAAGTTGCATCAACTTTAAAGCGTTGGATTTCTAATGTCATCCAAAAAGCTTTTTGTCTAAAAACTATTAAAATTAATTATTAATAATAATAATTATACTCCTACGAACAAGATATGAACATATTCCACAAAAGCTCTGGTTACATCAAGGGCTAATTGGGCAGAGGTTTCATTCAATGACACCTGCAGGGCAGCCACTTGGTCATCTCTATGACCTTCATTAAAGATTAGAAATTGGAAGTGGCATCTCCTTCCACCTAGTTTGGTAGAGGCCTATTATCCTCTGTGTCTTCCATTTATTAAATTTTGTGGTTTTCAGCAATATTTGAACAGTGTTTTTTGTTTTTTGTTTTTTTTAATTTATGTTTAACCCTCCCTTTTGTTCTAAATCCTTAGCTTGAGTATTACCCATAACTAATGCTACCATGATTAGCCAGAAATAAGGAAAACATATAAAATACTTTACATTACCTTCATTTTCTTTTCCTGGCTATTTATCATCAGGTTCCCACACAAATATTTCTTCTTATTGCTTAATAATTAGACTGAAGTATGCCCAACAGTCTGATTAATTTGTTTAATTAATTCCTGTTCTGTGACTGCTAGGGGTGGATCTACACATAAGTGATGCTGCCATGAAAAAAATTATGGTACGTATTTTCTACATTTTTGTTAATACTGTCCAAAAGAAAGTCCAGGCTTGGCTTTTAATTCTTTATCATTCATCAAGATTGTCACAAACGCACCCTTCTTCAAGAGTGTGCGTGACGTAGTTGTGGTGGTAAAAGGGGTTAAAGTTCACTATTTATTTGCCTGCACTAGACTGGAAATAATGATAAAATCCCCCTTAACACCACCCACACCTAAGCCTAATAATATAAATATTACTATTTTAACGCTGCTACCACCAAGACAATTAATAAATAGGTGCCTTTGTCACCCAGGTAACTTAAAGGAACACTATAGGGTCAGGAACACAAACATATATTTCTGACCCTATAGTGTTTAACCCACCATTTAGGTGGCTTACTCACCCAACCTCCTTATAAAAGTTAATAAAACTCACCTTATTTCCAGCGCTTCGTGGGTCCGCCCCCTTTGTGACATAATCAAAATGGCCGATTTTTAGTCAATCCAATGCTTTCCCATAGGGAAAGCATTGGATTGGCTTGGATTGGTTAAAATCGTCACGGGGCGGGTCCAAATGCCGTTTTGGCCTATCAGGACCTCCTCCTAGAGATGCATTGAATCAATGCATCTCTATGAGGAAAATTCAGCGTCCCCATGCAGAGCGTGGGGAAGTTGAACGTCAGGGCTGCTTTATCGGCAGCACTGACCCAGGAAGCACCTCCAGTGGCCATCTAAGGAGTGGCCACTTGGAGGTGTCCCTAGAGGCAATGTAAACACTGCCTTTTCTCTGAAAAGACAGTGTTTGCATTAAAAAAGCCTGCAGGGAACTTTTATATTCACCATAACAACTACATTAAGCTGTAGTGTCCCTTTTAATAATGAAAACCCACCAAGTACAATTTAGCACTATATTTAAGCAATTGCAAAACACTAATTAGTCTCTTCAGGTAATGTGATTCTTTACCAGACAAAGGCAGAACTTAATAAAGGAATATTTATTATGAGCAAAAAATACTCACAGTGCATACAAAAATATAGATGACAATCAAAAGATAAAAACAAAAGGGATAAAATAACAGAAGTCCTAATCACTTACTCATGTTTTCAAAGTAAAACTTCTGCCCAGGGGGTCTTTGGTAATAAACTTGGTGACTCACTTAGAATTAGATTCTGGCCCCCAAGCAAGTACAAAAACACATCTCAGTATCATTGGATACATAACCTGAGGATTACCACGCCTCGCCCAGTGGTGGAGTTAAGGCGTACCAATAGTAACTATAAGTGACAACCCCCTTGTGTTCCAGACCAACATCAATCCAAATGGAAGCATTTGGTTCTCCTCTTATGTACCTGTCACAGAAATAATAAATGAATTTACTATTTTCCCAATCCATAGATGTGTCATATTCCTTACTTGTGACCCAATATAGTCATGACTGGTCACATTCCAAATATAACAAAAATGACGCTTAATTATTATTCTGTGGGTAAATATTAATGTTTCTTTCTTTTGGATTTGATACTTGAACACAAGGCTTATAATCATTAACATATCAAATAAATTAACTCTTCAATTAAGAGGCAGAGGCCATATGGCTGAAGGCAGTTTACATTGAAACTAGACTTCCTTACAAGGCCATCGATTAATCAAAGGATTAATCCATGTTGTAAACCATCTGCCTCCTTTCACATTCCTATGCAATTTACATTATCCCTTCTGTCATCTGACCTTGCAACCAAGTGGCCAATTCATATATGCACTACACAAATTACATTAAATGCAATATTCTATTGCGCAACAATGAATTATGCACCCTTGACATGACAAAGGTCACCTTCTATATTCATCCATAAGTTTGCTGCTCTTAATTTAATATAAACATACATTTTATACATAACCCCCATGTGTACCACCCATCACATATTCCAGATAGAATAGTAGGATGCATCTTTAATTATCTAACTAATATAGGTGCAAGCTGCTCCGTATTAAATCTTCTCTAGGAAAGTTGCCCTTATAATGGAAACTAGTGATTTTATACAGGCAGAGCTGCAATGTGGTCTATAGTACTAAAAATGGGGAAAGTACTATGGAAACTAATGTAAGCGACAAGTACAAGCATTGGCGACTCCACATCTTTTCCGTCGTTTCTCTACTTTCCAAAACCTTTTTTTTTTTTTTTTTTTATATCCAAGGACACAAATAATATTTTCAAAGTATTAACAAGTATTAGTATTATTTTTACATTTACAGAAAGGCCAAAAGACTTTCTAATTGAGCAGTTGGAGAAACTGAAGCTTGCAAGGCTGGCTGATTTAGAATATCCTTGTCTTTTTGATGATTCTAATCTTGATGCCATCTTCAGAATTCTTGATCCCTCAGGCCAAGGATATATAACAGGAAAACAATACATGGAAGGTAAATAACAATGAACAATAACTGCAACCAAATTACAAACTAACCACTCCATCTTTGATTTGAACAATGCCTGGAGGCAACTGCTTAAGAAAGGTCCATGGCAAGGACTCAAAATTAGCACCTTTTTTTTTAATGATGTTTAAATACAATTTATATTTTTCTAAAAAAAAAAAAAGTGCATTTTTTTCTTTGTTAATTTTTTTTTTTTTTTTTTTATCATCCCAACCTTCATATGCAGTGTCCTTCAAGGAGTTTTAAGAAAATCTATGCCCCTCTATTCTTTCTCATCCTTAATTGAAGAGTTTAGGTCCGCCATGCTTACAGAGAGTACATAAGACAGCGGTGACACATATTTTGCAGAGTAATATGTATTCTGATAGAAACAACGAGCAATATAGTATTTTCACTATTACAGCTTTGGCCCTTATTCACCATCCAAGAGGGGGTTCTAAAATGATGTTATTCGGCCCTGTTGAAAGGTTTTACAATTCAAAGCTTAGGGAATAACGCCATCAGATTAACCTGTCCTTCACAAATTTACAACCAGGATTATCAGAATTTCTAGCATGTCTACACTGCCTCAAAATGACTAGATCAGAATGCTACAATTCAAATGCGTAGGTGTACACTATGATTTATTTGATGTTTACACACCGTAAGTGGACTGACTGTGCATGCAGCTGTCATGGACCTCCAAGTGTGTACTTTTTCCTGCTTTTCAGCTATACATTTGCTAGAAGTTAGCATTCATTGTGGCAGAGCACCTGGCGGGACTCAGGTAAGGGGCAAACTGTTGTAAAAATAATTTGCCCTTGCCAAGGAATGGTGCCAGGGCACTCCTAGCATCATAACCATTAAAGCGGGCTGTAGTGGTTATGATGTTTGGAATAACCTTTTAAGGTGGACATATATTTACGATACTTCTAGGTGCCTGATTGTATTAAATTGACAGGGACCAGAGTAATAAAGGAATATCGTTAAACCTAGATTGAAAATGTAACGTATGACCATCATAAAAATGTTAAACATAATAAGGCCAACTAAAATACACTGCATTCCTGCATATTAGTGACTGGTAATACTCTATTACAATTAAGTGGTCTGAGTGCCAGGTCCCCCTAGTTTTAACCCTGCAGCTGAAAACATAGCAGTTTCATTGCAGGGTTAATCCAGCCTCTAATGGCTGTCTCCCTAACAGCCACTAGAGGCCGCTTCCGCAATTTTCAGTGAGTTATGTTGCCTTTGAGACTGTATGGTAGCCCAGGAAAATTACCCCCATGATGGCATACCATTTGCAATAGTAGGCAACCCAATGTACTGCAAATGGGGTATGTCCGGTCTTTGTTAGAAGCCACTTGGTCACAAACACTGGCCAAAATTGGCATTCAAATTAGTTTTTTGCATTTTTCACACACAAATATTAACGCTAACTGGCCACTGTTTGTGACCAAGTGGCTACTAAACAAGACTGGACATACCCCATTTGCAGTACCTTTTGTTGTCTACTATTGCAAATGGTATGCCATCATGGGGGTAATTCTCATTCCTGGGCTACCATAGGGTCTCAAAGGCAACGTAACCAATCTGGCGAATTTCAATGTGAAAAAACTTAAAAAAGGAACATGCTATATTTGACCCTGTAACTTCCCAAAACGCCATAAAACCTGTACATAGTGGGTACTGGTTTACACGTGAGACTTTGCTGAATACAAATATGTGTATTTTACTGCAGTAAAAGCAAACCGTATTATGACATTCACTGTTAGAATGTCACGTAGAAAAAATAAAAATAAAAAAATACGCTTATTTTCTCCCAATTTTTTTATATATTTTATTCATATATTATTTTCATTCCTAAATATTTGATGTGAAATGAAAGCCCTGTTTCCCCTGAATAAAATTATATATAATAAGTGTGGGTGCATTTAATATAAAAGAGGTGAATTACGGTTGAACAGACATACAGTCAAATTGCAAGGTTTTGTTTTGATCACAACGTGTACATTTGGCTCGGTCCTTAAGGGGTTAATTGATAAAATACAATTCCACCAAACATACAATAAAACTATGAATCAAATTATCTTCACTATATATGTGTAGTTAAATGCTTTTTTTTCTTTGTTGTTGTTTGTTTTGAGGTTTGTTTGTTTTTAATAAGGTTCACAATTTATTTTTTCACATTTGCAGCATTCACAACTCTTGGTGTAGACATCAACAACATCAGTGAACCCCCTGAGAAAATTACACTGGAAGTGTTTAAGTATGAGATGTAAGTACAGTAATGACTTCTAGTTACTCTGCAGATGAAACATTTTGGTGTAATACAGTGGCTAATTAATGCCACCCTGCCTAATGATGATTAACCCCTTAAGGACACATGACATGTGTGACATGTCATGATTCCCTTTTATTCCCGAAGTTTGGTCCTTAAGGGGTTAAAGATGTGCTTTATGTATGTGCTGGTATTGGGATGATGTGTATGAAGAGGCATAACTGGAAAGTGAACTGAGAAGACTTACTTTATTATATCACAGCATGTCCAGCAATAAACTGCAGTAACTCTCAGCTGAGAGCGGCTTTACAACTGTAGTGAAAGTCCCTGTTCAGGGCCTGTGTTATATTTGTCTAACTACCAAATGCAGAACGTGCACACCACTCTCCCAACCTGGACTGAGCTGTATCTTCCTCTGAGAAAAATGAGCCATGGACTATTGCTGTGCTGATAGCCATGTGTAGGCTGTTTCACTAAATAGTCAACTGGGTTATGTTTAAACGCATAGCAGCAACTATCCGTTTACAGAACAGTTCTACTCATCCTATGTGTTGAGTAGAATTGCTCTCGGTGGTTACATAGCTGGAAAAAGACTTGCGTCCATCAAGTTCAGTCTTCCTCACATTTTTTTTTTTTTGCTGTTGATCCAAAAGAAGGCAAAAAAACCCAGTTTGAAGCACTTCCAATTTTGCAACAAACTAGGAAAAAAATTCCTTCTTGACCCCAGAATGGCAGTCAGATTTATCCTTGGATCAAGCAGTTATTACCCTACATTGAAAGATTATATTCTTGAATATTCTGTTTTTGCAAGTATGCATCTAGTTGCGGTTAGAACATCTGTATGGACTCTGATAAAACCACTTCTTCAGGCAGAGAAGTCCACATCCTTATTGTTCTTACAGTAAAAAAGCTATTTAAGCCATAAATTCATGTCCAGAAAAAGGCCCCAGAATGAGTTGCTTCTGATTAGAGTATCTCTAATTAATGGCTGCAGCCAGACCCACTAAATAGCGGTTCTCCTGGGTACTTTCAATGTATGTATCTATTTTATTTTATATTATTTTTCAGTGTTTATTTTTTTAAATAAATTATCCCTTGCAACACCCAGCTTTTCATTTAATAATGGTTTATTTTCTTTCCTGCAGGAGAACACAGATGAAGAGAGCTTGTGCAACTTTTAAAACCTAACTTTCTCAGTGAAGACATATATTTTCAGTTCTGTGCATTTTTGTTCTCTAACAGTTTTTAAACACATTTTAGAATATATACATTACATTCAGTTTCTTAACCATACCTGTAATCAATATGTATAGGACAATATTAATTAAAACATTTTGGTAGCTAAAAACAGCAATCATGTTTTAATCTAAGGCATCACGCACATATATCAACCCTACAAAGAATAATTATGGTGCATAATATCGAACGTGCTGTGGCACATACACTCAGGACTGTTTTAATGAATTGGCACGCTGGACAATTGCACGAGGTCTCTAGTAGCATAGAGGTCCCAAAGGTTAGCCAACTTTGCAGTATATTACTCTGGAAGATTTATTCAGAACCTTCAGACACTCTTTATTCAAATGTTTAGGTGGACTAATCACGTCCCTATCAGCGGTTATCTGTACATGTGATCTGGCTGTTGCGAATATATATCTTGACCTTAACGAAAGCAACGTACATGTACTAATTGTACTTAAAGGACCACTATAGTGCCAGGAAAACATACTTGTTTTCCTGGCACTATAGTGCCCTGAGGGTGCCCCCACCCTCAGGGTCCCCCTCCCGCCAGGCTATGGGGAGAGGAAGGGGTTAAACTTACCTCTTTTTCCAGCGCTGGGCGGGGGACTCTCCTCCTCCTCGGCTGCATGCGCTGCAAGAGCCGCGCGCGCATTCAGCCAGTCTCATAGGAAAGCATTCACAATGCTTTCCTATGGACGCTGGCGTCTTCTCACTGTGATTTTCACAGTGAGAAGCACGCAAGCGCCTCTAGCGGCTGTCAATGAGACAGCCACTAGAGGCTGGATTAACCCTAATATAAACATAGTTTCTCTGAAACGGCTATGTTTATAGAAAAAAGGGTTAACCCTAGCTGGACCTGGCACCCAGACCACTTCATTAAGCTGAAGTGGTCTGGGTGCCTATAGTGGTCCTTTAAGCAAGACACAATGAACGCACAGTGTTTTGAACCGTAAAGCTATAATAAAGTTCTTCTAATATTTTTAACAGTCCATGGCAGCTGCCTCCCCCTGCTACCTCCTAAACATTTGTGTGGATTAATCTCTGTTGTGCAGCATGTTTTGCAATGGTACCTCCAACAAAAACAGTGATTAAACAATAAATATGAGCTTACTTTTATTGATAAATTATATTTTCATTCCTGTGAGTAGTTGTGTAGACAGAGACCCAGAGTACTGCTTTGCCTGGGGGCCCATAATGCTATTAAGACGGCCGTGCATACACTACAGAATAAACAATTTGAGCATTTCCTGTGTGCTAAGCCGAACATTGCTTGTTGACGAAGCTCTGTTGCTCACTTCCAGTTTTACCACTAACCACAAGAGGGCTCCAATTTCTGATAATTTTGATAATGCAGTATTACCACTTTCCAACTTTCAAATAAAATATTTTTCAGTGTAAATGATTGACTGAGAGCGCTGGCAGTAATAATGAATCAAGGTGTTGTTTAGCAAATCCAGAACACTAAATCTATTGTGAATATTTCTCTTTTTAAAGGTTTGTCCCAGAATAGAATTTTTCGCTTTCTGTCTTGTGATGATAGAGAAAGGTAAGGTTTATACACCGCATTTTTCGTGTATAAGACGCCCCTTATTTATTGAGCCCAAAATTAAGAAATAAATATTTTAAATATCAAAAAGAACAACATTGATATTTTAGTGGTGACTTCTAAGGAAAACAACAAACTTCTGACTCTCATGCCTCCCATGTGCTATGGTACTCTGTGAAGTTAATGGCTCCATATTGCATGCTGGGAGACTACAGCTCCCACAATACAGCAGGTGGTGTGAGGACATGCTGGGACATCACAGAAGTATTCCCATTGCTTGCTCCCTGATCCCCATTTCCTCCCCCATAAATATAAATCGAAAATAAAGACCTCTACAAATATAAATGATATAACAGTGGACACAACAGAGGTGAGTATAAGGGTAAACAGCTGCCACTCAATAGGCACACTGTAGAAAGCAAAGACCTACCTGAGGTGGAGCAAACCTTAATATGGCTGCTCCTTTTATGATGGGGAGATGGGGGTGCAGTGATGCTATATGGCATGTCACTGAAGCTGCAGTAACAGGTGTGTGTCAGCCTGGAGTGAATGCACGGTGTCCATGCATGGAATGTCCAGAGAGCGGTTTGCACAGCATGAGTCACTATGCTTTCTGTTGAGCTGATCTTTGATATCTTCAACAACAGAGACCGAAAGCCAAACAGTGGAACAGGAGTTTGACTTCAGGACTGTCCAGCCCATAGGATGGTTAAGAGGTATACTATTGAACATAGATGTTTAAACACACTTTTTTTTTTTATTGTTTCATTTCAAACTGCCAGTTGGAGTAGAGTGTTTTATAGCATTTGACACTTGTCCATGTAATGTTATACGATGCTTACAGTACAACCATGCAGATTCAGCGAACGTAGACGAAAAAAAAAATCTAACTCAAAACTGTGCCTTCATACCTCAAGTTAAATTTATAGGAAGTGTTTTTATGCACACAATTGCATTTTCCTGCTATGTACTAATTCGATACAATGATTTCTAGAAAGAGGATTAGCCACGTGGCTTTTCTTACTTTTTTATAGCATGGCTTCTACAGAGGAGAATAAATATAAACATTAGAAGGGAACTGTCACCACCTCTATTATTTTATACAAAACTTTAATAACCAGTTAGTTGAGTTACTTTAGGTGACAATATATAAAATGGTTTTGCTTAATAACAGACCACACTCGTAGATGCTGGAGAGATCTCACCTCCTGTTATTAAATGACTGCAGAAAATAAATTGTATGTACATATTTATATATTCATACAGAAATAATTTGAGAAAATACAATGAAGCCCAATATGTAGCCTACAATGAAATAAGTCACATTTTATTATGTCCATCTGCAATTTAGCCAATCTTTGTTTCCTTTCCGAGGATCTGGATTTCTCTATTCCTTGTCATGTTTTTACAATTATACACAAATGTGCAGTCTGAATGGTACAGGAATGTACTGAGACCCTAAGAGTTCATTTATTAAATAGCTAAATGCGGTGCACTAAATTTGAACACTGCAGGCTATAACCGCCAAGCAGTGACTAACATGGGATTTGAAAATGTATACAAGAGGGTCATCCTGCCTGAATGCTGTAATTTGTTCTTCCCAATACACTGTTAAGTGAATAGGCTCTATAGTGTGTATAAACAGAGGTAAGTCAGAAAGTAACATTATCACCAAGAAAAGAATGGGTTCTGTGTTGATGTTGCAACACTTTTTTACATCAGAGATTTTAAAAAGCAGGAAAATAAAATGTATTTGTGATCTATTTATATGTGTTATTTTCCAGTATTGGGCCAGTTGGTTCGTAAATTAAAAAGGATCTCTACATCTTGTGGAGCCAGTTTATAAATACCAAGTTCATTCAGGGCTGCTGTGGCTGTAGGAAGCTTGCTGTGTAAACTGGATTTTTCCACACTCTGAGTTGCAGATTGTAATACATCCTTCAACAGCAGGGCAGGACCCACATTCAGATTCAGGATAATACAGGCTTCTTTCACACTGTGTGACAGAAAACAAATATTCTCATTTCCATCACTTCCTAATATCAGTTTTTGAAAACCTTAATTAAAGGCAAATAGCATCTATGTTAAAAGGCACGTCCAAATGGCGCTCATCACAAATGGGTAGTTATAAAACAAAATGCAGTCACCACCTCCAATTTCTCTCCTCTTATCCTTATAAAGGGTAACTCAACCCTGAGCTCCAGAGTGTATGCCTGTCCCGAGGACAGACAATTCAGTTAGCAGAGTTCTCTTCCTTGGCAGAACAGATTAGGCTACTAATGTTTTTGTGTTTTGGCCAGATATGGTGAGGTGGCTGTAGCTCCTGGATGGCTTTGTCTGGCTTTTGTGAAGGATTGCTTGACCTGTGAGCGTTGTCCTTTTGTTACAGGCTGTGGAACACATGCTGGGTCCTGTGTTCCACTCTTACCACATCTGCCCAATCTGTGCCTGGTGCCAGAAGAGGTGTAGATGCGTATGTGCACAGCTGGGAAGCTCCGTAGATGAGATTGCTGTGTGCTATGTGCATGTGCAAAGCGATTTCAGCTTATGAAGCCAGTTTTGTATACAGAGCCTAATGTCAGAATATTTTAACCCTCCAGTAACTATCTAGCCTCTCGCGTGTGTGTGTGTGTGTGTGTGTGTAACATTAGCAGTGTGCTCTCACCAGCCCAGTAACACATCTAGAGGCCTATTATGATTAGGTAGCTTTTACCTTAATAGTCGGTTTTCCTTTCTTTTTCCGCCCCTGTTATTTTAAGTGGACTATTAGACGGTAGTATGGTAAAAGAAAGCACTGTTTAGTTTTTCTTTGGGCTTATCCTTCTCTTTATGCTAGGCTACTCATCTAGTAAAGCTTTTCCTAAAGCACAAGTCAGGCTCAGAGTATCCTGCTGTATATAATGATATTTACCACTGACAACTTTATTCATTTTTAACAACTACAGCTTACTGAATTTGTTCTGGTGAGTAGAATCATTAGCTTCAGGCTTTTTGCTGTAAACACCGTCTTTTCAGAGTAAATGCAGTGTTTACATTACAGGCTAGTGATAACTTCACTGGCCACTCCTCAGATAGCTGTTAGAGATCCTTCCTGGGTCATGGCTACATAAAATGCATCCAAACATTCAGTGTCCTCCCTCTGCATACAGACACTGAACTTTCCTCATAGAGATTCATTGATTCAATTCATCTCTATGAGGAGATGCTGATTGACCAGGGCTGTGTTTGGATTGTGCTGGCTCTGCCTCTTTGTCAGTCTCAGCCACTCCTATGGGGAAGAACTGTGATTGGATCAGGCTACCACTTCTGATGATGTCAGCAGACTGCTTCTTTTTTTGTTGTTGAAGAAAACAGCATGCAGATCTAAAGCTTCTGGCTTGAATACAGTAAGATGTTGCTATATTTATGAAGGCATGAGGGGCCCAGGGGGGCTAGATGGTGGTGTTAACACTATAGGGTCAGGAATACATGTTTGTGTTCCTGACCCTATAGTGATCCTTTAAGTGTTCCACTCTGGTTTGTGGTGTTTGTTTACCATGAAATCATCTTGTTCATGCATGATACAACATGCTCTGCAATACAAACTACTTACTGCTTAAAATAGTTTTCAGGCTTTTTGCAGTAGTGTGAAAATAAAGGAAAGAGATTCCGGGACATATCAAACTGGAGTTGTGCTGCTCCTCCTTCATTAAAATGATTTGCCAAAATAACCTTGGAAAAAGAAAAAAAACTCAAATATCTAGGCCCACACAATAAACATCTGTCATCTAGCAGCAGTCTTACTTACATCTTGATAAATGAACATATCCAGCTTCTCCGCCAGCATCTGCCAGACTGTTTTAAACAGAGTATGACAGAGCTGCTGCTCCATTTGCAACAGACGGTCCCTGAGTGTGAGCAGCATCGGGCAGGCTGTACTAGACAAGGACATCATAGCTTGTTCTGACTGTGACGGCAGTGACAGCCACCTAAAATAACCAACAATAGCCATTACTAGCTGTGCAAACGGACAAAACTGTCAGCTCTACATTGCTTCACAAATGGTCCATGTAGGATGCACAGTTTTCTGGAAAATTTGCTGAAAGGGATTCTATAGTGTTAGAAATACAAATCTGTATTCCTAACACTATAGTGCCCTCTGGTCCCCGCCCCCACAGGCAAAAAGTAAAAAAAATAAAACCTATAGTCACTTATCCGATTCCAGCACCAATGTCCCTGGGTGCTGAGTCAGTGTTCTGCCTCTTCCAACAGGGGAGCCTAATGCGCATGCGCAGCCCTCCCTATAGGAAAACATTGCTTCAGTGCTTTCCTATGGGGATTTCACAGACATTGGTTGTCCTCATGTAGAGCGTGAGGACATACTGCGTCAGTTCAGCAACCAAAAGTCGCTTAACCACCAGAAAGTGTCTCTAGTGGCTGTCTGAGTGACAGCCACATGTGCAACCTTAATCCTGCAATGTAATCATTGTAGTTTCTCTAAAATTAGAGAATGTTTTACATTGCAGGACTAAATGGGTCAGAGACACTGCACCCAGACCACTCCAATGAGATTAAGTGACCTGGGTGACTATAGTGTCCCTTTAATTTATCACACAATTATAATAGTAGGGATTGCATGGAAAGAAGTTGTGACCAAGCCAGCAGTTCTTTACCAGCAACACCTCATTTATAACTGGCAGTGTATGGTGACTATCAATGCAGGAAAATACAACTGTATTCAAGCAGCACAGATGTCTCAGATCTTTTTTATGTCTTTAGCACTGAATTAGGTTATTTGCCACAAATTGGGACAGAGAAGTCAAGACATGTCTTCAACGACAGTAACAGGTCTGCTTCACTGTGGTGGTACCACCTCGTATGGAGGGATGTTACACAGCCTGGATTGAACTTGGAAAGGCATGCAGATTTATATGGTGCTCCTCCAATCACAGATTATCTTTCTGCAATCATTTACCTTTCTTTCTTGTAGATCCTGGCAGCTTCTTTAACCTCTCTGAACACATGTTCCACCTGGCGAGAGAGCATGTCACTTTTCAGTCGCTCCAGCAGGTTAATCATATCATCAAATACAGAGATTTCCATGGAGGCCAGCTGGCCAAGCTGTAACTTACTGCTGGAGGCAGTGTCTGTACAGACCTCGAGGGCAGCCTGCTGAAGCTGTAAAAAGAACTGCAGACAGGCAGACAATAAGCAAGGCTTTAGAAGAAGAGGAATACACACTACTTTTAAATACATAATAGCAGAGACATCTGTATATGTCTGTATACAAAACTGATCTCTACTTGCCATGATTTTCTTACCCTTTAGATCTGAGATAGCGTATTTAAAACAAAAAAAAAACATCCCAATTACTTTTCGAATATCTTTTCCAGATGTTTTTTTCCTAAGGCTGGCAACGAAAGTAATATGTTCCTTAACTTAATTTCCTTTTATTTTTTTGTAATGAGCGTATAGCACAGAATTAAACAGAAACAAGTTGTTGGATGAATTTAATGTAGTACACCCACAAATGACTCCTTTGAAACAAATGGAAGCTATATGAATATGTCCTCCATATGGTTCATGCAGGATGTCTACAGTACATTCAAGAAGTTCTATAATAGATATAAATGAGAGAACCTCACAAACATAGAGCTAAGGTATAGGACTGGCTCAAATCACGACCACTTTAATGTACTTAGGTGACACCTTTTCCTCTTCTTGTTTCTTCTCATACACTCAAAAGAAAGCACAAGAAAAATAGCTTCTTGTGTAATATATAAAGTACAAGGTGGGAGGAAATGGATCAAATGAAAATTGCTCACCTTAGCCAAAGCCAATTAGACTAACCTGGCTCTGGGTATTAAAGCTTGTTACCCACTAAAGGGGGGTAGCCCTTCTTTGCTGGAGGTAGATGGAGCTGACACCCATAACTCCTCTCCTACAACTGTCAAAAATAACCTACTAAGTTCTCAGTGAATACTTTTCTAGCAACCTATTTTATTACCACTACTTATCCCCTTTGTGTCAGTATACCCCACTCCCTCTAGCATTTAAGCTCATTGAGCAGGGCCCTCAACCCCTCTGTTCCTGTGTGTCCAACTTGTCTGGTTACAACTACATGTCTGTTGGTCCACCCATTGTACAGCGCTAAGGAATTCGATGGCGCTATATAAGTATCATAATAATAGTAATAGGGAACTGGTGGTGGTTGTTACCTTCCAACCCCCCTATTTTTACAATATTTAGGATTGGGTGGACAGGAGAGATATCCACATCAGTGTTGTAGCCACTTTTAGATTGGCATTTCGGACATTTATTTTATAAACGCCTATTTTTATACAGAGGACATTCACATAAATGAGAGTACTGCTGCACACAGCATTTCACATCTTTCTCTCACTCTGGTGGAAGAACAGGAAGGATCAGAACATCCTTTACACAATTGAATATATTTAGCACTTTAACCATGGTGTGTCCTGAATAGACAATTGCAAACTTTTTAACAGTCTCTCTAGCCCATAATACTTTTTACCTCTATTTGCTTTTCACTAGTACAGATTATGAGGTGCAAGCCCATGTACATAGCAGGATAGCATGATGTTTTGAGGTTTACAGCACCCACCTCTATAAAGGCGCAAGTCCAGCTCTGCCTGGTTTGAGACTAAAGGACAGTTATCTCTTTTGTATCTAAATAGGATGCAGATACATTATTTTCTTTCCAACCTTTTATTTAATAACAAACCTTTAGGCCCTCCTAATAGTTTTATCCATTGAATAAGACTCTACAGGTAAACCCTGGACAATCAGTTTGTCCGGGTGTGGATTAAAGGCATGTGAGTCAGATGAGCAGGCCAAAAAATATTTTGTCTACCTCCTATCAAGAAGCAGAAGTATTACCTATTCCAAATATAAGTACCCTATCGGGTACAATGTAATGTACTACAGGTTGAGAAGGACAGTATGACAAGAAATGTTACCCTCTATTCCCCATTTATTTTCTCTTGCTAGCTCATTGAAGCCGATGAAGAATGCTGCAGGCTATATCATCATATCCAAGATCACTCACAGACTGCTGTTGCCAATTTTGCTTTTGGCCACTGAACAGATAATTATCCAATTGTGTATATACCTTACAAGGACTCAATCACCTATGGGACAAGAGGGTAATCATATAGTTACATAGTTATATAGGTTGAAAAGAGACATGCGTCCATCAAGTTCAGCCTACCTCACATTTGTTTTTTGCTGTTGATCCAAAAGAAGGCAAAAAAACCCCAGTTTGAAGCACAATTTTGCAACAAGCTAGGAAACAAAAATTCCTTCTTGACCCCAGAATGGCAGTCAGATTTATCCTTGGATCAAGCAGTTATTACCCTACATTGAAAGATTATATCATTGAATATTCTGTTTTAGCAAGTATGCATCTAGTAGCCATTTGAACATCTGTATGGACTCTGATAAAACCACCTCTTCAGGCAGAGAATTCCACATCCTGATTGTTCTTACAGTAAAAAAACCCTTTCCTTTGCCTTAGATGAAATCTTCTTTCTTCCAGTCTAAACGCATGGCCTCGTGTCCTATGTAAAGTCCGGTTTGTGAATAGATTTCCACACAATGGTTTGTATTGGTCCCAAATATATTTGTATAATGTTATCATATCCCCTCTCAGGCGACGTTTTTCTAAACTAAATAGGTTTAAATTTGTTAGCCTTTCTTCATAGCCAATATGTTCCATTCCTTTTATTAATTTTGTAGCCCGCCTCTGCACTTTTTCTAGTGCCATAATATCCTTCTTTAGAACAGGTGCCCAAAATTGCACAGCATATTCAATATGGGGTCTTACCAGTGATTTATAAAGAGGCAAAATGATATTCTTGTCCTGAGAATGAATGCCCTTTTTCATGCATGACAATACCTTACTGGCCTTGGCCACTGCTGATTGACATTGCACATTGTTGCATAGTTTGTTGTCTATAACAATTCACAAGTCCTTTTCGTGTGTTGTTATCCCTAATTCGCTTCCATTAAGGGTATACGTTGCATGTGTATTCTTTACGCCGAAGTGCATAACTTTGCATTTTTCAACATTAAATTTCATCTGCCGTTTGAGTGCCCAGTCCCCCAGTCTATCTAAATCCCTCTACAGCAAAGTAATCTCCCACAGGAAGCTATATACACCAAATCTTCAAATTTATGATATGTATTAGATCTATCCTTACCGGCCCATTTGGATTAATCAATTTTTCAATAAAATAACAGCAATATATAATAAACAGAATGATTTGGAAAGACAAGCCTGGCATGAGTATATTTGTATATATTTAATAAGGGTCCTACTTACAACATTGTCAGCCCAGTCTCCCAGCACAGTTCCAATATAGTTGACCGCATTGAGAATTGCACAGTATTTGAATGCCAGAGGTGATCTGCTCTCTTCTTTCATCACTTGTGTTAATCGTATCCTGAAATCATCCACTAGGTCTTTCTGCAACTCCAGGAACTTAAGCTTTCGTGAGGCAGTAGGAACGTTCTTATACCTATCTGGCAGACAGAGCACGAAACATATGTCATATTAGGAATTCTGTACAGTTTTAAAGGGAAGACTTCTGCCATTCTGATCAGTTATTCATGTATTTATGTACAGAGATAATTTAATTATGGTTTGTGAAAAAGAATTTAAATAATTTCCCCCTTTAGATTGTGACAGACTGTGTCAGTCTAAGGGAATTAATGAATGGGGTGCTGGCGGCCGGAGGGAGCACTATCAGGCTCCCTTCACAATTTTTGCCAATTCTGCTTCCATGCTTCAACCCACATGCAAGCTCCACCTCCCGCACATAAGTCCCCCCCTCCCACTCAAGCAGGAAGAGGTCAAGAAAGGGCTCCCACAGTCTTCAGTGCCAGGTAAGCTTCAGCTAATTTGTCAGTGACTTTGTGTGTATGTGCTTGTATGTTTGTGTGTCAGTGAGCTTATCCGTAGTGAGCATGTGCGTTTGTAAGTGAACTTGTCTGTAGTGAGCATTTGTGTGTGTCAGTAAGCTTGTCTGTCAGTGCACTTGTGTGTAGTTAACGTGTGTGTGTGTCAGTGAGCTAGTATGTTGTGAGCTTGTATGTAGTGAGCATGTGTGTGTGTGTATATATATATATATATATATATATATATATACATACACACACATACATATACACACACACACACACTACATGGCACAGTGATTAATGTATTTTTTGTGTATGATTTGTCAGTGATTGTGTGTGTGGGTGGGGGGGTCTGTGTGTGTTTCTGTGTAAGTCAGTGATTATGTGTGTGGGTATGCGATTGTGTGTGTATATCTTTGATTATGTATGTGTGTGTGTATTTGTGATTTTGTGTTTGATGTGTTTGCATGTATGTGATTGTGCGTATAGGTGAATGTATGTGAATGAATGTGTTGTGTGTATAGGTATGTGATTGTGTGTGTGGGGGGTGGGGTCTGATTGTGTGTGTATGTATGTGATTGTGCGTATAGGTCTGTAATTTTGTGTGTGGGTATATCTGATTATGTGTGTGAATGTATGTGTTGTGTGTATGGGTCTGATTGTGTGTGCATATACGTGATTGTGCATATAGGTCTGGGATTGTGTGTGTGGGTATATCTGTAATTGTGTATAGGTCTGTTATTGTATGTGTGTTTGTGTGGGGGTCTGTGATTGTGTGTGTATCTGTGTGTATGTAAAGCTGTGATTATGTACACCCTGTTCCAAATTATGTAAATGATATTTTTCTCATTTACCTAAATAATTGATGTAAATAACAGTCAGCATACTTCTCATGTTATCAACTATTAAGAGTACAATTCAAATTGTATTGCACAAACTTCCTAATGATAACAGTATTTTTGGAGGATGGAGGCCACACCATGACTTTCTCTGGTTTTAACACCATAGCAGCCATTGATGCAGAGGTATTCTTTGCAGCATGAGATGGTGCATTGTCATGCATGAAGATGATTTTATTACGGAAAGCATAGTTCTTCCTTCTGTACCAGGGAAGAAAGTGGTCAGTCAGAAACTCCACATACTTTGCAGAGGTCATCTTTACACCTCCGGGGACCCTAAATGCTCTCTTGCCATGATTCCGGCCCAAAACATGACTCCACCACCGCCTTGCTGACGTCGCAGCCTTGTTGGAACAGGGTGGCCGTCCACCAACCATCCACTATTCCATCCATCTGGACCACCCAGGGTTGCACGGCACTCATCAGTGAACAGGACTGTTTGAAAATTAGTCTTCATGTATTTTTCTGCCCAATGCAGACGTTTCTGGTTGTGAGCATTGGTTAGTGGTGGCCGAACAGAAGGTTTATGCACAGTTGCAAGACTCTGGAGGACTCTACACCTTGATGTCCGTGGGACTCCAGCAGCTTCAAATATCTGTTTGCTGCTATGTAATGGTATTTTAGCAGCTGCTCTCTTGATCCGATGCATGAATCTGGCAGAAATCTTCCTCAATGTGCCTTTATCTGCATGAACCCGTCTGTGCTCTGAATCAGCCACAAATCTCTTAATAGTACGATGATCACGCTTAGGTTTTGGTGAAATATCAGTATGTTTTCAAACCTTGTCCAAGGCATTGAACTATTTCACTCTTTTCGGCAGCAGTGAAATCCTTTTTCTTCCCCATATTGCATGAAAATGGTGCTCTGCTTAATAATGTGGAACACCCTCCTTTAGTAGTTTTGCCTTAAATTGGGCTCACCTGGCAATCTAATTTTCACAGGTGTCCAAGATTGTTTTCACTGATCAAAATAGCCCTGAGACACAATGCCATCCCATGAGTTAAACTGAAAAGCAAAATATTTAATTTTTGTGACACTTAAATAGAATTTGCATAATAATTTGGAACAGGGTGTATGTGACTGTGTGTATAAGTCCGTGATTGTGTGTGTGTATATTTGTAATTGTGTGTATAGGTCCGTGATTGTACGTGTATGTCTGTGATTATGTGTGCATATGTGACTGTGTATAAGTCTGTGATTGATTGTGTATTATTATTTTATTATAGCGCTGTACAATGTGTATATTTGTTATTGTGCGCATAGGTCTGTGAGTGTATTTGTGTGTCTATGATCGTGTATATAGGTTTGTGATTGTGTGTGTGTATATATCTCTGGTTATGTGTGCATATGCATATACATGTGTATGTATTTAGTAGATAACTCCCTAATTTGGTATCCTTTAATGTGGCAATTCCACATAAGGATAACAAATAAGGGCGTTATCTACTAAACAAAATTAATAAAAGGGGTTAAGTTTCATTATATAAATTAATTATATTATAGATTTTATGTGTGGCCCAAGACAATTCCTCTGCGCTCAATGCGGCCAAGGAAAGCCAAAAGGTTGGACACCCATGCTTTAGTCAAAGTGTTATTAAATACCTGTAATAACGAGCAATAGAGTCATAAAAGTTTCAGCACAATCTGGGACCTTCATTTCATCCACATCAGAGATATCTTTGTATTGTGAGGTCCAGGCAGACTCCGATGACAGCATTGAGTCCATCTTTTCAAGGGCCACTGAAAATTCAGAAAGGACCAAACATTTAGCACGATGATATTGATGATACTTAACAAGTTAGTGTTATAGCATGTCAATAATAATAGTATATTTATATGTTCACGTGACAATGAAGCATCTAAATAACAAAATTGCTAGCAAATGTATAGATTTCTTTAAATACATTTTAAAAAAATACTAACGTTATTCCATCCCTCCAGGAAGACAGACTCTCTTCATTCATTCAATACAGAGGTCCAAAAGCCTAAAGGCCGTTCTCAGTTTGTGCTTAAGTGGTGGGGGGGAAGTGGTGGAGACTTCACCAAGAGCACAAGGTCAAACAACTGAGATGATGCCCACAAAGGTGGGCTAGTGGCAGCCCCGGAACAGTTTTAAGTAGGTTACTATCCACAAAGCTTCAAGAAGCTTAATTTGAATACAGTGAAATTTTTTTTTATTTTTGATAAGTATACATTTAATTGAAACAATTTAGCAAAACTTTAAAGATAGGCAACAGTTTTACTTTAAAAGGGAAATAAGGGTGAGATATTTGTACATGTGATGCTCCCTACCATGTTGGTGATGGTTATTTCTACAAGTATTTTGTTTGGCTACTGTCTGCAGAATGTGGAAGATACAAATAAAATCATATGGCAGAAGTTTTATTACACTACAAAACAGGAAACTTATGGACCGGTGCATGCTTCTTGTTCCTGATTAACAGTGAGAAGAGAAAAGAGGGGAGAGAAGAAACACATTCACATTTGCTACCTCCCATTCTGCCCTTTCAGTAGAAAGAGGGCAGAATAAAAGCATTGACCAATGTGCGCTTTCCTGCTAAACACTATATTGTGCTGCAAACTACAGCACAGATATTGCAAGAATGAATATGTGGCAGAGCTGCAAACGCACACACGAAGTAGTTTATGTTTAAAATAATTTAGCTGGCTTACACTTCCTTTCCACAGTTAGCCACCTTTGAAAAGCCACCTCTTCGGAGAGAATGTGCATACAGTTAGGCAGGTTCCCAGTATAGCTGTGTGCAGATGTGAGTTCTCTCTGAAAGAGAAGAACCTCATCCACAAGATGGCAAAACAAGATATCGTCATACAATAGGCAAGGGATGTCCACAGACAGTTTCTCCAGCACCAGCATGACAAGCCCTTTGGTAAACTCCAGCTGTAAAAAAGATACAGACACATAAGACTGCAGTGGTATTTATCACATATAAGTGGATCAATACCTAGAATGAAATTACATCACAGGTATTGGATATATAGTGATTTTCTCTGCTAGAATTGTCACAGTGTGTTTCCACTGGCAGCATTGCAATAACATACAGGGAAACATTTTATCATCAGAACAGTTTCCAAGTTATGCCTACTTTTTTTTTTCTTTTTACCTTCATCAGCAGCATTTACAGAGAGTCTTACGAGACAGATATGCATGCTACTAGACAAATTAATTTATTAGTCATTTGAGCAGGGTCCTCTTCAACCTATCGTTCCTGTAAGTTTTCTTGTAATTGTCCTATTTATAGTTACATCCCCATCTTTCATATTGTAAAGCGCAGTGGAATCTGTTGGCGCTATATGAATGGCAATAATAATAATAATACCCCAGGATACACTCCTCCTACCTTTATAGATCTTCTCAGTAATACAGAATCCACCCCACACATTGGCTTGTTGAAATCATGCCTCAGTGATCTTATCCTTTTCTGAACAATTTCCCTCTAGAGGCACAAGTGTGGCACCTACAAGAGCATTTGCTCACAGACTCATGTCCTCTCTGATGTTGAAAACTAACTTGTTAAATTTGGAAACCAATGACTTAAAAGATACTACTGTGTGGCTAGCTCACAAAGCATTCATTCATGTTGTTTCATAGTATTTATGAAACATGACAGTTTTGCAAAGGCTCTGAAAATGTAATCCTATCTTTCTTTAACTAACGCCCAAACTACCCTAATTAGATACAAAATTAAAAATATTTAGGGTTATGGTGATCCCTACAAGGATTCTGAGACTGAGTATTTTGGCTTATTTAGTTTCCCTTTTTTATTACTTTTTCACAAGCACGATTTTTCTTTATCGACTTAATAGATGTATGTATATTGTAGGTGATCTAATTGAATTTAACAAAGACTATACATGTTTTTAAGCTAAATAGCAAGAAGAATTAAATTACTAGTGGGGTCAATCTTTTGATATTTGGTCTCCCCATCTCTTTGTCTTATTGGGGACCTTGTCTCAAATTTCCTATTTTCTCTAATTCTAATTCTAATTCTATCTGGGTTAAGCCCTAATTACCTTCCAAGTGCTAATTGATTTCAGGGTTGGACTTGCGTTTAATCTATGTAGCTTTTTTCAATCTCTAAAATCCCGTACACATCATGTCAGGTGCCAGCACTCAAGCCCCTCTCTCTTACTCTTCTTCCCCTCAGCATCAATACTTACTTACTTACCTTTGCATTTATTGAGGAACTAGCCTTGTTGAGAATAGGTTGGATCCTCTCCTGTAAAAACTTAGAGTGGTTTCCAATCCACATCAGCACCTGGGTAAGGTACCATTCAGGCTAAAATAAAATAAAGCAACATACATTATCTTTAAACATACAAAAGGACAGAGTAAACTGCTACCAGGACCAGCAGGTTTTTAAAGCATTACTATTAATCCAAATACCACAACAAAAAGTTTGACCTTTCAAAAACAGTCACTATATTAATTCCATAAAACTCTCACAATGATCACAAGTTGTGGACATCAAGTGTGTAGGGTTCTAGAAATCCCCCTCTCTGTCCTATTAGAGATATTGCCACCTAGCTGAAAGCTGCAATAGAAATGGTTAGTGTAGGATTCAGTATGCTTTGTGTTGCCATGGCAGGTGAGCTTATACTTTAATGGCCATTGAAGTGATACATAAAAATCTCTATTTATTTAAATGTACATAGGGATTTGGGATGTTTTCTTTTCTTTTTATGTATCATTGCTGCTACCCAGAAGTATTGGGAGTTTGAGCCCAGGGCTTAATTTTGTATAAAAACAATAAGGTCTTGTCAGGTACTGATACAGTTCTAAGGACAGCTAGGTTACCAGAACCGAGGTTCTCTCGTCCCGTAAAGAAGCAAGTAAAAACCAATGGGCGAGGTGTTGCACCTGGAGTGTCCTTGTAGTGTGTATATTATATATGGGATAGACTGATTGTCGGTTTGGCCGATATTATCGGCCGATATTCCAGATTTTGGCAAATATCGGTATCTGCTACTATCGATACAGATATTGCCGATAATGTAAGAGGGCTGTCGCGTCTACATGGCGGCACAGGCAGCTGTCTTAGGGCACACCGTCTCTGGAGGCGCAAGAATCGAGTGACCGGCAGGAAGGAAGCGCACAGCGCTCCCTCGTGCCAGTCACTCAGTGTAGCGTGATCAAGAGGAGCAGAGATGACCGCGGTACAGGAGCTTCAGTTTCCTGTACCCAGCTGGAACGAAATGAGCCATCTTAGAAAAGCGGTCAACCCAGTGGCGGATCCAGAGCCTGATCTCGGGAGGGGCACTTGTAGATTATTAAAAGAAATAATCCAGACACAAAACCACTACAGCTCAGTGTAGTGGTTATGGTGTCAACAGTGCCGGGACCCCCTCCCAGAGTAAGTAGTCAAACCGTTTAAGAACAGTTTGACAACTTACCTGAGGTCTGCTGGGAAATGGGGCTGTAGTAGGGCATATGAGCAGTGGTGTGTGTGAGTGGTGCAATGTGTAAGGGGTGCAGTATGTGTGTGTGTGTGTGTGTGTGTGAGAGGGGGACAGTGTGTGAGCAGTGTGTGTGTGTGAAGGTTGTAGTATGTGAGTGAGGGCGGCAGTGTATGTCAGGGATGCAGTGTGTGTGTGAGTATTGCAGTGTATGTGTGAGTGTGGGCAGTGTGTGTGTATGGGGGGCAGTGTGTGTGCATGGGGGCAGTGTGTGTATGGGGGGCAGTGTGTGTGTAGTGTGTGTATGGGGGGCAGTGTGTGTATGGGGGCAGTATGTGTGTATGGGGGGCAGTATGTGTGTATATGGGGGCAATATGTGTGTATGGGGGCAATGTGTGTGTGTATGGAGGCAGTATGGGGTGCAGTGTGTGTATGGGGGGCAATGTGTGTGTATGGGGGGCAGTATGGGGGGCAATGTGTGTGTATGGGGGCAATGTGTTTGTATGGGCGGCAGTATGTGTGTGGATTCGCCACTGGGTCAACCACCATAAGGATGGTGGTATAGCCATTACAATTAGGAAGTTCTACAATGAAATCCATAGACAAATGGGGCCATGGAACATTAGGAATGGGAAGTGGATGTAACAATCTACATGGAAGCTTATGAGGTAGAACAGGCCTGGACATTTTCTTTAACATCATTTCTGAGAAAATCCCACCATAATGATCTCATGATCGCGGATATGGAGTTATTAACGCCCGGGTGTCCAGCAGTCACATTTTTGTGGAATACCTTCATGACATTTTCCCTTTCACCCAAAGGAACAAACAAACAAACAATCTATGCCTTGGTTTATTGCATGGCGCCTGAGACTGAGCTTCCATGATGGCGCCAAGCAGAGGAGATGATAAGGAAAGGACAGTGGAAGCGATGATACACTCAGGAGGAATAATAGGGGATGTCTCTTGTTCCTGTACTGATTCAGTATCAAACTGCCTAGATAAGGCATCTGCCTTCACGTTTTTGGGCCAGGCCTGTAAGTTATCAGAAAATTAAAGCGAGAAAGGAATTAAGACCATATAGCCTGTCTAGAGTATAGTCGTTTAGCATCTCCTATATAAGCCAAATTCTTGAGGTCATTAATGAGCAAAAGGGGATCCTTTGAACCCTCTAAAAGATGTCGCCACTCTTTAACCCCTTAAGGACCAAACTTCTGGGGATTAAGCGCTAGTATAATGGCCAATAATACTCTGCTGCCAATCTCATAATTACGCTCAGCGGGAGACCATTTTCTAGAGAAGTATCCACAGGGATGCAAAGGGGTATCTTGACTCTCCCTCAGAGAGAACAGCTCCTATCCCCGCTTCGGAGGCATCAACCTCAGCATGAAGGGTTTTCTGGTGTCCGGATGTATCAATATGTCAGCAGAAGCAAATCTTTGTTTGAGAAGTTCAAAAGCTTCTCTAGCCTCTTTAGACCATATTGTACTGCAAGCCCCCTTGCGCGCCATATTGGTGATGGCCGCTATCACAGAAGAGAACCCTTTGAGAAATCTCCTTTAATAATTGGCAAACACAATAAACCTTTGAATTGCTTTTAGTCCACTGGGCAATGGCCAATGTAGAACAGCTTGTAGATTATGAGGGTCCATCCGAAAGCCAGAGGCAAAAATGTTATACCCCAAACACTGTACTTCAGTCTGATCAAAGATGCATTTTTCCAGTTTACAATAAAGTTGATTCTTAAGTAAAGTTTGTAATACTTGTTTGACATGTTTGTGGTGAATCTGAAGGTCAGGGGAATAAATAAGGATATCATGCAGATATACTAGGACAAATTAATAAATATAGTCCCTGAGTACATCATTAATAAAGTCTTGGAACACGGCCAGAGCATTGCACAACCCGAAGGGCATCACAAGGTACTCATAGTGCCCACTTCTAGTGTTAAATGCCATTTTCCACTCATGATTTTCTTTAATTCTTACTAAATAGTACGTACTCCTGAGGTCAAGTTTAGTAAAGACTTTAGCCCCCTGGAGTCTATCAAACAATTCGGAAATGTGGGGAATGGGGTAAGCATTTTTAATGGTGATTTGTTTAATGCCCTGTAGTCAATGCATGGACGTAATTCACCATCTTTTTTGGATGCCAGGTGAGGATGATTTACATATGTGGCCCTTCCTTAGGGAATCTGTAATGTATTCTTCCATTATTCTACTCTCTGTGGAGATAAGGCATACACTGCCCCCTTACGTGGCATAGTGCCGGGTAGCAGATTTATGGATCAGTTATATGGTCTGTGAGGAGGTGGAATATTGGTCTGATTCTTACTGAATACCTCCTTTACCTCCCAGTATTGTATGGGAATTTCAGGAGTCTGAGGCGTAGTAATGGGTAATGTAACAATGCCCACTCTTTTGGTAATGGGTAATACACATCTCTCTGTACATTCTTTACCCCATTCCAGTATTTCTCCCTTTGCCCAGTCAATATGAGGTTTATGCTTAGTGAGCCAAGGAAATCCTAATATGATGTAACAATGCCCACTCTTTTGGTAATGGGTAATACACATCTCTCTGTACATTCTTTACCCCATTCCAGTATTTCTCCCTTTGCCCAGTCAATATGAGGTTTATGCTTAGTGAGCCAAGGAAATCCTAATATGATGGGACAAGAAGGAGAAGCAATTATCTGGAATGTAATGTCTTCCTTGTGTAGAGCTCAAATAGAAATGTTAATAGGCAAGGTTTCATTAGTAATCAAGGGTTGAGAGAGAGGTCTCCCGTCAATAGCCTCAACAGTGAGAGGTGATGATCTCTCCTTGAAAGGTACTAACGGTTTCTTAACAAAATGTATGTTAATGAATTTTCCTGCTGCACTAGTCCATCAGTGCTTTGCATGAAAAGTTATTTTTGTTACACAGGACCATAATATCAAGGAGAAACCCATTTTGGTTGTTACCAGAGGACGTATCCATCACACCTAAGACCTGTCCCCTTAAGGTTCTTATGTGCAGAAGTTTTCCAGACGTATGGGACAAGCACTCCTCATATGGCCTTCTCTACCGCAGTATAGGAATAGACCCTCTTTTCTCCTATATTGTCTTTCTGCCTCTGACAGTCTAGTGACCCCTAAATGAATAGTTTCAGGTTCGGACTGTGTAGAGAGGTCAGGAACAACAGTTCTGGAGAAACTAGGTTCCAACGACATAGTCATAAGTCTAGTTCGGTTCTGGTAATTTCTCTGGTTCTTAAAATATTATCAATTTGAATAACAAACGTGATAAGCTCATTTAATTTTTTAGGTAGATCTTTGGCTGAAATCTCGTCCAGAATTGCTTCGGATAATCCTTTTTTAAATGCAGAGATTAGCTGGCTATTAGTCAAATCTACCTCAGAAGCCAAGGTGCGAAATTCTATGGCATAATCAGATATAGACCGGTTCCCTTGTCTAATATGCATTAGGGCAGTCGAGGCGTCATCCTCCTTGCCTTATAGTTTGATTGTTAATTTGAATTCCGCAATTAATTCCTGGTAATTATGTGCAACACTCCTATTATTCTCCCATAACGGATTGGCCCAAGCTAAGGCTTTACCTTTAAGTTGGTTCATTAGGTAACCAATCTTAGCACTATCTGAGGAAAAAGATCCCGGCGAGGCCTCAAAATGATACTCAATTTGATTCAGAAATCCCCGGCATTCTTGAATACTACCATCAAAATGTGGGGGAGGAGATCAGGAGATAGTAGGTGCCTTCTGTACAATAGGTGGAGGTACATTAGGTGGAGGAGACATAGTCGGAGAAGCCTCAGGTTGTAGATGCGCTGTTCGAGTTAGAAGCGTACTGAAAGCCTGGGCAAATTGATCCATACGGTGATCATTCTCCTCTAGCTTTCTCTCGCAAGCTGCTATGTGCTGACACAATTCAGGATCTATGGCCATGTCGTAATGTCAGGATTACTAATTGATCCAGCACGTAGAGTTGTATCACACATAGGACTAGAAGGTAACGTTTTACCGGGCCTTAGAAAGGCCGGACTTAACGTACCAAAGAATAGTCAGAATACTTGCTGAAGTCAGGGACACAGAATGGGACACAACGATAAGGGAAAGCCAAAAGTCAGGGATACCAGAATACAGGGAAGTCAAAACGAAGCCAAAGTCAATAACCAGAAGTAAACGCTCAGGAACACACTCTCGGACAACCACTAAGGGAAACCAAGACATGGCAATGAGGAAAAGTAAAATTGCGTTTAAATAAGCCCTTTACAAAATTGACTGGCCGAAAATTGGCGTGGATCCGCAGCGGCCGGCGTCCCTCAACATGTTGCTGGAGTCAGGTATACAGACGCATGGCCACTGAGCACAATTACCGCAAGGTGAGGATGAATATGTTACAGGAATCCCTTTAACCTATGCTCAGGGAAATGTCCCCAAATATAGAGTAGAGGGATTCCCTGCTCTGTTGCGTTCGTCTATGTTCTGGGAAACATCCCCGAACATAGAAAAACGCAATAGAGCAGGGAACCCCTCTAATTCCCACGACAGATCGCACTTACCACCCTGCGAGAGAGCTGGTCGTAAGTGCGAGCCGTCGTAAAACAGGTAGGTTGCCAAACGAGGACCATCTGTATTTTTCATCCACTGTCCCTGTCATTTTAAATACACTATCAAAATATGTATAAAGTGTGATATTTATACTGATATAACCTTCATAAAAAAACCTACACAACAATAATTTGTTCATACAGTATCGCTCTACCCAAGAGTACTAAACATGATCTTCAATAGTGCCAATTGTGTTGACATTGCGTTTTACATGATTATCCCTTCCTTATTAAGTGACATATCTGACCAGCCTTAATATGCAAATAAATAGCCATTCTTCCTTATAGTTAAACCCTTTTGGAGATATACATCTACTCAGGTAAACACATTGGATTTCTCTGGAGTTCTCGATTCTTGTCCTCCTGCTGACTGGAAGGTTGTTGCTGTCCTGTCCTTATGCTGTGTATAGATAAGTATACACAGAGGGCTGCTATGTTTATTCATTTATTGTAGATAGAAATGCAGTGTAGTTTATGCTGGTTAGGTATGATTTAGCTTAGTGTTCCTCAGTAATAAGAGAGGCTATTTATATGTATAACTGACTTAAGCCTGAATTTAATTCCTTTGTATAAGCTTTTCAGGTGATTTATTATTTTTGGATTAATTTAAAATTATTTCATTTTATGAAAAAAAAAACATTTTAATATTAACATTTTTTTTATATATGATATTTTTTCTATTATTTTGAGAATCAAAATCATTTTAAAACTTTATCCTGAAATATTAAATCATTTAAAAGTGAATCCCAAATTATTAAATTGAGTCTTTGGTCTGCTAGGTGGAATCTGAAAATATATATTTAGTTGACAAACATCAGTAAAGCAAATATATTGGTTTGGCAATCAAGATATTTCAAATATTATATAATAGCACCACTATAATAATGAATATGCATTTTCTCCTCTATCCCATTTTTTTATCAGTAGTTATATAATAGATAACAAGGTTGGGATTGACCTAATACATTAGATTATTACCACGAGGAGGATGATGAACAATATCATTTACACACCTTACTTAAAGCATTTGTTTGTCTGTTGCCAGTAAAATGATATCGGAACCTTTTCTGAAGAGGTGAAAGCATGATCTGCATTGGAAGTGTGATTGGAGGAGATACTGGAAGGGAATATTTCTCTGGCATCTGTTTGGGTTTAGTGATTAACTCATCTCTGGTTACAAATGCTTAGGAAAGTTTGATAAAATGTGAACAGAAAAAAACCTGACAATTTCAAATGTTTCAAAATAATTTTATGAGAAATATTCTCTTGCTTGTGTCTTTAAAATTGTTTTGTATTTTTTTAACTTATTTATTTTTTACGTACATAGGAAATGTGGTAATTTAAGCAAAACTCAAAGAACACTGCCCCAAGATCCCACACTTGACCAATCCCAAGTTCCATCCCATAACTTTGCTGGCACCAGGACTTAACTGCTTATACTAATTACCCCCTGCAACACCTATTGCCAATCCCCAGATTATGCCCCTTTAAAGATATAATTACTTGAATTGTGCAAATTTTTTTTAAAGTGATTTGTAAGATTGTGTATTAATAGAATTTTGATTTGGACAAACCTGCCAAAACAAGTTTTTACACAAGTCTCATAGCATGATAGTCACTGTGAAAGAAGAGGAAGTACACATGCCCTATCACAATTGTCCACACTCACTGGCTCTGTATGTGTATCTCCAGAGGACCCTGCAAAAGGTACATTATGAAAATAAATTTGTACGGGTAGTTATTTGTATTAAATAATAAATAGTATGATATTTTCTGAATGTGAGACAACTGCAGATAATGACCAGTCAAATTAGTTAAATCAGTGGAGCACTGGTATAATTATCTCCAAGTGAGTCAACCTAATCAATTAAGACCCAATTACATAATTAGAGTAAAAAAAAAAAATCAACACATGGAATCTACAGGTGTTAACTAATTAAACATTTGTTAAACAGATACAAATAACAAAAGAAATGAATGAGAAAACATAATAAATCTTATTGAAGGTTAGGAACAATCGAGCATTCTGTTTCTTGGAGGTTTAAGTTCAGCAACCTTATAATTCTAAAGAACTATTTATCGACCAGACTAGTTTACAGTTCAGTAGGGGTCTTGTTTTAGCATTTTCCCCAAATGTCAATACTAAACTAGTATTTTAATGGATTCTTTTGGATAGCAGGCCAAATAGTTTGGTGATCATTTCTACAATCATCCATCAATACTGCATCCAATGGATACCCAGGGCAGTAAATAGAGACATTTAAGGAAGACGCATGGCTGAAATTAAGAATTAGTTTGATTTTTCACAAAAATTGTACACGGAATTAAAAATGGTTTTACTAGCGCTGTATTGATTTTGAAAGGATACGATGTCTGAAGCTTCAGTAGTTGAGAGAAAAGAGTCTCCAGGTTAGCGTACACATCTGTTATACTGGTTGAAGATGACAAAGGAGAGGATTGGGACTGAAGAGGACCAATAAAAGGCCACTGTATAAGATTTAAAACCTCTTCAAAATCACTGTGTGGAGAAAAGAAGTCATGATGTATTATCGATCAAGTGTCTGGTAACATCTTTATATGTCATGCCTTGTTTACTACCGTTACCTTGTTAATTTATCCTTTAGAATTTTATGCCAGAACTGAACTGTAGATCTTAGAAAGTTCAATAAATGAGTACAAGATGAATCCTGAAGCTTAATTGCCAGTTCTGCCATAGACACCAAAGTGTTAGCAGCTTCCGCCACATCATTAGTCATGAGATGTTGTTGGATGTTATCACTAAGGAGGAAAAAAAAAAACAACTTTTTCCTGTACCTTGTATAAATCGCCAATCACAAAATTCTTAACATCCTTAAGTATTAGTTAACGACACTAGGTGCTAATCTGCACTTTCATCACGGACACATTTAGCATTAATATCATTGAAAATAGTCTGTGAGACAAAATACGTTGATATTAACACTCTCCCCTTCTGAACAAAGTAGCCCAATCTTGACTTGTCACACTAAGAGGAACTGTTACATGTTTGCATACCTAAGCTCCTCTATTTGGGAGATCCATTTCAGATAAGAAAGATGTCGCTCCACTTCTTCCATCTGATCTATCAGCAACCCTAGATCCTCCATCCATGGGGCAGATTGAACAAGATGTTTGTCAATTAAATCTTTCACAATGGCTTCTTTCTCTAGAAGATGTCCAAGGACTTCTTTTGTATCTTCTGCATTTTTCAGAGCTGCCTGAATTCGTTTAGGTGCTTCAGATGAAACCGTGAGAACCTGGAGAGAGGACCCAAAAATATGGTCATGGAAATAGTTTTGCTCAGGACTAATGCTGCTGTATCCTCACACTAGCACGTAAACTCCAAATTAATTTCAAAGATAAAAAATATATCTCAGGAGTTTTAGAAAACAGCTGAAAATAAAAAAAATGGGTAGTTATTCCTCTTTTTCAATCTGACTGAAAGGGACATGCATCACTTGACAATTTTTTTTTTAAAATCAGAAAGTAAACATTTTGGGGAGGGAATGGGGGCAAAGTGGACGAGGAGATGGGAAAGTGAAAACTGAGATAGACATTAATGATATCTTGCACTCACTGATAGATAGGCAGTTTGGTATAAGTCAGTTGAGGCAGCTGGTATGAGGAATAGGGAGCAAAGCCTTCCTCGGAAACTGATCAAATGCCTGATCTTAAGGAGAGGTACTTATATTTATAGCAACTGATCTTACTCGCTACTGAGCACAATGGTAACACATGTGTGACATCAGTGGTACAGGGGTCGCTATCGATAGACATTGAAACCTTAATAGGTGTGAGTTAGGTTATTCCTCATGTAGCCAAAAATGTTCCAAGAATGTATAAGCATGAACCACTAAATGTTTACCACTGTAAGTGTAAATGTCTCAGTAGTACATCTTAAGTAATGGATGTGAGCGAGGACACGTTTATTTGTTTTTATTTTCAATGTTATAATAATGTTTAAATCATATTATAACCATTGGACCTTCCTGATTCCCCCGATGGCAGGAACACATCCTTTTGAATTGAGCAAAAACATGTGGCTCTCAGTGAGTATATTTCAATACTTTTAAATTAGTTTTAACAACACAGTGTACACTATATTTTATTTCTTCGTTTTACACTATGCTGAGGATTTTAATCCACCCACACCCGAGAGAGGAGGCCATTGACTAGGAGGCATCTGAAGGCTCCAGTAAATGTGAGTGCACATTTGTACAGAGCTTATTTTATATCTTGGATTTCTAACATACTACACTATATTAGTTTCTCCATTCTGTTTATGTTACATATCCAAACCATACTCTGTTGGATCAAGATCTATATGCATAGGAGGGATATCTCCAAGTGGTAAGTGGATCACTTATCACACATATCCACCTTGAACTTGAGCACTTCTTCAAGGCACTGCTCCCTCACATCATCTCCTCTTCATCATTGGAAATGTAACTACCTTTGTTATACTCAACTTAATCTTGAAAAAAATACATTTCAAAATGTTAAGCTTCCAACATATCTAAAACATCCATACATTTCCAATAGCTCCGGGAGTGTAAAACATAAAATACATGTTCCTACCACTAGCAGACAATAATCCAAAATTGGGAGATAGCGTAGACAACTCCCTTCAGCAGCACTAAATTAAGGGGGGCTCACCCCAGGCCGGAGTACTAGGTAGTGAAACCTAACCAACCATCCCACACCCCTAGGTAACACGAACCTTAACAAGGTCCCTGGAGGCAGATGAGAAATAATGAGGCAGAAATAATCCCAAAAATCCAATATAAATCAATAAAATCACAGAAACTTGCAGGAGGGGTGTAATCCAGGTCTATTAAGTACCTGTGAAAATTCCGGACAACAAAATGTCCGTCTGGGATCTCTCCATACAAAATCCAAGATGGCCCCCGAAAAGCCAGTGAAAATAAGAACGGGAATGAAAAAGAACCGAATGCTGGAGAAACCCGCAAACGGTTCAGTAAGAAACCTAACCATAAAACATACGAAATGGAAAAGAAACTACCGAATGAACAGACAACTTGAATAAGAAATAGCCACTGTTCGCAGCCAAACTAGTGAACCCAGTGGGACAAAAATCTAGCAGAACGCGTCAGAAAGGTCGCGTTTGGAGTGCAAAATGATACGAATGCGCAGAGTGCGCAAATCACAGAAATAGCGCAATCGGGGTGTCGAACGCTGTAAGAGTGGCGAACATATCCACTGAGGGGAAAGATTTCCCGGCACTCAGAGCTGATGACCATGAGAGGCACGTCTCTGAGTGTCGGGAATACGAGAATGGGGCAGTGAAAGGTAGTAAGTAAAGGGGACCTAGCTATAGAAAGGATAGGGACCCCTGTTTAAGAGGTCCTGAGGCAATTTTCTCCAAGGAAAGTCAAAATCAGTATACAGTTAAAATAGATATAAATTAAATATATAAACATAAAAATAAAATTATAATACACTAAACATAGAATAGTCAAGCCAAAGAAAATGAGAACAAAAATACTCTGACCTGACTTGTGATGGAACAGCAAAAAAAGAGGAAGTACCTCAGTGGGAGGGGCTTATTATACCTTGAACTTATCTCTGATTGACTTTCTCTTATTCCTTTATTCTTTGCGGCTATGGAGTAAGTAAAGAAATTATGCAAAATATAAAGCCTCCTGTCACGTGGTAAAATTTATTTTTAAATCTGCATATTTTGTAAAATGAAAAAGAGGACAAACTCTTCACACATAAAGCATTTTGCATGCTAAAGTTCTTTAGGAGTCTGACTGTCCCTTGAACTTCAAAAAGGGACACATTTTGAACTGACACAATTAAAACTTTGCTGCTTTTTTTTTTTTTAAATAGAGATTTCCTGCTAATTCATGCTTTGCCCTCACAGCTGATTAGGGCAGGAATATTTAAGTTAAAACAAAGAATGGTATAAAAATAACCTTCTGTCATCTATACAGCAGCCTTCTTTTTATCTAAAACGTGGCATAATCTTGATGTGGTAAGATCTTTCAAAATAGATCTGAATAAGCTAAGGAATTCAGAAAATCGAATCAACAATTTATCATTCCATTAGGTCATCAAGAAGGTTTAGCCCCCTCTATTTCGACTATTAGAGGATGGATTACGTCTAGTATACAGCACTCTATTGTTGTTGACATTGTACTGTCCTCACAATGAGAACAATCTTAAAAAAAAATAAAACTATTATAACACTTCACTTCCAGTATTAAGCAGAGACATTGTTACTTTAATGCACTTGCAGAATGTAAAAATGATTACCGGGGGCGGAGCCTGGCGCTGAACCGGACCGGACGCCATCTCTACCAGCTCCGACAATCACACACACAATCTGTGCGATATCCTGGTGACTAGCTGCCATCCGACCGTGTAAGCACCAGCTACACCACACCGAATCCCCAGATGCCCTTCCAGTACTCCCCGAAGCATTTAAAGGCAAGACGCAGGACCGGGGCCTACCACACACCCACCAACCGCGACCTCGAGTATCTCTGGGGCAGGGACCCCGCGGGAAACACAGCAGAGCTGTGACCCTTACATCACCTGCTAATGCTGCAATGGGGCGTAGAAATCAGAAGATTACCCCCGGTAACGCTCCAGAACAGAGGGATATAGGAGCTATGCTCCAGCGGCACAACTCCGCCAAGATGGCGGCCGCGGAAGGCCCGACCTCACCAGGGGCTCCCCACACAGATGCACCTGCAACACTTCAGCTGCAGAACACAACGGAGGGCTCACAGCACCAGCCCACAGCATCAGCAGGTAACTCTGAACCTGCAACCAAACAGGACCTCCAAACCCTGTACACTATGCTGCAGGACATTCAAAGCCTCCTCACTGCGGACCTGCCTATCCTAAAATCATCCCTGCATCAACTAACAGGCAGAATGGAGGCAACTGAAGCAAATATTAAAGAGCTTAGCCAAGACACCTCAACCATGCAGGCATCTATACTCCAACTACAAGCAGCCCAACAGGCCCTTTCACTACAGGTGGCAGCGCAGGAGGACAGGTACTGCTGCAACCACGTAAAAATAAGGGGCATCCCGGCCACGGTCCCCCAAGATGAACTGCCACACTACGTCAGAAGGCTGCTGGCTTCAGTACTGCCACCTGCTACCGCTAAAAAAAGAAACATCGCTGGGCTATATCGCCTACCAACGTCTATCTTAACCACCGCCAAAACACCCAGCGACGTCATACTCAGCTGCGCACTACCTCAAGACAAGGGGCAAATAATGGCAGTGGTAAGAAACAAGACCCCACTGCCCTTTGAAGATTCGCAACTGTCCTTTTACCAGGACTTATCTAGCCACACGTCACCAATCATTGAAGCGCACACACCCCCTCTCGAGAGGTCAACCATGCACAAAGGCAATTATCCCCTTCCCCACCCCACCCCACCCTGGTGAAGAGGGCAACACTTACACCACCGACACTCGAGTGCAGATATCGCTTGATCTAACTAAGATAGACATGTTACTAAACCTCTTGTGATCATAACCCATGCTAATGTAACATGTTTTTGCTAACATCCTGTTCCAAGCAACATTATTTTAACATTATAAAATGTGCTGATAATTTCATTGTTCCAATTGTTAAGTCTGCAAAATATGCTCGGGGAATGCTATTGGGGCACCACGAGCTTGCTTGTTATCTACTCAAAGCACGATAAAATAAAGAATTTATTAAAAAAAAAAAAAAATGATTACCAGACTGTAGAGGAACAACTTTCTATTTTAAAAGACACAGATCTGATGGCTGCAGGTGTGCTAAAAATAACAGCTCATCCCTGCTTTCAAACAGTATAGAAGGTTTAACTAGGTCATATAATTCATCCAGTCAGGGAGGGGTTTGACACTCTGTCATGGACGCTGACATTTTACTGTTAACATTAGCATTCCAGAGATTGATGGATACTGCTATAGCATTTTTTTTTTTTTTTTAAGAAATACATTATTTAACAGTTTACTGTATGTGGAATTGTAGCAGACTCATTCCCTACGGTTTGGTTGTCTGTACCCCCTTGTTCATTTCCTGAATGGATGGTGTGTGATCCCTTCTTTTAATACCTCCCCGAACACCGACCACCCCTGGCTCTTAACCGTAATCAAGTCATTAACTCGAGTGCTTTCCCTGGGTGGCCGCCATTTATATAACCGAACACACATGCTCCAGTGAATGGCAGCCATTTTGTCTGCCGAACACAGGCAGCGGTACATGGTCGAAAGTCTGGAACTAATTTCAGCCACACCATTCCATGAACCCACGTGAAGATTGTACCGCTGCCAGTCCCACTTCCTGGCCAACTAGACAAAAGACGTTTGGGAGACGCCCTTGTTTCTCTGGAACGGTTTTGGGCCTTTGTCTCGTGGTTGGCCGGTCAGAACTTTACCCAAATGGTGATTAAGTTCTAACGAACGGATCTGAGTGCTATTTGGACAACTTGGGTGCTCAGATCCAGGCTATTCGGGGATATAAGACTTGTGGGGATCCTGTAAAAGTTGATTGTTTTCGGGGTGTTTTCTTTAACTGAGAGATAATTGAGTTACTCAGTTTTGACTCACTTATCTCCCAGACAGAGGGACGCCTGGGAGGGGCTTGTGCATTTTTGAATGGAGACCCCATGCTGGGGGTCTGTACATAAAAGGCTCAGTTTGTGTAGAATAAATCAGTTGTTCTCCCAGAACTGTGTGCCGTCCAGTTACTGGGAAGGGATAGAGCTATTCAAATATCAGTGCCTTGTTGCTGCATTCCTGTCTTCTAGGATCCAGCGGAGATAGTATTTTTAGATTCTGTTGCCACTTTTAGCAAACTGAGATGCTTGTAATGACCATTTGTATTTATCTATTGTAATTTTATACTAAGATTTCAGGCCCTGTGTGACTTATTTTAAGGTAAATGATGTTGTATATTGTCTAAAGCCATTAATTTACCAAATCTTTATTTTATACAAAATAAGATATCTATGCACAAAATTTCTGTTTTATTATATATGCATCACTTGGTTCAAATAAATGTTATACAAAAAATGTTTTCAATAAAAATAAATAAATAATGTTCGGTAGTGAATGGTTTAATTTGCCAATTCTACATATAACAAAAGTGGAAATATAAACATCACACTGTATGTGAATACAAAACAACAAGAAAGTGTACCTATAGATGGGGAGAGGACAGATGTGAGCCTAGTCTTCTTACATAGGAAATTAAAGATATGAGGCACATCTAAAAGGACCACACAAGGTCCAAAAACAAAAAACAAATTTATTAGATATCAATAGCATCAAAAGAATGGGTGTTCAAAATGGGTGGGTTCGTCCGAAGTTTGAAAAAAAGTCCGGGTTCAGGATCGAACTTGACTCCGAACCCAAACCCCATTGAAGTCAATGGGGACCCAAACTTTTGGGCACAAAAATGCCTCTAAAAAAGTCCTGGAAAGGGTTAGATGGCTGCAAAAGGAAGTAAATTGGGGATAAGAGTAGGACAAGTGCACTGCAAGTAAATGTGGATAGGGAAATCACTTAAAATAACATAAAATACCTAAACATTTAAAATACAGCTGAGCTATAAAATAGCACTAGATGGAATCTTTGATTTTAGCTTTGGAAGAACATAAATCAAAATCTAAAGCATGGCTGTCAGGAGGATCACAAGAATTATCCATTTGAGAGAGGGTTGGAGTGCAGGGTATTCTCTTTCATTCTTCAAACTGAGCTCAACTCCTGATGCATGGAGAAAAGGCCTTCACAAGCCTCTGCTATTGTGTACATAGTTTATACTAAGTGACCCATAGGTTGAGGAGGCGGTGACCATGGCGGTGTAGGTGGAAGCGGCGGTGGAGCAGGAGGAGGTAGCCAACACTGGTTTTTATTTTTTTGTCTAACAATGGCTGGGTGAGGCCGGTATAAAGGTCTATTCTGCACAAGGTACAGACAAGTCTGGTGGGATCCATGCCTGGTTCACTTTAATAAACGTGAGCTTGTCCACGTTGGCTGTGCACACGCGGCTGCACTTGTCAGTGATAACGCCCCCTGCCGTGCTAAACACACGTTCAGACAATACACATTAAAACTACTATGTCACAGCACTATTTGACGGTTCTATTTGACTCTCAGATATGAAGAGCACGCCCCAAATTTACTATTTAGCAGTTTAGCACCAAAACAATTAGAATTTTTACAACTGCGCTGTAACCGCCCTATTTGACGTTTCTATTTGATACTCTTAGATATGAAGTGCAGGGCCCCAAATTACTATTTAGCAGATTAGCACCCAGAAAATAAGAATGTTTACAATTGTGCTGTAACCGCACTACAGGGAGTGCAGAATTATTAGGCAAGTTGTATTTTTGAGGATTAATTTTATTATTGAACAACAACCATGTTCTCAATGAACCCAAAAAACTCATTAATATCAAAGCTGAATATTTTTGGAAGTAGTTTTTAGTTTGTTTTTAGTTTTAGCTATGTTAGGGGGATATCTGTGTGTGCAGGTGACTATTACTGTGCATAATTATTAGGCAACTTAACAAAAAACAAATATATACCCATTTCAATTATTTATTATTACCAGTGAAACCAATATAACATTTCAACATTCACAAATATACATTTCTGACATTCAAAAACAAAACAAAAACAAATCAGTGACCAATATAGCCACCTTTCTTTGCAAGGACACTCAAAAGCCTGCCATCCATGGATTCTGTCAGTGTTTTGATCTGTTCACCATCAACATTGCGTGCAGCAGCAACCACAGCCTCCCAGACACTGTTCAGAGAGGTGTACTGTTTTCCCTCCTTGTAAATCTCACATTTGATGATGGACCACAGGTTCTCAATGGGGTTCAGATCAGGTGAACAAGGAGGCCATGTCATTAGATTTTCTTCTTTTATACCCTTTCTTGCCAGCCACGCTGTGGAGTACTTGGACGCGTGTGATGGAGCATTGTCCTGCATGAAAATCATGTTTTTCTTGAAGAATGCAGACTTCTTCCTGTACCACTGCTTGAAGAAGGTGTCTTCCAGGAACTGGCAGTAGGACTGGGAGTTGAGCTTGACTCCATCCTCAACCCTAAAAGGCCCCACAAGCTCATCTTTGATGATACCAGCCCAAACCAGTACTCCACCTCCACCTTGCTGGCGCCTGAGTCGGACTGGAGCTCTCTGCCCTTTACCAATCCAGCCACGGGCCCATCCATCTGGCCCATCAAGACTCACTCTCATTTCATCAGTCCATAAAACCTTTAGAAAAATCAGTCTTGAGATATTTCTTGGCCCAGTCTTGACGTTTCAGCTTGTGTGTCTTGTTCAGTGGTGGTCGTCTTTCAGCCTTTCTTACCTTGGCCATGTCTCTGATATTGCACACCTTGTGCTTTTGGGCACTCCAGTGATGTTGCAGCTCTGAAATATGGCCAAACTGGTGGCAAGTGGCATCGTGGCAGCTGCACGCTTGACTTTTCTCAGTTCATGGGCAGTTATTTTGCGCCTTGGTTTTTCCACACGCTTCTTGCGACCCTGTTGACTATTTTGAATAAACGCTTGATTGTTCGATGATCACGCTTCAGAAGCTTTGCAATTTTAAGAGTGCTGCATCCCTCTGCAAGATATCTCACTATTTTTGACTTTTCTGAACCTGTCAAGTCCTTCTTTTGACCCATTTTGCCAAAGGAAAGGAAGTTGCCTAATAATTATGCACACCTGATATAGGGTGTTGATATCATTAGACCACACCCCTTCTCATTACAGAGATGCACATCACCTAATATGCTTAATTGGTAGTAGGCTTTCGAGCCTATACAGCTTGGAGTAAGACAACATGCATAAAGAGGATGATGTGGTCAAAATACTCATTTGCCTAATAATTCTGCACTCCCTGTATTTGACGCTTCTATTTGACTATCAGATATGAAGAGCACGCCCCAAATGTACTTCTTAGGAGCAAAAAAATGGGAATTTGTCAAAGTGCGCTGTAAACACAGTATTTGATGTTTCTATTTGACTCTAAGATATGAAGAGCAAGCCCCAAATTTACTATTTAGCAGTTTAGCACCAAAACAATTAGAATTTTTACAACTGCGCTGTAACCACAGTATTTGACGCTTCTTTTTGACTCTCAGATCTGAAGTGCACCCCACTAATGTACTTTTTAGCACCCAAAAAATTTTAAAGGACCACTCTAGGCACCCAGACCACTTCAGCTTAATGAAGTGGTCTGGGTGCCAGGTCCTTCTAGGGTTAACCCATTTTTTCATAAACATAGCAGTTTCATAGAAACTGCTATGTTTATGAATGGGTTAAGCCTTCCCTATTGTAGTGGCTGTCTCACTGACAGCTACTAGAGGCGCTTGTGCGTTTTCTCACTGTGATTTTCACAGTGAGAGCACGCCAGCGTCCATAGGAAAGCAATGCTTTCCGCTGAATGCGCGCGCAGCCGCTGCAAGTATTCAGCCGGGAGGGGGGAAGAGGAGGAGAGGAGGAGGAGAGCTCCCGCCCAGCGCTGGAAAAAGGTAAGTTTAAACCCCTTTCCCCCTTCCAGAGCCGGGCGGGAGGGGGGCCCTGAGGGTGGGGGCACCCTCAGGGCACTATAGTGCCAGGAAAACGAGTATGTTTTCCTGGCACTATAGTGGTCCTTTAAGTTTTAAAACTGCAATGTGAGAGCAGTATTTGACGCTTCTATTTGACTTTCAGATATGAAGTGCACGCACGCACGCCCCAAATGTACTTCTTAGGAGCAAAAAAATGGGAATTTTCAAAACTCTGATGTAACCGCAGTATGTGACGCTTCAATTTGACTTTCAGATATGAAGTGCACCCCACTAATGTACTAGTTTGCAGAATTCTTTCCTAATCTGTCCCTGAAAGCGGTAGCATCCACTTCCTACACTAATAAGAGCTCATGTGACGTGCGGCGCTAAGTGACTCCAGCTTATATATAGAGGCTGGGTCACATGCTGCACTGGCCAATCACAGCCATGCCATTAGTAGGCATGGCTGTGGTGGCTTCTAAGGGCACACGAGTCAAATGCTTGTTGATTGGCTGACCTGCAGTCTTTCAAAACGCGCCATTAAATCGCCAAACACCGAACTCCAACCCGAACATACACTGATATGTCTGTGTTTGGGTCCGGAATCCAAAAAAACTTAATGTTTGGTACGAACCCAAACTTTACAGTCCGGGTTCGCTCAACTCTAGTCACATCCCTATAGAGATTAACATAATTCAGCATTTGGAAAATGTATAGACAAGACCGCCACATTTTTAAAACACAGTTACAAGTTCTTAATACATACCTGTTCTTCCAGTTGTTTTTTCTCCTGTGCTATGGTCTCAATGAGACTAGCCACTTTCTTTAGGGACTTAAAATCATTCCCAATTTCCTTCTCGACAAACTCGCAGACATAAGATGGAATATCACACGTATCAGGGTCTAAGTGATCAATGGTACCACTTATCTTCTCTTGGTCACTGTTACTTGAGTTGCCACTGACATCAGAAGCCATATTTTCGCTGCCTGCAAAATACACAGGGTAACTGATCAGTGCTCACATTTCCGTAAAGGGTAATGTTTTTTAACTATGGTACACATGCACATTTTACATAAATATTGACTTCGGTAATCTATCATTGTAAATAACCATGTAGAATTTAAGGGTAAAGTGGATTAAATAAAATAAGTATATATATTTTCACTGTGATGCTATAGTATGTTACTAGTGGTGTTTGCTTGAACCAAGACTGGTTCTAAACAGTTCATAATAAAAAGTGAAGGTATTAACCCCTTAAGGACCGGCCTGTTTTTGCGATGTTGTACATTAAGGACCAGGCCTCTTTTTACAATTTTGTGGTGTTTGTGTTTAGCTGTAATTTTCTGCGCTCTCATTTACTGTTCCCATACAAATTATATATTGTTTTTTTCAGGACAAAAGGGGCTTTCTGTACATACCATTATTTATATAATCTCATGTAATTTAATTTAAATAAAAAAAAAAAAATGATGAAAAATTGAAAAAAATACATGTTTTTTTACTTTTACTTGAAAAATATTTTACTCACCTACAAAAGCTAATGAAAAAAACTGCTAAATAGATTCAAAATTTTGTCCTGAGTTTAAAAATACCCAGTGTTTACATGCTTTTTTTTTTTATTTGAAGTTTATTGACTTTTTCAAATATGCATAACTTGGGAAGGGTTAGGGTACAGAAAGGAAGAGGGGAAGGGTGGGGGGGGGGGGAACAGGTTGTCAGCATTCACGTTTATACAGTTGTACAGTTATACATTTATGCATAGGCTTCTAGGTACAATTACATTTTCCCCGCTGTGCAGTTAAAGGTTTTTCGTGACATATCTCCCTCTGTGTGCTGCGTGGCCATAGCTGGGGTGGTTGCCTTTACACCTAGTGGGCGATGGCGACTCCACCTATTGTGGGCCTTGGTGGGTGGTTTGCATTATACCCTCTAGTGTGTCTATAGCTTGTCTATAGCTTCCAGCCCTCATACCTCGGGTTTTGCGTTAGCCTTCCATGTCTTGTGTGCCTCATATATATGAGTGCGTGTCCCAAATTGTGCCGCTGCCATGAGTTCGTACTCCCAGTTTTGTTCTACCTGTTTTATTACGTCCTGGAAGGTGGGGGGCGTTGTTTTTTTCCACAACCTGGATATCATCAGGTTTGCTGATATGAGGGTGTGGTAGAGAATTGTCCTAATGTGTTTCGGGATGCCCCTAGGTAACATAAACAAAATGCATGTTTGTGGGTTATCTAGCCTGGGTGTCGGGAGCAGTTTTTGTAAAAGTTGGGTCACCTCCTTCCAAAGTGGGCTAAGTTTGGCGCAGGACCACCAGATATGTAACATGGTCCCCACCTCTCTCCCACATCTCCAGCATTTGTTGTTGGTGGTTGGCCACATCTTGTGGAGTTTGTCTGGCACTAAGTACCAGCGGTACAGTAGTTTGCGTTGCAATTCTAGGTGCGTGTGGCATGCTGTGAGTCCCTGGTGTACCAAATATGCACGGTCCCATGTCTCGTCTGGAAATGTCTGTCCTAGCTCTTGGTGCCATACCTGTTTGATCTTATCTAGTGTTTGTGTTTGTGTTGTGATCAGCTCCTGGTATCCCCAGGACAGGGTTTTCCCTAGTTTCTTTATACCCACACAGTGTTTTTCAAATTTCGTCATATTTATTCCATCTTCCAATTCGTCTTCAGCGCCTAGTTTGCTTGAGACGTAGGATTTTAGTTGCATGTAAGAGAATACGACCTTAGTGGGCAATGTGTATTCCTCCTGGATAGCCGGTAGTGGTTTCAGCCGCCCCCTGTCTATCACCTGATATATATGGTGTATTCCCCATTTCGCCCATGTCTCCCACGGGAAAGTTGGGATGTCCAGCCCTATTGTTTGGATTGGTGTGGCCATGGGAAGTGTTTGCTTTGCCACCAGTTTATCTCTTATTTTGTGCCATATTTGTAGTAGAGTCTGGGTGCTGGGCAAGAGTTTGTCCCGGGTGTGCCTGGGGCATTTTTCCTGCCATATCAACGCTCGTAGGTCCCGTCTGGGTGCCCAGTGCGATTCTATGGCTACCCATTGCGGTGCCTTGGCGGAGAGGTGTATTTGTGATATGTTATGGAGGTACGCTGCTCTGCAGTAGGCCGTCAAGTTCGGGAGGCCTAACCCCCCCCTGCGTACTGTCTGTTGTAGTGTCCCTGCTGCTACTCTTGCTTTTTTCCCCTCCCAGATGAAGGTGTTGATGGTGTGCTGCATGTTTTTGAGGTATTGCTTTGGTAGGGGTATCTGTAGCGTACGAAAAAGGTATTGGATTTTTGGTATTAGCGACATTTTGACTGCTGCTATGCGTCGTGTCCACGACAGGTACTTCCCCTTCCATGCTTGCATGGAGTCTGTGAATTCTTTGTGCATGCGTACATAGTTGTGGTGGAATAATTTAGCAGGCTTTTTTGTAAGTTTGAGACCAAGAAAGGTTAGGTGGTCGGTTCTCCAGTCTAGGGGGAATGCCCCGCTCAGTCTGGACATGAGGTTCGTGTCTAGGTGCATCCCCAGTGCTTGTGTCTTGGTGACATTTAATTTGTAGTATGCAACTGCACCACACGTTTCTATGTGTAGCATCAGATTTGGCAGGGAGATTAGGGGCTGTGTGAGTGTGACTAGGATGTCATCTGCAAATAGATTGAGCTTATATTCCCTGTCTCCTATGGTGATACCCTGTATGGACGGTTCTGCCCTAATCGACGCTGCTAGTGGTTCTAGTGCCAGGATATACAGTAATGGGGACAGGGGACACCCCTGCTTGGACCCATTCGTTATATTGATTTGTTTGGACACGAATCCTGCATTAAGTACCCTCGCTGTGGGGTGGGAGTATAGTGCCTTTACACCATTTATGAATGAGCTAGGAAACTTGTATTTTTGGAGCACTGCCTCCAGAAAAGGCCAATTAAGGCGATCGAAGGCCTTTTCTGCGTCCAGAGAGAGCAAGACACCCTCTGTCCGGTTTCGTCTTAGGCTATGTATGAGGTCGATCACTTTCCTTGTGTTGTCTGATCCCTGTCTGCCTGTGTTAAAGCCCACCTGGTCGTCATGTATCAATGCAGGGAGAATGTGTTTCAGCCTATTCGCCTGTATTTTGGCGTAGATTTTTGCATCTGTATTAAGTAATGATATTGGCCTGAAGTTTTGACTGCATGTGGGTGGTTTACCTGGTTTTGGGAGTGTTATAATGTGGGCTCCTAGCATGTCCACCGGGGCTTCTGCTTTATGGGTGATGGCATTGAAGGTGTTTGTTAGGTGTGGTGCGAGAATGGCGGCAAATTGTTTATAGTATGCATTGGTGAACCCATCTGGTCCTGGTGCTTTCCCCTTGGGGAGGCTCGCTATTACCTGTAGTACTTCTTCCTCTGTGATAGGGGCTTGTAGGCCCTCCCTCTGGTCCTCATTGAGGCCCGGCAGTGAGATACCCTCTAGATATCGTTCTATTTGTGTTTGTGATGGTTGGGGAGTATTTGAGTCCTGTCCCAGGTTATACAGGGTTGTGTAGTAATCGGCGAACACATCGCTGATGTCTTTGGGTGTTACCCTTTTTTCCCCTTCCGAGTTCAGTATGAATGGGATTTTTGTTTGTGCGTTCCTGTGTGACAGTCTCCTCGCTAATAGTTTGCTGGCTCTATTTCCCTGGGTGTAGTGGGCTGCCCGGAGCTTCCGCATTGTGAATCCCATTTTTACTAGGTCATGTTTTTTGCCTTCGTCTGTGACTAGTTTAATTTGTTCTAGGAACTGTGGGGTGGTGTTAATTGGTTCTGTTTATTTAGGTTGTAGAGGGTAGTCAGCCATTCTTTTCTTTTTGTTTGGGTTGCCCTTTTTATTGCACTCGCTTTCCCTATGAGAAGTCCCCTTACAACTGGTTTGTGGGCCTGCCACAGTGTTTCTGGCGTGATATCTGGGGTTTGGTTCGTGGCAAAGTAGTGAGAGAGGTCGTCTTTTACTGTGTCACAGTATTGTCGGTCTGTTAGTAGAGATTCATTTAGTCTCCACGGGCTGCGGTGTTTGTAATCGTATGCGTCACATAGCTCTAAAGTTATTGGGGCATGGTCCGACCATGTTATGGTGCCTATCGAGCAGGACATGATGTGATTGAGGTGGGCACCTTTTATATAGTACCCGTCGATTCGCGAGTATGTGTTATGCACCTGAGAGAGGAAGGTGTAGTCCCTCTCCCCAGGGTGTTGCAACCTCCATGCGTCATAGTAGTCGTGTTCTTTGAGCAAGCGTACTAGTGGTTTACATTCCCTCTGGAGGGTAGCTGATCTGGGGGTATTGGGCTGTACTGTGGTATCCCACTTGGGGTCCAATATATGGTTGAAATCACCACATAGTATAGTAACGCCCCTCTGGACCGATTGCACTAGTGTGATGACTTTATGTAAGAAATTCCTCTGGTGCGTGTTGGGTGCATATAGGTTGACTATCGTGTATTCTAGGTTGTTGATTTTGCAGATCATGATAATATATCGTCCCTCTTTGTCTATGGATACGTATAGCGGTTTGAAGGACACATCCTTGCTGATGAGGATGGATACCCCTTTCGTTTTGGACGCGGAGGTGCTATGAAATTGTGCTGTGTATTGCGCCTGGGCCAGGGTTATTGGTTTTTTGAGCTGTGTTTCCTGCAGGCACACCACATCGGGGCATTCCTTGCGCAGGTCTCTTATGAGGCAATATCTTTTTACCGGGGTATTTAAACCTTTTACGTTATGGCAGTGTATCTTCATATTTTAATGTGTTGTGTTGGAGTTTCTTGCTTTTGGCCTGTTGTACTACCCCTCCCTGGGTCCTGTGGTCTCCAGCTCGGAGGTTTACTACGTAGTTCCCAACCTGTCTGGTGGTGGGGGCAAGGGTGGGATGGTGTACAGGGGAAGAATCAGTCATGCTATACATATGCATGACCTTTGGGGTAAACAGTGCAACATAAAACAAAACATACAATATCACATTATTACAATTGAACATTTCCCACTGAAGGGTGGGGCACCAGTTATGTGGTGCCAAGGGGGTGCGTGGTGTACCCTGATGAATGATGTGTGTGGTGTTGCCAGGCGAGCGTGCTATGCCCATTACTCGCCGTCTCTTGGCCTGCGTGTGGCTTGTGACTAAGTTGCGAAAGGTGAGATGAGTGTGGTACCAGCTTGGCTGGAGCGTAGCGTCTAGACTGGACTGTGTATAGGTCTGAGCTCCTATCAAGTTGTTGTGAGTGATGCTTTTTTTTTTTTCCTTTCTTACTTCATTAAGTGTGCTGGGCATGGACATATGCCATGTTAATGGTGCGGCTGTGTGTAGTGTGGAGCTAGTAAGAAGTTGTGTGTGTGCGTGTCTTGTGTGCCAGGTATACTTGCGACCCAGTGTCTGTCCGCTCCCTCCTGAGTCTCTGTCAAGTCCCATCTCTTGCTTTGATTCCCCTTTTCAGATCATTTTTTGGCCCTCTTCCACTCCGGAGACAGTCTGCGCTGATCTGCAGCATTTGTCCCTACTTGGGCTGGTTGGATGCCCCAGCTGCGCAGTAGTTTGTGGCCTTCCTCTGGCGTGTTGACCGTTGTCAGTGTGCCATTCCTTCTGATCAGCAGGCGGATCGGGTATCCCCACCGGTACTGGATGCTGTTGTTGCGTAGGGCCTCTGTGATCGGTCTGAATTCTTTCCTTTTCTGTAGTGTAGCCGCTGACAGATCTGTGAAGATTTTTATGTGGGTGAATTTTTGTGGCAGATCTCTGCTCCCTCTCGTGGCCTGGAGAATTGCCTCTTTTACATGGAAGTAGTGGAGGTGGGTTAGCACATCCCTTGGTGTGTCTGGCGGCTGGAACGTTGGCTTTTGGACCCTGTGGTACCTGTCCAAGATCAGTACCTCCGCCGGTAACTCGGGGGTCAACGCTTTGAAGTACTCTATTAGGTAAGGATGTAGGTCTTGTTGTGACACCTCCTCCGGTATGCCTCGAATTCTCAGATTTTGTCTTCGAGAACGGTCCTCCAGATCCATGATTTTTCTTTGCGACTGGTCCAGTTGCTGCTGCAGGCTGTACATTTGGTCTGCCAGCTCATTATGAGCAGATGCCTGCTCCTCCACGCGCTGTTCCACCCGCACGGTTCTGTCCCCCAGCTCCTGCACGTCTTTGCTGAGCTCCCTCAGGGTGCCTTTGGATGGACGCCAGAATTTTGCTGGACATGTCCTCCAGGTAGCAGTTCTGCAGGAAGTCTTGTGTTACCGGTAGGTTGTGGGAGCCTGTGGGTGTCCGTAGCGGCAGTGTGTCATTCCCGCCGTCACCATCTTGGGCCTGGTCTAACAGGCCTGCAGCTTTCGGCGTCGATGCTCGGGCCACGAAGAACTCCGACCTGTCGTTTTTTTTCCAGCCTGTCTTTTATGCTTTGGGTGGGACATCGTTGGGTGAGTCGAGGGTTTTGCTTTTCCCCGCAGGTAACTGCTTTTTTTCTTAGCTTATAGGGCTAGCTTGTAGCGGAGCTCAATCCCGTGCATGACCAGCCGCGTTGCTCGCTAAGCCACTGGACCCCCAACATGCTTTTTTTTTTTTGCAAGTTATAGGGCTATAAGTACTGTAGGATATTGCGGTTCTCAAAACCCACATCTTTGGAAAAATTTATCATTATAGTGACATTGTAACACACTATTATCTGCGTCCATAAATCTTTGGAAAACACCCCACATGTATATATATTTTTTATTAAGTAATGACAAGTTTTGACCCAGGGAATTAATCATAAGGATATTTTGACACTTTCTATGCAGCCATTTTAGGCCACCAGTCTCTAGCCAAACCTTCGCATAGGTAGTCTTTTTTTTTTTTCCCCTTCCGAGTTCAGTATGAATGGGATTTTTGTTTGTGCGTTCCTGTGTGACAGTCTCCTCGCTAATAGTTTGCTGGCTCTATTTCCCTGGGTGTAGTGGGCTGCCCGGAGCTTCCGCATTGTGAATCCCATTTTTACTAGGTCATGTTTTTTGCCTTCGTCTGTGACTAGTTTAATTTGTTCTAGGAACTGTGGGGTGGTGTTAATTGGTTCTGTTTATTTAGGTTGTAGAGGGTAGTCAGCCATTCTTTTCTTTTTGTTTGGGTTGCCCTTTTTATTGCACTCGCTTTCCCTATGAGAAGTCCCCTTACAACTGGTTTGTGGGCCTGCCACAGTGTTTCTGGCGTGATATCTGGGGTTTGGTTCGTGGCAAAGTAGTGAGAGAGGTCGTCTTTTACTGTGTCACAGTATTGTCGGTCTGTTAGTAGAGATTCATTTAGTCGGGCTGCGGTGTTTGTAATCGTATGCGTCACATAGCTCTAAAGTTATTGGGGCATGGTCCGACCATGTTATGGTGCCTATCGAGCAGGACATGATGTGATTGAGGTGGGCACCTTTTATATAGTACCCGTCGATTCGCGAGTATGTGTTATGCACCTGAGAGAGGAAGGTGTAGTCCCTCTCCCCAGGGTGTTGCAACCTCCATGCGTCATAGTAGTCGTGTTCTTTGAGCAAGCGTACTAGTGGTTTACATTCCCTCTGGAGGGTAGCTGATCTGGGGGTATTGGGCTGTACTGTGGTATCCCACTTGGGGTCCAATATATGGTTGAAATCACCACATAGTATAGTAACGCCCCTCTGGACCGATTGCACTAGTGTGATGACTTTATGTAAGAAATTCCTCTGGTGCGTGTTGGGTGCATATAGGTTGACTATCGTGTATTCTAGGTTGTTGATTTTGCAGATCATGATAATATATCGTCCCTCTTTGTCTATGGATACGTATAGCGGTTTGAAGGACACATCCTTGCTGATGAGGATGGATACCCCTTTCGTTTTGGACGCGGAGGTGCTATGAAATTGTGCTGTGTATTGCGCCTGGGCCAGGGTTATTGGTTTTTTGAGCTGTGTTTCCTGCAGGCACACCACATCGGGGCATTCCTTGCGCAGGTCTCTTATGAGGCAATATCTTTTTACCGGGGTATTTAAACCTTTTACGTTATGGCAGTGTATCTTCATATTTTAATGTGTTGTGTTGGAGTTTCTTGCTTTTGGCCTGTTGTACTACCCCTCCCTGGGTCCTGTGGTCTCCAGCTCGGAGGTTTACTACGTAGTTCCCAACCTGTCTGGTGGTGGGGGCAAGGGTGGGATGGTGTACAGGGGAAGAATCAGTCATGCTATACATATGCATGACCTTTGGGGTAAACAGTGCAACATAAAACAAAACATACAATATCACATTATTACAATTGAACATTTCCCACTGAAGGGTGGGGCACCAGTTATGTGGTGCCAAGGGGGTGCGTGGTGTACCCTGATGAATGATTGTGTGGTGTTGCCAGGCGAGCGTGCTATGCCCATTACTCGCCGTCTCTTGGCCTGCGTGTGGCTTGTGACTAAGTTGCGAAAGGTGAGATGAGTGTGGTACCAGCTTGGCTGGAGCGTAGCGTCTAGACTGGACTGTGTATAGGTCTGAGCTCCTATCAAGTTGTTGTGAGTGATGCTTTTTTTTTTTTCCTTTCTTACTTCATTAAGTGTGCTGGGCATGGACATATGCCATGTTAATGGTGCGGCTGTGTGTAGTGTGGAGCTAGTAAGAAGTTGTGTGTGTGCGTGTCTTGTGTGCCAGGTATACTTGCGACCCAGTGTCTGTCCGCTCCCTCCTGAGTCTCTGTCAAGTCCCATCTCTTGCTTTGATTCCCCTTTTCAGATCATTTTTTGGCCCTCTTCCACTCCGGAGACAGTCTGCGCTGATCTGCAGCATTTGTCCCTACTTGGGCTGGTTGGATGCCCCAGCTGCGCAGTAGTTTGTGGCCTTCCTCTGGCGTGTTGACCGTTGTCAGTGTGCCATTCCTTCTGATCAGCAGGCGGATCGGGTATCCCCACCGGTACTGGATGCTGTTGTTGCGTAGGGCCTCTGTGATCGGTCTGAATTCTTTCCTTTTCTGTAGTGTAGCCGCTGACAGATCTGTGAAGATTTTTATGTGGGTGAATTTTTGTGGCAGATCTCTGCTCCCTCTCGTGGCCTGGAGAATTGCCTCTTTTACATGGAAGTAGTGGAGGTGGGTTAGCACATCCCTTGGTGTGTCTGGCGGCTGGAACGTTGGCTTTTGGACCCTGTGGTACCTGTCCAAGATCAGTACCTCCGCCGGTAACTCGGGGGTCAACGCTTTGAAGTACTCTATTAGGTAAGGATGTAGGTCTTGTTGTGACACCTCCTCCGGTATGCCTCGAATTCTCAGATTTTGTCTTCGAGAACGGTCCTCCAGATCCATGATTTTTCTTTGCGACTGGTCCAGTTGCTGCTGCAGGCTGTACATTTGGTCTGCCAGCTCATTATGAGCAGATGCCTGCTCCTCCACGCGCTGTTCCACCCGCACGGTTCTGTCCCCCAGCTCCTGCACGTCTTTGCTGAGCTCCCTCAGGGTGCTTTGGATGGACGCCAGAATTTTGCTGGACATGTCCTCCAAGCAGTTCTGCAGGAAGTCTTGTGTTACCGGTAGGTTGTGGGAGCCTGTGGGTGTCCGTAGCGGCAGTGTGTCATTCCCGCCGTCACCATCTTGGGCCTGGTCTAACAGGCCTGCAGCTTTCGGCGTCGATGCACTCCGAATGTCTTTTATGCCATCCAGCCTTGCTGCTCTAAAGCTTTTTGGGTAAGTATAGGGCTATAAGTACTAGGATATTGAGTGACATTGTTATTATCTGTCATAAATCACACACAATGTACTTTCCACTGCAATTACCACCAGTATTCGCATAGGTAGTAGGTGACATCACTGCCAAAAGGCCACATTTGGCAGCTGCCCAAATAATGTGTAGTTGCGCACATGTCCTATTTGGGACATCTCCTGAAAAGTAGACACCCTAGGGTGATACACATGCACCTATTTGTCATAGGTAGTAATGCTTGGGCATTGATAGATGTGTCACTGGTGGCAACATCTCCTGAGTACAGTGAGCATAGGCTTTTCAAAAGGCACATAGGTGTGCAGTTTTCCAACTTGGAATGGACATAGTCAACTTGCACCCATATCCTATTTGGGCAACGAAAAGTAGATATTTTTAATAGCACTGAATTCTATTTGTCTTTTGGCCTACTCTCCATGCATTTATGGTGAGTACAGTGATTTTTTGCTGGCTATCCCAACGTGAGGTATATCTCCAGTTTGGTGTACATCAGTCCATGAAAGTGTATATTTTTATCAAGTAGACATTCCAGGGTATTTTATATGGGTGTTTTAACATCATTTCCCCAACCATTGTGCTAAAATATTTTCAGAGAACCTGCATGGTGATAATTTGTGAATTCTGCTTTTTGATTTTAGCCAGCAGGTTATATGTTACTGACAGAAAACACCCCATTTTTTTTTCTGCAAAGTCCCCTGAGTACACCTATGGCCCCCATGCATTGGTTTGCCACGATTTTACAGTAACACATTTTGAACTTGCCCATTTTGGCTGAATATAGTTTGCTTGCTTTGCTAGGCACATGTTGAGTGTGGTGCATTTTTCCATCCCCCAAGGTGAATTTATGGATTGAAAGTATATATTTAAATAAAGTACACATCCAAGGTTTTGACTTCTTTTCCCCAACCATTTTGCCCCTTAATATTCAGAGAAAGTGTGTGGTGGTAATTTTTGAATTCTGTTTTTTAATACACACTTTGCTTTTAGATTTCGGCCACAATACTTTTTTAACCAAATGTGTAGGTATCAAATGCACCTTTAGCAGCAATCTCTGAACTAACTCCTGCAAAAAAAAATCTAACTGGAGATTTGGGGAAAGGAAACTAACTAAAATGTTCTGCATTCAAAAGAAACAAAAAAAAAAAAAATCAGGAACAAGTCTTACAAAAAGGTATGCTCTGTGTGGTAGAGCTTAAAACTTGTTCCAATACATAATCCGGGTTTTAAAGGGCAATCGGGACAGTGAGAGGGGGTGTCTGTCCTTTTCTCTTTTTTGTAACAGACCCAGCAATGTTTCTGGGGATTTGTTTTATTTGCAGTGGAGGGGGGGGGGGAATCTTAAAAATATAATGCGTAGCACCAATTCTTGATTCCTCTGGCTCCGTTGTTGGAACTTCAACGGAACCATCTCCATAAATGATTGTTGAAATCACTTTTAGTTGAAATTGGAGAAAGGTGGTTCTTCCAGGATTAATTTTTTTAAAAAGTATAAACGAATTGTGGGTTGCTTCTTGCATCAGATAGATAGCCACCTTTTTGTACCAGGCTTTAGTTTTTCTTAAAATAAGATTTGGCTGCATGAGCTGATCAGCCAAATCTACACCCCCCTTGTGCCTGTTAAAAGCTCTGACACAAACAGGTTTGGAATTTACTCTGCCTCGGACAGTGACGTCTGACATGCTTTCGTCATGGATGGTGGTTAGCATGTTAACATCCTTCCTGTCCTTAAATTTAATTGCAAGCACTTCAGCTTTGCGCAGAGCTTTGGATTGACCTTTTTTTAATTTGGCCTCTACGTGAGGTCTGGGGAAATCTTTGGAGTTTTTTCTAACAGTGCCGCAGGCCAGTGTCTGCAAACTATAAAGTGATTTAAACAAACGGTCACTACTATAGAAATTGTCCACATAAAGGTGGTAACCTTTATTTAACAAGGGGGTCAGTAGGTTCCAAACTATTTTCCCACTTGTCCCCAGAGTCAGGACAGCCAGGAGGGTCCAGTTGACCATCTTTTCCCTCATATACGCGAAAGGCAAACGTATAGCCACTTTCTCTCTCGCACAATTTGTAAAACTTGACGCCATACCTAGCGCACTTTGAGGGAATGTACTGTTTGAACCCCAATCTCCCTTTATATTTCATAAGGGATTCATCAACAGATACATTTTGCTGGGGAGTATAAACATCAGAAAATCTTTGCTGCAGATGGTCTATTAGTGGGAGTATTTTGTGAAGCCTGTCATATTAGGGGTGATCTTTGGGGTGACAGAGGGTATTATCATTGAAATGCAAGTATCGCAGCACAAACCCATATCTTGCTCTAGACATTATTTGGGAGTATATAGGACTAGAACAGATTGGGTTGGTGCTCCAGTAAGAGCGGATTGATGGCTTCTTTATTATCCCCATGAGTATGGTAAGAGCCCAGAATTTTTTGAGTTCAGGGACATCTGTGGGATGCCAAGCATGCTCCCTGACTACATAGCAACCTGGATTTGCATAAAAAAATTGGGTAGCATAGAGATTAGTCTGGGAAGCAATCTCCTCCCAGATTGTATCCTCCAAAAATAACTCCATATATTGTATAGCGGAGAAGTCCTGCACATTGACATTAATGTCTGCGTTGGCACTAAAAGGGGGGATGTTGGGCTCAACTAACTGTGGAGGTACCCAGTCCTCCTCCACATTCGGCGTAGCAGAGGAAGCACAGCTTCTTTTTGCAGCTGGTTCACAGACAGATGACGTGTCGCTAAACTGACCTGGGTCAAAATCGGACGCAGTGTCAGTGTCAATTTCTAACACATAGTTGTTGTTTTTTTAAATAGACTAAAACAGACTAAGACAGACTTTAGCGGCAATCCCTAAACTAACTCCTGCAAAGAGAATCTAATGGAGATTTGGGGCTAGGAAATTGACTAACTAAAGTTTGACGCTTACAAAAAAAAAAAAAAAGTCTAAAAAGACACTAAAACACTTTTTGACAAGAAAAAAAATCCTTAAGTGCAAAAAAAAATAAATTACAGGCAGTACTAATGCGCTGCTGTAATAGGACTTGGCAGGGAAGGGGTTAAAATTTATTTGATTTTTTTTAAGTTCTAGCAACTCTTTCACACTGGCAACAAACTATCCGCTCTGATCTCTGTCTCTCTCGCCTCACAAAACGCTACACAGGAGAGAGAGGCAGAGATCAGTGTCAAAGTGAGTGTTTGTAACACCCACTTTGACATCAGCCAATTGTGAGCGATCGCGGATCGCTCACATGCCGCAGTTGGCTGTTACTATCTGCCTGGGATGCCGGGCAGATAGTAACAGCGGGATTTCGGCGGAAGCGATCTCTGATCTAGCACCCAAGTCTTCATGGAAACAATAAACTAAACATTCATCATTGTATTATATAATAATGGAACTGCACCCAAGTCTGCCTGTCTCTTACAGTGATGATGACTGACAGGCAGATTTGAGAGTAAGTATGGGCACAGCCCTGTCAACCCATTTCCATTAAAGAGATTTTCTAGCTCCAGAATCACTACAGCTTAATGTAGTGATTCTGGTGCAAATAGTTTGTCCCTGTGACCAAGCTTCTGTACTCCGACTTAGTACCTCTATTAAAGTTACCCTCTTACTGGAATAGCACAGTGACATGTTACACATCCATGGACAGTAACAGCTTCTAAAAAGCACCCAGATCAGAAGTACCCAACCAAAGTTATGATTGTGTAAAGTGTTGGCCGCTCTGCTTCTATTCACAGGTCCGATGCAGAGTTCCAGGCTGCCACCGGGTAAGTGACAGTTAAAAGGAACAAGTCTCTCCAGTTCCATGGAAAGGGGGCTTCCCCTAGCCCTCGATGTTTTACGGTGATCCTCCACCTTCCCTCCAATTAGAGAGCCTGTGTGAGTGGTGCAAAATGGAAATTGGGGGGCGTCTAGTGTCGAAGAAAATGGCCGCATAATTCCACATTCGTGGAAAAACGCATAATCAGCACAACTCTCCACACTTTTCGCCGATAATGGGCCGTGCAAAGAAGTCGACGGAAACCGCCGGTACCCTAAAACCACCGGGGTCCGGTGGAGAGACATCCATCCGCACCTTCCTCAAAGCGGCCCGGGACCAGGCATCGCAACGGGAGACGGAAACCACAAGCATCACTCTGGAGTTCCCTCCATCTACCCCAGCAAGGTTCTCACCATCACCCTCTATCTCATCAGAGGCACCAGGGATGCTTGATTGGGAACTGCGGGCCATCATTCTCAGCCTGTTCACCAAGGTGGACTTTGAGGCCCTGTTGGATCGCCTGAGCCGCGTGGTGTGGGAAGAGGTTGCCCAACTACGAGCAGACCTAGCTAACATCGAGGCCAGTGTGTCAGAGACAGAAGCAGACTCACAGTCACTCTGCACAGATCTGGAATAGACAACGACAGCGGTCACAGAGTGTACAGCGGACATAGCCAACCTGACCACCTGGGTGGACGACCTCGACAACCGCTACCGCAGACTGATTCTCCACGTCCGTGGGATGACAGTGTGAAGCTTGGCTGAACATCTGAGAGCTATCTTCAGCGAGGTACTAGGTGGTCCACAACTGACCCGTCTAGGCCTGGTGAGAGCCCTCCGAGCGCTGCGACCACCATCAGCACCGGGCGAGCATCCCAGAGACATAGTATGCTGCCTGGACAACTATCAGTTGAAGGAAGGAAGGAAGGAAGGAGGGAAGATGTCCTGTGCACAGCCCGCCACATAGACCCACTCCACATGGAAGGCCAAACAATTACGATCTACCAAGACTTATGCCGCTACACCCTTCAAACCAGACAAGCCCTATGCCCTGTCACCTCTGCCCTGCAAACAGCAGGAATCCAGTACCGCTGGAGCTACCCCTCTTCCCTACAGGCACGCCTAGGTCAAGAAACAATGATGGTGCAGAAGCCAGAAGATGTCCCCGGATTCATGCGCTCCCTGGGATTCCTACCAGTTCCGGTCCCCAATTTTCAAGCAAGCTCCTTCCTCCCGCAATCATATGGCCCCATGCAGCTACCTGGGCGAGACATGGGCCAAGGTAGGCCCCAACCACAGCGCTACCCAGCAAGGCGTCCTGGCCAAGCCAGGCCTGAGGAGTAGCGGCACACTATGCACCGCAGTGTTCTATGCCCGTTGGAGTGGAGTTGGAGCTCTGGTCATGGACTGAGTGGACTCACACTACATGAGTACTATACCTGGGGGACACTGGCTGACTATGCTACACTTAGAAGCTGCAAGTGGGGATGGGCACCCTCTTTGTTTGGGTTGGGGGATTCGGGCAACACTAGGGGACCACAGGACACAGGGAGAAGGGGCACTGTAGTGGGTTAGGTGCACAGATGCCAAGATGGGAACGACAAACACCGAGACACTACCTACCATCCCCCTCGCTACTCCATGCTATGATTCACAGAAAAGGATAGGGAAAAGTTAGCCTAGCCTACATGCCCACAAGATGCTTTTACCCACACCGCCCTATAAGCTTGAGGAATTGCACATAATCAGCGATACAGGAAAGAGCCCCTACTTATAGAGAGAATATAGAGAGGTATAGTGAGAAGGAGACCTAGCAGCAAGGCCGGGGGTAAAAGGCGCCTTACGCCCCAGCCAGAGACTAGTAACAAATACCATACAAGGGCTGACAAAACCCGGCCCAACCTTCACCCTCACACGGTACGCGCAGCAGAGACCACCAAAACTGTGTACCTAGGGAATCCTCACAGGGCTCTTATCCAATGCCTAAAACTCTCCCACACAAGCCACCCCCAAGCGCAGCAAGCCACGACCCCGGCCGGGCAGGATGGCCGCCATACACAGGCATCAACATTCACCCATGGCCAAACCGGCAATGCAACCCGCATTCACTCACACCGCTGCGAAGAGGTGCAGCGAACCCATACCTCTAGAGGCCACACCATAGAACAAGGAGCTTACCTATAGGTACATGCTCATAGGACATACCAGGCAAGCGCCAAATACCAGGAGACAGTGAAGTGTCCACTGGAAGACTAGAGTTAGATGACTCACCCCCCAACAGGTATAGGACATAGCAGGATCCCGAAACAGGGATACCGCTTTGCTCCGGGAGTTGACTTGGGCACCCAGCCAAAGAGGCCCCGAGACGCTCATCGAAACCTTGTCCATTGACGTGAGCTACTCCCTCAACTGAGGAGAGGACAACTCGAGCCGTGGTTGGGTTGTCTCACCACACCAGTTACTCACTAACTAACACACCCCTCACACTACCTCCCCCTCCAACCTTTTTTTTTTTTTCTGCCCAGTTTCCCTCATCCGTCCCCCCTCGCAACGGCCCCGCCCTAGCTGGTCATCATGGGGATGCTGGTCCCAGGGGACACCCAGAACGCCTGGGAGAATCTGATACTCCTCTCCTACAATGTTCATGGCCTTAAGTCGGCAGGGAGGAGCGTAGGTGGAGCCCTCAGCGCTGGACTACGTTAAGTCACTAAAGGGGTTTTAACCCCTTCAGCAACTTGGGATGGGGGGGGTGGGAGGTAGAGGGGCACTAGAGGGTCCTGTAGTGCCAAGAAAACTAATATGTTTTCTTGGCACTGGAGAATCCCTTTAACCCCTTAAGGACACATAACATATGTGACATGTCATGATTCCCTTTTATTCCAGAAATTTGGTCCTTAAGGGGTTAAAGAGATTTGCCTCCTCCAGTCAAGGTGTTGAGGCTACGGATTAATTTGGATTCCCCTGTACAGTCCCGATTTCTTTGTGAATAATCGAGCAACTTTTTGGAACAGAACATATAAATCCCCTCTTCTCTATAAGCTGACTGTTACAAGAGCTTTTAAGGTGAATTTTTACACCTCACCAATATATAGTTAAAGTGATAAGTAAACATAATATTAAAAATCCTGGGAAGAGACCGTATCCATTTACCATAGTATTGCATTAGTTCCTATTTCTTTCACACCCATATGCATTGTATCATTTACAAAAATAACACTGTATAGTTGCATTATTTTTATGTTGACAACAGTATACCTTTTTCAGATGACATGTATAGAGCATTTGACTCTATGTGTGCCAGACTTGTGCCCAATGCATTTCTATGCCAGGGCGAATTATGCAAATAATTATGTCTCCAAGAAAATCACATATTTGTTTCTTTGTATTTTTTTTTTTAGAACCATCTAGTTATAGTACACATGCATGAAGTGAACACAATCTGATTCAATAAAATACCCATTTTAACTGTACTACACATGCAAAAACAATCATAGCAATATGACAGCTAAAAGCCTTTAATATGTCACAAAGCTGACAGCCATAAAATGAATATAATATAATAAAATAAATATAATGAATGTGTGCACCTGGGGGGGTTTGTATAGCTAGTTTTATTTTGGTTTAAGAAACTTGGCATTAGATTATTTATCACTACATGACAATGAAACATCTATGTGATAACTAAAAGGCAGCCCAGCAGCTGCTTGGCAAGAGGTATAATGTTTACCTTCCCCCACCACCAGATGCTAGAGCAGGGGTTCATCCCAAACTGATAAACTCCTCTCTCACTCCAGGGTTTGTAGATCCCTCAGACAGACCCCCTGTAATTACTGACCTGTCACTGAGCTGCACCATGTACTTATTGCCTGTATTGTCCCTGCAGGGGACTGGCAGCCAGCACACTGCACAGGGTCACCAACACAGCACATACATCACTTCCTGATGCTGCATGACCATGTTTTTTTTTTCTTCTTTCAACTAACTTTATTGTCGTATGGAAACGGTACAAATGTACACCCTAGAAGCAAAGCTGATAGCGTTACATTACATGAATAAAACTGAGCTGATATGAATAGTTGTTGTGATATATCCCGAGCTTAAAGGTATAGGTGGAACTGCATTTAAATAAATTCTCAGACCATATCATCCCTTACAGGTCCTTATTTAAGAAGGACAGCCCCTACTTTGGGGCCAAATCCCTGTGTCACTCTTTTTTAGGACCTCTATATTAACCCCATAAGGACTGAGCCAGTTGTACACGTTGTGATGTAAACAAAACCTGGCATTTGCGCTCATAGGCGTGCGCACAGGGTGTGCCGGGTGTGCCTGGTGACACCCTAATCCCTGCGGCACGCCTATGGATTGAGACTGGCAGGGGAGATCTCAGGATCCGAGCGCCGGCTCTGCTCTAAACCTCCATGGGCTGGTGGGGAGATCAAAGATCTCCCTCACCGGCCCACAGTAGCAGGGAGGGAGGCAGGAGAGGACCCAGAGAGCTCTAGCCAGCAGCTTCGCCGGGTTCCTCTCGCGAGGTCGCAGCGTTGCTGCGGCAATGCTCAGATCTCGCGAGAGTGAACACTAGCCCCGCAGGCTAGAGTTCACTCTCCACTGGACCACCAGGGATGGCAGCAGCATGGTCCTCCCTCCCTACAAAAGGTAAGAAGGGAGGGGGGATATTAACCCCACACAATACACACAAACAGCACACACACACACACAGAACCCACACACACACAGCACCCTAACACACACAGCACCCTTACACATAAACACACACACACACTAACACCACACATGCAGCACCCTTACACACACAGTGCCATCACACACACACAGCACCTACACAGCAGTATATGTGTGTGTGTGTGTGTGTGTGTATATATATATATATATATATATATATATATACAATGGGCTGCGCACACCTATGTTTGCGCTACATGTCTGTCCAACCGTAATTCACCTCTTTCATATTAAATGCACCCACACTTATTACATTTCATTTTATTTAGGAGAAATAGGGCTTTCATGTCCCATCACATATTTATATATTAAGCATAATTTAATATGAATAAAATATAAAAAGAATTGAGAAATTAAAGGACCACTATAGTGCCAGAAAAAAAACATACTCGTGCTGAAGGGTGAGGAAGGGGTTAATCCCTTACCTTTTTTTCCAGCGCCGGGCTCCCTCGGCGCTGGGACTCTCCTCCCTCTTCTGACGTCCCTGGCTGAATGCGCATGCCCGGCCAGAGCCACGTGCGCATTCAGCCAGTCAATAGGAAAGCATTGAGCTGAAGTGGTCTGGGTGCCTATAGTGGTTCTTCAAGAAATTTTGTTATTTGTTTTTACTTAGTTCTGCATGGAATTTTAACAGTGAATGTCACAATACTGTTAGCTGTTACTGCAACAAAGTATACATATTTGTATTCAGCGATGTCTCACAAGTAAAACAGTACCCCCAATGTACTGGTTTTTGGTGTTTTGGAAAGTTACAGGCTCAAATATAGCACATTACATTTTTCAGTTGAAATTTACCAGATTGGTTATGTTGCCTTTGAGACCATATGGTAGCCCAGGAATGAGAATTACCCCCATGATGGCATACCATTTGAAAAAGTAGACAACCCAAGGTATTACAAATGGGGTATGTCCAGTCTTTTTTAGTAGCCGCTTGGTCACAAACACTAGCCAAAGTTAGCGTTCATATTTGTGTGTGAAAAATGCAAAAAAATAAATTTTGGCCAGCCTTTGTGACTAAGTGGCTTCTAAAAAAGACTGGACATTTGCAATACCTTGGGTTGTTTACTTTTGCAAATGGTATGCCATCGTGGGGGTAATTCAAAGGCAACATAACCAATCGGGGAAATTTCAATGTGAAAAAAATGAAATTCAAGCCTTATATTTGACTCAGTAACTTTTGATAACACCATAAAACCTGTACATCGGGGGTACTGTTATACTTGGGAGACTTTGCCAAACACAAATATTAGTGTTTCAAAATAGTAAAACGTATCACAACAATTATATCGTCAGTGAAAATACCATTTGTGTGTGAAAAATGCAAAAAACTTAATTTTTACTGCCGATATCATCGTTTTGATGTTTTTTTTTACTGTTTTTAAACGCTAATATTTGTGTTCAGCGAAGTCTCCCGAGTAAAACAGGTTTTATGGTGTCCAAGAAAGTTACAGGGTTAAATATAGGACTTGCAAGCCAAATTCTCTGGCATTTCTGCCTGGGTTGTCAGGCAGGTCCCTCAGATTATAATTAATAAAAGGACCAGGCAGACCCCAGGATCGCGCCAGCTGTCGGGGAACGGCGGAGACCCAGTAAGTACAAAAGACAGCTTAAAAAGGACAGCATAGAACGCCCGCTGTCCTTAAGGGGTTAATGATGTGTCTGAGTGTATAACAGAGCTCCACAGCAATAATACTCACAGCAGAGTGTATTTAAACTACTAAATGTGTCTAGAAATCAGAGATAAATTGTTCTTGTTATAAATTACATTTTAATTCCATACATTTTTTTTTTTTTTTTTTTATTCTTTATTTTATTGCGGCATATGAGATGGGGTACAGAAGAGAGGAAAGGGAAATGTACGTTTTGTTCACAGGATGGGGTAGTACATCGTTATCATTAGGTAGATACATTTCCTTGTTTAGTAATACCACTTTTCTTGTTTTTCAAGTCGATTAACGCAAAAAAGATTAAAACTGTTATAGCTATTCTATGCATGCTTAGTTGAGCAATGGTTGTGTGCTTATTTAGTTACAGGCTTATGCAAAATATTAGTTACAGGTTTCTCTAGCTGATTGAATGAATTTGACCACCAGGGGGCAGCAAGTCGCTGGGGTAGCCGGCTAAAGCGTGCATGTGTGCACCGTCATTGTTAAGTGATTTCTAAATCTTTGCCATGTGAATCTGCAGAAACGAAATCAACCTTATTAAACTCAAAATGAACTCAAAGTAATACTGGGACTGAGAATGACCTGTTAACATAAAGGATATACAATGCTCTGCTAGGATTCTAATTATATATTAGTAACAGTCGCTTAATTACTCCTGCAGCAGTGCTGGGTCGGCTGGCGACCTGGCTGTAGACAAGTTCCTTTTGTTCCACGCTGAGGTACTTGTTGGCCAGAAGTGTATTCGGGCTTATGTGTCTGCTGATATCAGTCTCATATATAAAATGAGGCCTGTGTCCCGTGCCCGTTATTCCTCCATGTTCAAGCAGGGTCAGTGTCCCAGTATAGTCCCCGCAGATCCGTCGTCTATAATGAGTGATGCTGTCTCAGGTGGTACCAGTATTAGCCGTGCTTACTTGCTAGATGTAGACCCTTCAGAATTGTCTGATGGGCGGAGTGGGTATACCGCTAGCCGCTGTCCCTGAGAAGTGTTCCGGGTTGCTTCCATTTCCAGACAGCACCTAGCCGTTGTTCTGCAGTTGCTGCCTCTGGGCTGACACTGGGCGCGGCGGCCATCTTGTGTTTTGCCTCGCGGTCCCTGGGTGATCTTTTCACCGCGTCGGTGGCCAAGAAGGATCACTGCCTCCACGGTGGGGTCCGGGATAACCCCCCGGCCTACAGGGGGGGGGGAAACGGGGCCCTCAGCGGGCGTGTGGGAGGGTCCACCGGACTAAGCGCGGGAGATCGGCCGTTTCTCCCGCCAGAGCCTCACGATAGGCCGCAGTTCCATCTGCCCAGCATTCAGCTTTGCCAGCGCGACGAGGGCCGACAGCCGCACCGAGGGTTTTGGCTTGGGTCCCCTTTGCCTTCTCATTTCTACCTAGTGCGTTTTAGGGGAGATTTTGTAGTTTTGGGGCTGTTTATTAAGCATTCATCGCGGAGCCGAGGCGCCCCACGTCCGTCCAGCTCGGCGGTCAGGCCCCGCCCCCTCTTTAATTCCATACATTTTTATTAATAAGTACCGTAAGCTAGAATATCTCAGAACAGCCCGCCCCTTGGCCACACCCCCACTAACACTACTAAAACCCTCAATGTCTATCTGTAATGTTGGGAGGTATGTGGCATCTCCTTACTATTTTTATCCACATACAAAGTAAGGAAGCACATCATGCGGTATCAAGTATTTCACTTTCCTGAACTAACATTTACATCAAACACCAACAGGGTTATTCACTAAAGTGAGAATTGTCTGGAATTCAAAATGAATTTCAAATTTAACGCCAAAGAAGCTGAACTAGAAGCAGAGCTGACTTGGAAAATTTTGTCCGGTTCCACTGTTTTGTCCTTAAAGGACCATTATAGGCACCCAGACTACTTCAGCTCAATGAAGTGGCCTGGGTGCCAGGTCCCCCTGACAATCACTGGAGGCACTTCCGTGATTTACACTGAGTAAATCGCACTTATACGACGCTGGACGTCCTTACGGAGTCCAGCGTCAGATAAGATCCCCATAGGAAAGCATTGAGTAATGTTTTCCTAGGGGCGGGTTTGAATGGCGCACGCCTCTGGCCACGCATGCTCATTCGGCTCCACTTGGGAGCTGACGTCGGCAGGGGAGGAGAGGTCACCAGCGCTGAGGGAGCCCGGCTCAGAATTAAGGTAATCCTGAGGGGGACACACACACACACACCTATTAACCCTATAGTGCCAGGAAAAGGGGTTTGTAATCCTGGGACTATAGGATCCCTTTAAAGGAACACTAAAGTGTTAATGCAAACCTGTATTCCTACCACTTAAGTTTGACCTTTTTCCCAGCACCAAGGCTTCTTTGGTGCTGCTGACCTCTCCGCCTCCCATGAAGCATACCACACGCACATCCAAGTTTGCCAAACACAAATACGAAAGTATGCCAGCCAGTAGAGGAGGATTTAACCCTGCAATTTATACATCACAGTTTCTCCAAAAGTGCATTGTTCTTTATTGCAGGATTAAATCCTGCACCATCTTTTAGGACCACTCCACCATAGCTATGCACACAGCACAAGCCATCAGGGAGTTTAAAAGATCTCCTTGACTGGCCCTGCACCGCTTCTTATTCATTTAGAATGGCCTGATCAATTCTGATTGGGCCAGCCACAAGCTGGCAGGGACATTAAAAGATATTCCTGCAGGTGCTTTAAAACGTCTTCCCTGATAGTCCGTGGTCAAGCCGCATTTCCTCGAAGTTCCAGCGCTCTGTGAGGAAGTCAGAGCACAGGAGCAGGGTTTCCCAGCCTGCACTTTGATGTCATCACAAAGTGACGGACCAGGACGATTGCGTCTGGACAAACAGCCTCCTGGAACACAAGGAGTCCACCAGCAGCCCATCAGTGCCACTGGAGCCACTGGGCAATCAGGGAATCCACCTCAACCATCAGGGCCCCACTGAGCATCCAGGAAATGCATTGGTGGCCATCAGGGACCCTCTGGACCACAAGAAAATCCACTAGCAGCCCAGATGACCTCCATTGGGTATTATTGCCACTCCTTCCTGCACAGGAAGTAAGCAGGAAGCGAGCAAATGCAATGAAAATAATAATAATAAAAGGCATCACTATGTGGGGAGACTGTGTTTAACAAAGCATCTCAATACACCGTTACTTCCCTACACTGCCCTCCCTCCCACCATTCTAATATATTGCCCCCTTCATTTAATACACTACTGAAATGCTCCTAGAAGTCCCTCTTTACTACTTTAAGCCATCTTCCAGTCCAGCCCTGCACAACCTTCTCTGGTCAAACAGGCCACACGCTCCACTGGCATTACGTGGTGCAGGAAAGGAGCTGGCCTGCTATGCATGCAGCCAGTCCCGCTGCCAGGGCCGGACTGGCCCTTTTTGTTTGTCTTAATCGTTTTCCCCAAAATGATTGTATGAAAAATTTAGTCTAAACCAAAACCAACATTCAGACCACCCAAAAACAATTTTTCACTGTCTACAGGTCAAGACATTTAACTCGCTACATTTGCATACACATAAACATAACTAGTCACACATGCCTAACTAGCCACTCACATACAATTATCCACACGTACATTTTCTTGTAGGACACATTCAGTGATTATAGCAGTTCATCCAAACATCAGTCAAGATTTAATGAAGGGTGAAACAGAATGCACGCCAATGTGCTACTGAATTGGCATGAGGTGATCCATGCAATACAATTCAATCCAGGTGCCACTCTGGCTGATAAGAGTTGCTTTCTGAGTTAATGATGTTTCCCCCTGCTGTGTCCTCTCGGAGCCCTAACATGTAACCCCCAATCACACATATATACCCAGATAGCTCATAAGCTCAGCTATATTCTTTCATAATAACGTCTGGAACTGGAGGTAGCCAGCCTGAGTGACAATACTTTAAAGTTCCACTAAGTTGTGGCTATCTGATCTGGCATAGAATTTATACAGTTTTGTTGTTGCTTCCGGTCAGAGTTGAAGTAGTCTAGGAGCCACAAGGAAGGTTGGGCCCCCAAGTCCTGGGTATTCCCAGATGCCTCCTCACATCCCTGCCATCTTTCCCAAAAAAACACTGTGACTGGTGGTTAGGGGACCGAGCGACACCCAATCAAAGATTCACCAGATCTCAGCACAGTTCCAAACCGGTGAATAAGTAGTGATGTATGGTATCTTCTAGTGTAGGGAGGGTCCAGGCGATCTCCACTGTTCAATCAACACCAGCTACATGCCTCCCAACCATTCTTTTTATGTGCAACAGTCTTGATTTTCAGGTCCTTTTTCACCACCCCAACTTCATTTCCTGCTGTTCTGCTTTTGGGGACATCAGAAAACTATAGGGACATGCTATAGACACCAGTACCACTACATTAAGCTACCACTACATTAATCATAAGATGCACTTGCGCTTTTAGGGCACTAGGACCCTGCAGAGAGCACTGAAATCCATAGTGCTTGGCAGAGTCAGTCCTCAAAGATCTGACTATAATGACTGGCATGCAGCCTGGTGTGGTTGACCTGCCAGTTATGGGGGCTGACTTGTCTCCTTTATGGGTGGGAATGCCCCTGTTGGGTGGAGCCAATCGCAGCACTGGCCTGTCCCCTTTACTCCCCTTCCACGGGCGCCACGATTCTGGGACTGCTGATGTTAAGCGTTATGCAGCTGAGAGGTAGAATAAGCACCCATGGTCCTCTATTCCATCTCAGGGGTTCAGGGACAAGGTCAGGACATTATATATCCCAGGAGAGATTGCAAACTCTGATATCATCAGTGACACAGAATGAGTCCAGGCGATCCACACTGTTCAACCAGCCCCAGCTGTAGAGTAGAATAAACACTGGTGGCTCCCCATATCCTCTTGCCACTTTGACAAAAGCCCTCTGGGTATTTTTAGAGGTTTTTGGCACAAGGTCCACAGTGTCTAGGGAGTAGGCTCGCCTCCAAGCCTCTCCACAAATTCCAGGTAGAGTGGCATCTGTTACACTTGTCACCTGCGATTATCCATACGTAGCTAGCCACTCATCCGCTTACGTAAACTCATGGTAACCCAGTGAATCCTTGTGATGTGCAGAATACTGGGTGTATAAGTTTTAATTCTATAGAACAGTGGTAAGCAATCTTTTAGCAGCAGAAGACTTTGGCATTCAAATCCTACTTTTTTTTTTTTTTATCAAACTTCAGCCTAAGCTGCCATATTCTGCTTGTGTTTTGCATGGGTGGTGCAGCTGCTTTGTTGTATTGGTGCTTGTGAGCTGTTGTGTATGTACATGAGCAGTTTGTGGTATCTGTCCAATGCACTATGCCAGGGCACACACTCTTTGCCACATACAACACTAGACTCAGAATGCTACACACGCAATCACATTCCTAGACACAAACTGCAAGAGACACTCCATAACACACATGGACAAGGCTATTTTTAGCTACTTTTTTCTTACTATTGAGCTGCAGGAGGTTGTCTTTCTTTCTATTTAAGCTACTGTGTACCAAGCATCCAAAAGGTTAATATCACAAGGAGATGTCAGATGTCCCTCACAGGGATTATGGAAATTAAATGGATTTCATCGTTAGTAAAGAGTTAAAAGCAGTAGAACACATATGGTTGAAGAGAAGCTAGCAGTTATGAAAGTGGGCATTAAAGCAGCACTGTCACGGCTGAATCCAGTTTGGTTTTTTAACCCCCCTTCCGACTCCACTACATTTAATTGTCCCCCTAGTCACTCCCAAATGCCCCCCATATTACCTATTTTTTAATCTTTATTTTCTGCCCGAAGGTCCTGGGCACCGCCATCTTTGTATGGGTAGATGAAGTCCCTGTGGGACACGTCATCTACCGTGATCGGATCGGAATTTCATTCATTCAAATGAAATTTCAAACCGAACAAAAGTCATGAATTTCTTCCTAACACGAATGGACGAACTGCTCTCATTCTACTAGGGCGAAATTCGGTAGTTTGGCCGGTGTTCAGGAATACGGAAAGGAAGCATCGCGAGAACACTGAGGAAAGGTAAGAATTGTGGGAAAATTTCTCTGACCACAGGAAATGAAGCACACTTTGCTCCTCCCCTGGGTCAAAGCTAGCCAAGCGTAGGAAAAATACATAAGACAAAATAGTACCGACTTTGTCTTATGTTTTAAAGAAAACTAGAGCAGGCAGGAAGAAATATAGAACAAATCCTGACAGTGGAAGTGATTGAGGAAAGGTAAGTTCGACAGTGCTGCTTTAACACACTGCTCGTGACTGAAATTAACGTTTTTGGCAAAATATGTGAACTAAAAATGGAGCAACCTTTACCATTTGCGCTTAAATTTTGACAGTTTGTAATTCAGTGAATAACCCGGTGAAGAAAAACATCAGTTAGGAGGCTGAACCGCAGCAGAAGAGACTAAATTAAAAAAAAAATAGTTGCAGAAAACTAGTGTATAATCATAAAGCATTTATACACAAGTTATAGTCACACACGTTTATTAACAAAAATTGCTTTTTTAACAGATTTAAAAATATATACAGGAAAAAAAAAAAAGTTGCATCAAAACTTTATCTCAGAATGACTTTGAAATAAAATACTGGTTATTGATAGAATGTGCCCTGGTTTTATGCGGTTAAGAAAAAAAAAAAGTTATAGTTGTAGTAAAAACCGTCAACCAGTTCAATTTGTTTTCTCATACACTGTAAAAAATATATATACAAAGAAACCGATACTCAATGCACAAGTAATTTCAATGTCCACATTCTGATACGTATTCACATTCTCTCATGTTGAAATAAAACTAACAGTCATTCATCCAGAACATAACCACCTGAGTATCAGAGAAGCATAGTTTAACACCTTAACAACCAAGTGTTACATAATCTATTCACTATAGATCTTTTGTCTGCATGGTATGTCTTTCTAGTTTGACATTTAGGGATTTTATACAGCCCATGATATTGGAGCAGATAATTCTCGGTTACCAGGTTTCTTAAAAAAAAAAAAAAAAAATGAATTAAAAAAACAATATTGAATGTCACTGGTCCTTAAGTGTCACTTTGTGCCTAAAGGATTGAGGGCCATGCATCTTTCAGATTGATTGTTTTATGAGGCATGAGAATCAACAAATTAATACTTAAACCAATTCATCTTAAATCACTGTGTATTTAGTTTTTGGTTGTTTTAAACAACTATTATATTTAAAGAAATATGTGAGACTGAACTACTGCCAAAAATGCATGTCCTACAACTCTTAAAGGAACACTCGAAGCAACATAACCTGTACAGCCACTGTAGTGTCTAGTGTGCCAGGAGTGTCATTGTGCCTTCGAAGGGTAAGTACAGAATGCCACAAAGCTTGGTGGAGCTAATGGAACTCATTGTAAGAGGCAGTGACAGGTGCCTGACTTTTACCTGGGTAAATTCTCAAATCAACTACATACCCTGGGTAGGGACCAGAGCACTTCTGACAGAAGTGGTTGTGATGCTTGAAGTGTTCCTTTAATGTGTATGAACTCGTAAAATAAGGCACGGCAAAGTTAAATGAAGCAGCCAGTTCAATTTTCCACATGACATTAAATTAGTTTGTGTAATAAGGACCTACTGCATGAAATGTTATCTGGTTCATTTAAAATAAGCAACAGAACTAAAGCAAGAAGAGGCACTCTAAAAAAACAAGATGCCTCTTCACAGGGATTTTACGTGAATACTCCCCCCCCCAAACTTTATTATGGGAGCACTAAAGCGCTTCTATTAATTGCAAACATCATATAAGCTCGTTTACTGGACTTTACCATGGTTACAAATGTAATTATTTATTTCCAATACTTCAACAGAACAAACTAATTATGGTCAGCAAACCAATTTGGAATGCTGCTCAGGGGTGGGACAATATGTGATCTAACACCCCCCCTCTTCACATGTGATTTGGCACAGTCGGAAAACTATTATAGATATAGGTAAATTATAAAATATAATATGAAGGGGTCTTTTCAAGCCATAACTTGTAGCAATATGAATATATTTTGGAAGCACACACCTATATAACTATTGGCTCATGCTCAGATGTTGACTCTGTAGAAACCACATAACATTTCTGAGAGAATCGAAATCGACATGTGGAACTAAATGGCAAACTAGCTCAAATTATACATATCCACATTTCTCAGACCTTTGGCCTATTCTGCTACTGGTCCTATTATTACTAGCATGCATGTGATATATTGTTCCATACAGAACATTCCCTTAAATGATTCTCTTCCAGAAACCACTGTATTTTACCCAATTTCATTTAAAGATTGGCTATATATTGGTGTTTATTCACTAAAAACACCGAATTGGAGTGAACTGAAAACCAACATTACAAAACAGAAGTTAAATCAGTCAAGCATTGACTAAAGCAGCATTGGATACATTTTTCCAAATAAGCACTTTTTTTTTCTTCTAAATTTTGCAATTCAGTTTTCAGTTCATTGATTCCAAATTCTGGGTTTACTTAACAAACTCCCCCGTTTAAGCCCACACTCACAACCATTGTATTGTATTTTATTTTGTAAGCAATCACCGAGTATGTCCTTTGAATAGAGATTTAATTAAGGACAGTATCCAAAAATCTATGGAACCATATGACATGAAACAGTGAATATGCCTCTCATTAGATGGGAAGACATTTACATATTTTTAATTAACAAATCTCTCATAACACCAATTTTGCAAAACTTACACAATACTTACATTTGTACAATATACCCTTTCTACTTATGATAAAAGGCAGATGTATTTTCACCATATGATAAAACAATCCATTTGATACACAAAAAAACAAACCAAAAAAAACTGTTAAAACTGATGACAGAGGTTATAGAAGATTCTCAACGCAGCCACACAGTGTTCAGCTGAGTCTGGTTCTTGATGCTGGTATCCATTTTAAGTACTTCTCGGATGGCCATGGTAGCATAGGTAGAGGGAGGCAAGGAGAATTCCATCTTCAGTGCTCGATACTTTCCATCTGTAACATACAGAAACAATACAGTTTGTACAAATCAGATCAAAAAAGTATTCACTTGCAAGAATTCTTAAATGAAATAGGTGTGTAGGACTACAACGCAGAACTCGAGGCTGCCTTCATGGACAGACATAGTTGGTGTCTAGCACTCAATGAACATCAATGATTATATCATCCTTTCAGATACACAATGAAGTAAGGCTGCAAATAGCGATTTAAGTGCAAAGGAAATGAGGGACGTAAAGACCTTTAACCCCTTAAGGACCAAACTTCTGGAATAAAAGGGAATCATAACATGTCACACATGTCATGTGTCCTTAAGGGGTTAAAGAGAGAAAGAAACCAAGTGATGTGGGGATAGTTACAAAGACCACAGCGAGGACTGAGGCTGGGTGGGCAACCAAGGGAACAGAGTATTCAGAAGGGAAGAGACCTGGACATAAATGGTAACAAGTGTAAGGAGTGAGAGACAGGGGATCTGAAGCTACAACTATTTAGCATGAAGAGCAGGGGTACCCAAAAGGTAGATCTCCAGATTTCGTAGAACTACAACTCCCATGATGCTTTTCATGTCTTTGCAAGCCTTTAGAATGACAGACAAGACATCATGGAAGTTGTAGTTTTAAAACATCTGGGGATCTACCTTTAAAGCCCCCTTGATGTAGAGTTTCTAAATATTTTTTATTTAAAAATAAAGTGTGCAGTTCACCTTGGATTGCTAAATAAATCGCTCCACTCAAATGCAGTTCACAACAAAAGAATATGAATATCTCTAAATAGGTAAAACGTGGGCTAAGCAGTCCCATTTTCATTTGACTTTAGCAAATACACAGATCTGGCAATCCAGGTGGAAATTCTAATAATCACACATTAAAACTAAAAGGCGTAGAGCCTGGGCGGTGAGACGCAGGAGCGCATCAGCACCCAAGTTGGGCAGGGCCCCCACACAAGGCTACAGGGACTCTGGCTATTATACATATGCAGCCTCCCACCTCTTGGTATCGGCTAAGCGACCGCAGAGACACTCATGATACACTTGAGTACCAACTGATAAACGGACACTCGTGTAAAGACAAGCACTTAAGCGGACATTGTTTTTTCCTATTTTCTCCTATGTATGTTATTCTATTGATCAGCCTGTGCCGATAGCAATCAGACTGTTAACCCCCTAGTGATAGCATGTTTATACCTAACAAGAATCTAACCTGGTGGTCATTACGCACACTAGCCCTAGCTAAACATAGTTTCTCATACTCACGCTAGAACTGCGCTATACTACTAACCACTCTCCTCATACATATATAAAAAATGTGCACAGTTATTCATGCCATACAATTGTATTTACAAGTCTACTAAATTCCTGGCGATCGCTGTTGTGGCATTGCTAGAAAAATGTTACCTGTATATTCTATGGACGAAAAAGAAAGAATAAAAAAAACAAAAAAAAACTAAAAGGCGCAATTTCCATTTAGCGATACTTGACACAAATCTAAAATGCAATAGGCAAAAACTGATCATTCATAAATTGTGCCTAAGTCAGTGAATAGTTATCTTAACAGATCATTAACCAGCAGATTTAAAAGATGAAAAATCACTGTTCTATGAAGACATACTGCATATTACATTATTGATCAGTAAAATTAAATAAACTTTAAAATAGAGTACATTTACCTTTTTTATATTCTGGCAGTGGCTTTCCTTCCAGCTTCTCCACATCTGTTGTGACTAGAGGTATTTTAGGGTCATCATACGCAACCAGTTCCCTGTACAAAGAAAGGAGGGGGCATATATTTTTCCAATAATAACTTTATATATTCTAGTAGGACAAATGGCCTACAAGACTTTCAATATAGAGGGTATATTAAAAACAGGGGATATAGTGAGGCATCACGGTTGCAATGAGTGATTTTGGACATCGAAAATGCCTAAAAGTGATTTTTCTAGTACCAAGGAAATATCTGGTGATCTACTGGTACTAATGACAAATACAGGGACATCTGATGTATATGTACTATTTTCTGCAGCCAAATCTTCAAGTACACTTCTCACACCTTTAATATTGTTACATATACTAGTGGTCTTTAACAGGCTATAGATCATCAAGAGGAATACGATCATATACATAAAGAAATCCCTTTAAACATTCCTTTAAAGGGACACTAAACTATTTAACTTTCACTTCTATCACAGAAACAAAAGGTAAAGCACCATTCAATATCTTTTACACTTATATGAGATTAGATCATTGTGGTCTCTATAGCACAGATTTAGTCATATAAAAATATGTACCAGCTGACATCTTGTGGTCGGATGACCATCTTTCTGTAGGCTCCAGCTAAAGAATAATCTTTTATTTTATGTCTCATATTTTTGATATCGAGATTGTCAGCAGCAAGCATTTCCTCATATGCAGCAGCAACTAAAAGATGAAAGAAAATATGAACACCAAGTCAATGCACAGTAAACACATGGGGAGCAGTACTAATTGTAGGGTGTGCTACTACAAAAACCTTAAAACTTAGGGGCAATTTATGGGCAGATATAGTTTTCCTTTCAAATAACATTGGTCTGGTGGTTATTGTAGAGGAAAACCAATATACTGAGTATCCCTTTTTGCCAATACCTAAAAAAGGATGAGGAATAGGTAAGGCTATCTTATTTTAAGCTCAGGGCATCTGCAAAGATATTAAAAGGTTTTGATACTTACTCTTGTGCTTAGGGTAGATGACATCGAAGCCTGGCAATGGCATCACAACATCATTAATGGAATAGCTGTCAATATCACTCTCTTCTAATGGAACAACAGAGGCTGAAAAGGCAAATACCCAAATTAACATGATTTCACAAAGTATGGTTGCATTTGCCTGTGTGTGCATATTTTACCTTACATGTTGAATTTTCCAATAAAATGAAATAGCATGAACAAGTAACAGGATCACTTTCTCACCTTCTTCTTTAAATTACAAACATAAAACCAGTAACATTTTCCGTGTATTAAAGTGTACCGGCATACATGTCACAAAGCAACCTTAAATAAAGACAAATTCCTTATTAAAAAACATTATTTTTTTTTAAAAAAATTAAAAAAAATTTGCTAAAGGAAGAAAAAAAAAAAAAAAATTCCCAAAAAAATCCTGCACCTCAAAACACAGAGACCACTTTAAAAACTTGCCCGGTACTTACAACAAACATTTCAATCAGGGACAGCTTAGATCACAGTGGGCAACTAAAGCGCACATACAAAAAGAACCAAGTCCTCAGATGCTTCATGTGATGTTTTGTGTTCTTTATTGTCGCACAGACAACACTAACGTGGATTGTGACAATACATAGTTACATAGTAATCTTGGTTCAAAAAAGGGCTCAAGCCCATTGAGTTTAACCTTTAAAAAAAAAAAAAAAATTATATATATATATATATATATATATATATATATCTATATATCTATCTATCTATCTATCTATCTATCTTTGTATGCAGTTGATCCAAAACTAGGCAAAAAAAAAAAACAATCTGAAGCTGTGGCCAAATATGCCACAAAAAGAAGGGGGAGAAATCCTTACTGACTCAATATACTGAGCTTACAATGCTAGCCAGAGTAACAGACATGGAGATGCTGATTTTTTTAAACCATTAGTTTGAGCTTTTTTTGTTTTTTTTTACCCTGACATGGTTTTAATAGTAAGTGGAAATGCTACCTGTGCATATTTTTGGAGGAAAAAAAAATGTATGCTTTAAAGTAAATAAATAATAACAATCTCCTCTTTCATTTCAAGAGGTTTTGCCTGACATAAAAACAAAATGTTTATGATAAAAAATAAATTAAAAAAAAGTAGATATTACTTCAGGACCGGACTATTTTGGCCATGCTGTACGTTAAGGACCAGGGCTGTTTTAACACTTTTGTGGTGGTTGTGTTTAGCTGTAATTTTCCGCTCTCTCATTTACTGTTCCCACACATATATTGTTTTTTTCAGGACAAAAAAGGATTCCTTTACATACCATTATTTCTATCATGTCATATAATTTCCTTTAAACAAACAAATATGGTGAAAAATTGAAAAAAAACAAACATGGCTTTTGACTTTTACTTGAAAAATCTTTTACTTATCTACAAAAGCTAATGAAAACTGCTAAATAGATTCAAAATTTTGTCCTGAGTTTTAAAACACCCAGTGTTTACATGCTTTTTTGCAAGTTATAGGACTATAAGTACAAATAGGAAAAAATTTTAAAATGTATCAATAGTGACATTGTAACACTATTATCTGTCATAAATCTCTGAATCATATATATATATATATATATATATATATATATATATATATATATATTTTTTTTTTTTAAAGTAGACAACACAGGGTATTCAATATGGGGTATGTCTAGACTTTAATCACAAATACTGGTCAAAGTTAGCATTTATATTTGTTTGTGTGTTAAAAATGTAAAAAAAACAATTATGAACGTTAATTTTGGCCAGTGTATTTATATATTTGAAGTCTACGTGTAGATTTATGAAATTATTTATGGAATTTTGTATATGGATATATATTTCGTATTATATATATATACACACATATATATATATATATATATTATTTACAACAAGTGTATTTTGATATAAATATATTAATATCAAAATACAGTTAGAATAAAATTTCATATATATAATTTTTTTTAAATTATTTTTACTATATATATATATACACACACACACACACACACACACACACACGTGTGTAATTTAATTCTAATTCTGAGTGTATTTTTATGTTAATATATGTATATAGTAATTAAAAATACACTTGGTATGACATATATATATATATATATATATATATATATTTTATTTTATTTTACACATACACATATATATTACACAAGATCCAGCGCACTCACCTATCCACTAAACAGCAACTTCAATGTTGAAAGATTTAGTTTTTTTTAAAAACACCTAATCTAGGCAAAAATAATGGGGGCTTAGTTACATTATATGATCATACATTTCATAAGCCTGCCACAATGTCAATGTACCCCATCTTTGGCAGGTCCTACACTAACAGCCTAATGTCTGCTCTTATGAGATTAACCCACTTACTTGGGGAAAAAATTCCATCTGGGGCTCTCTGCAGTACAAGGTGTTTTAAAAAAAAAATTAAAAAAAATCTTTCAACACTGAAGTTGCGGTTTAGTGGATAGGTGAGTGCGCTAGATCTTGTGTATTGTATAATTTGGCCCCCAACAACACCCCCATTTATGCATGTTCAGGTGAGTGCAGTCAACCCCCCTCCCCCTTGTTTCTCACACACACACACACACACACATTATAATTTTATTAATTAACATTTTTATTTTTATTTTATTTTAGACATGCAGGGAGACTGCCCAGGCAGTCCCCCTGCAGGCAGTTACTTGGACACCTATTGCGGCCATGTGACCGTTCTGTTAGAGCGATAACATGGCTGCAGGGTCCTAATTTGCTGGCAGTTCCCCCCACACCGGGAGCAACAACGGTGATCAGGTAAATAAATAATAACGTTATGACGGTTCTGGATAGTCATCGGTCCACAAGGGGATGGTTCGGATAACGGTCCTGAACCGTCATGGATCCTTAAGGGGTTAAAGTATCCAAAATGGTCAATGTAGCTATTTATGAAAAGCAACTCCTAAGTTAGCCATCACTGGTGCTGTGCATTTGTAATATTAATTCTTAGCAAAGGATGGCAACCACCACTAGAAAAATATCCATTCTGCAACGTATTTGGTCATTTGTTTGTTAACACCTTACCTCCTTTCTGTACCAGGTCCCCAGGAACAACTTTAAGCCCATACTCCTCTATTCTCTTGCTCACCATGTTATTCCACACATAGCTCTGATAACTATGTATGTACATTAAACGGTTATTCCTAGGGATCTAAAGCAAAGAAAAGCTGGTTACCCTAAGAACAAAATAATGGATATAGATTGATAGATACATACATACAGACATTATATCGACATAAGTACTGGGACACCTGACCATTACACCAACAGGGACTTTTATGACTCCGCGTGCTAAATAGATAGACATTACTATGTAGTTGGTCCTCCCCTTTGTTGCTATCACATCTTCCACTCTTTTGGGAAGGATTTCACGATTTACTAAACACATCCACAATAAAAACATGCATGGATTTAATTATTTGCCTTTTCAATGAAGATATATCTAAAACAGCTTGTAAAACCTGCACTTCTCTTGTCTGAATCCTTTGCAAACCCTCCCCTTCAAACCCCCGCCAAGACTTTCTGTGGCTGTCCGATCACAGACTTCCCAATGCAGCTCAATGTGAAGTCTTTGCAAGGCTAGTGCTCTTGGCAATTGCTGCCTATTTAATATAGTTCCACTGAGATAAACAACAATGAAGTAACAGGACCGGTTCTCTGATTGGCCAGGGCAGCGTAATAAGGTCAATTTATAAAAGTGTCACAATTCCATTGAAATCTTGTTTGAGTGTTGCTTTAATAAAATTGTACTTACTATGCCAAATGCTGAAACTATGTTTTTAAGGCCGTACTTTGAAAGTCCTCGAAGCAGCTGACCTTCCACGCATCGTTTAACAGGTAGTTTTTTGAGAGCCGCATCAGGGTTTCGTGTTTTTGCCCACTCTTCTCTGCACTGAACCAGATATCCTTTTTCAGCTGCAAGAAAACATGTTTTATACAAACGTCTGGTAAAAATCTGGCATATATTTAGATAAGTCGATTGACATAAATAGAAGTGTTCACATAAATGCCACAGAACGATCTTCTGTGTCTTTGGAGCGTGGGATGGAAATTACAGCGAAAGCGTCATTTTGGCATTTGGTTGGTGTGCCTCCCTAGGAATTTTTCCCTATACCTCCCAACATCAGATAATATTTCTAAAACTTCAGCATATTTGTAAAAAGTAGACAAAGGTTATTCACCAGTTGTAATTTTGGAGATTTTCATGCAGCCGTTTTACCACCAATCACAGTGTCGATTTTCTAATAATAATTTTTGTGCACACAGTTTCTCACACACGCATAACGTTTATCTAGCATTGACAAATTAGTAGCCAATCAACACAAATTACCATTTAACTGTACGTTATTCAAAAGTAGGAAATTACAAAACAGGGCATTTCAACATGAATCTCAGCCATAATTTGTGTGTTTTTCCAAAAATTCTATATACACTGTGGCCTTGGATGTCATTAACAAAAGAGAAGACCACCCTATTTGTCTTTATTTTCATTCTCGACGTACAGCAATATTCTATATGCACAGGTTTTTATGTGTGTGTTTTTTTTTTTTTTTTTAGCAGATACAAAATCATATTTGAGATATGAACACGGGACAACGTTATTGCACTCATATTATTTTGGGTAGTTTAGCAGCTCCCTACTTGAAATCACACCAACAAATGCAAATATTTATTAAAAGTATGCAACTCGGGTTTTCATGTAGTCATTTTGTCACACTTTTTGTACAATTATTAAATTGTATCTATAGCACATGTCAATTAAATGCAATCATACCGTTTATATAAATGTCCACCCCCCAAACACAGCAATGTCCCATGTATTTTGGAAGTCTGAGAGATTACTATCACTTTTTAAATTGATTATTTTAATCAAAACAATTTGGAGGAAACAAAAGTTAAAAAAACAAAACAAAAAAACAACACATATTCAGTATAAAATGGAATTTAAGAGAATACTGAATGATGGGTTTCTAGCGTTTGAAGTAAAATGAAGAAGGCAACTGAAACAACCCAAACTAGATTCTCTCCATTCTGGTCACGGATTAGCTACAATGAGAAGGGAAATAGCGCCTTGGAAAATCCTCTGCATTGAGCAAAACCATTATTTGTAGTGAGTACATCTCCTACCATATTTTATTTCTGTGTATCCACATAATACCAAGGTGAGGATTGCTACCATATGCCCAATAGTGTAAATTATCCGATTTCATGATTATATTAACTAGGAGCTGTCAGAAGGATCCAAAAATGTAAGTGTACACCCCTTTTAGAAGACTATATTGGTGACATTTTCTGTTTCTGTTAAATAGCCTTTGGACCACATCCCATTGGATCAAGAAACACACAGCATATCCACAGACAGGGATTATAAAGCCCAGGTGCACAGAGTTGGAGCTAATTGTTAGCTCCGTACTGAAATTGCATTTCCTTTTGTTTCCTCCAATCAATATATGACATTCTACGCTATATTCCATTTTTTGTCCTCTTATTTAATTACATATTGTTCTATATCGGAGGATTTTCCAAGGTCCTACTTCCTTCCTCCTTGAATACATGAAATATGTTTTGCAACCTCTAGATTTCTCCCTTTAAAACGCCTACAGCTAAGAGGATATATATTTGAAATAAAAAAATATATAAAGTCCATACCTCCTGGTCTTGGCTTTAATATTAGCTCTATCATTTCATTCCAGTTGTTCTGAAGAATAGCTCTGGAACATAACATGATACAGTTTTAGTCTCTCTATATAAGTAATAATATCATTTTTTTTAAAGCTTGCATACTGTAGAGGTGTGTTTTCATACCTTCCCACTTGGTACGTTGGCACAGCTGTGGTCCCAAATCGCTGCATCCCATAGTAGTTAATAAATCCAATATCCCTGAGAGAGGTCATGGCTTGCTCCACTTGTTCATCAGTACCAGTGATATTTCTACCAAGATAAATTATTATATAATTTTATAGAATGTGATGGGATAAAGAAGAAATATTGGCTTCTTAGCAACAGATAAACACATGCATATAAAATAGGAATTATTTTTCTTGAAAAACACTGAGCTTGTTCAACAATAAAAGAATACAATGTGGGTATCCCCTAAATAGAATCCACCCCCACCACCCAGATAGAATTTTGTTCTATCTTAAAATAGTAAGCAGCAGATACAATTAAAAATGTTAATTGTTAATTTTGTCTGCTCCTTACTATTGTAAGCAGGGCCAGATTAAGAGCCCAGTGGGCCTGGTGCTGACAATACGGACGGGCCTAATTACAGAATCATATCGACCAAAAACAGTAAAACACTCCCAAGCATCATGTATCTGATGGAGATGGTGCTGGAGAGAAAGAAAACAGCAGCTATAAGAAAACACATACCCTAGGCTAATCTCTCACTAATTTATGTTTTCATCTTTCAAGTAAATCCATAACCCCTAACAGCAGTGTCCAGTCAAGCAGGAAGTCAATGGACACGGTAAAAGGGTGTGCCACTGACACAAATCACGTGACCTGCCAAAAGGGGCGAACATGCCTAAAAAGAGGGAATGTCTGTCAAAAGAATTAGAAGGCCAGCCTGGCATGAATGCATGTCAGGCTGCCTTCCAATCATGCAGCTGGCCAACTAAGGGCATACTATGCAGACAGCACCCTGAGCTTGGCATAAATGCATCTAATGATGCGCTCACTCAATGCTTTCTAAGGACTGTTTCCTAGCACTTGCTGGTCTACTTGTCTTCTTACCTTCTTACTAGCAGGCAGAAGCTCCTGGTATATAGTCTGGGACAGAGAAAAGCTGTATGTAGTGAGTGTAGAAGAAATGGAACATGCCACAGTGTTAGAGAGACCAAAGTCAGCATTACCTTAAAGGATCACTATAGGGTCAGGAACACAAACATGAATTCATGACCATATAGTGTTAACACCACCATCTAGCCCCCCTGGGCCCCTCATGCCTCCATAAATATAGAAAAATCTTACTATATTCAAGCCTGAAGCTGTAACTCTGCATGCTGTTAGACTCATAAAAACAAGCAGTCTGCTGACATCATTAGAAGTGGTGGCCTGATCCAATCACAGTGCTTCCCCATAGGATTGGCTGAGACTGACAAAGAGGCAGATCAGGGTCAGAGCCAGCATGATTCAAACACAGCCCTGGCCAATCAGCATCTCCTTATAGAGATGAATTGAATTAATTAATCTCTATGAGATAAGTTCAGTGTCTGCATGCAGAGGGAGGAGACACTGAATGTTTGGATGCATGTTAGGCAGCCATGACCCAGGAAGGATCTCTAACAGCCATCTGAGTGGCCAGTGAAGTAATCACTAGGCTGTAATGTAAACACTGCATTTTCTCTGAAAAGACAGTGTTTACAGCAAAAAGCCTGACGGTACTGATTCTACTCACCACATACACATACATTCTACTCACCAGAACAAATTCAATAAGCTGTTGTTGTTCTGGTGACTATAGTGTCCCTTTAACTATATTCATTGTCGGCCAGTCCATACAAGTTTGGTTCCCATACATCCCTCTTAAGTTTCCATACTTAAGTAAGAGTATGTGAAAAGTAGTTAGGGTTGCCACCTTTCTTGGAAAAACATACGGGCCTTACTAATTTGCATAATTAAATATGTATGGGTGACATCACATGATGTAAATCACAAGGAGTGACATAAGAGAAAATTCTGTAAAATCACCAAAAAACTACTTAGTTTGATTCTGCTGTATAGATGGATTCCTCCCAGTGCCCCCATGTGTCGATTACTCCAGGTCTCAGTGTTCCTATGTATCACAGTGTCTCAATGCCCCATGTCTCCCTGTGTCCCCATGTATCCCAGGGTCCCCATGTCACTAGGACACTAGGAAGACGGGGAGACCTGGGGACACAGGGAGACCTAGGGACACGGAGACACCAGTGATACTGGGAGACTAGGGGACTCTGGCTGGGACACATGGGGACAATGGGAAAATAGTGGACACTTGAAGACATGGGGACACAGACACTAGAGACACTGGCTAGGGGACATTGAGACATGGAGGCAATAGGAGACATGGGGACACTGAGACACCAGGGCCACAGACACTAGGGACACTAGCTTGGAGACATGGGGACATTGTGACACTTGAGGCACTGAGAGACATGGAGGCACTATGAGATATGGGGACAGTGAGACACGGGCAGACTGGGGGCACTGGCAGACTGGGGTCACTGGGAGACTAGGGGGCACTGAGACACCAGGGACACTGGCTGTGTCATAATGTCTCCCAATGTCCCTTAGTGTATGTCTCCTTGCAGTCTTTCACCCCATCCCTTACTTCCCTGAGCTGTAGGCTGTCTCTGCAGGGTGGGAGTTGCTGTCTGGACTCTCTGTAGCTGCACCCCTGCAGATCAGTAAGTATAGATAGGCAGGGAGGGATATGCTGGAACTTCCTATCCCTGCCTGTCTCCACATACAGCGACCACTACTGGCCAGTGCTGGTATTGCAGAGTAATCTCCATTTATACTGAGAAAAATACCAGCATTTGTATTGCCAGTATCACTGCAATATTGGCACCAGCCAGGCAGCCTCAAATACTGGCTGTGCCAATAAAATAAAAGCCAGGTGGAATCCCTAAGAGTAGTGAGTGGAAAAAAAAAATGTGGAAAAAAAAATGTGAAATTTTTTTATTTTTTTTTTATTTTTTATTTTTTTTTAAAATCAGTGGGCCTATTCCATGGGCCTGGGCCTGGAGCTGCAGCTCCATCAGCCCCTATGTTAATCCGGCCCTGATTGTAAGGTAAAACTAATAAATGTATGAATTTTCTAGTAACACTTCTTTCTTTTTCAATGTAAATGAACACAGGTTTGCATGCAAATACTACAAATACATTGATCCTGCCCTGGTAATCCTTTGCAGTGTTTATGTATTGTGACTTAAATTTGTATCTCCATCCTTATTTATGGTTAGAATTATTTGGCACAGAAAGCAATGAAACTGCAGTTTTTGGGGTTGGGTTCAAACGATTATTGAATGGATACAGTAATAGTTACAAAAAAAAGGTGAATAGGACAGTCACAGGAGTAATACTTTATTTAATGCATTTGCAAATGTCAAATTTCTACAAAAGATTCAAAGATTAGTAACTGTTAAGGTGAGAACCAAGAAGCAGCATCCATTGCTGCCAGTTCTTTTGAGGTTATAAAAAAATAAAAATAAAACCCCCCCCCCCCAAAAAAAAAACCACTTCAAAACTGTATGCTGTATTATACAATATGGGTAAAATGAATATTTGAAAATTAAGATACACTCCAACCACCATAATCTTTTCATTGTTTATGGTGTAAGGAGCACCCATTCAGTTTGTTTTAACGGCATCAACCACCCAACATTGTATAACATCAAAGAAAAGTATCTCATACAGCATAACTAAATTGCACATGTAGTCTCATAGCGTTATCTGAGAGAGCCTGTACTGTAGTTGTGTGCAGTGATAGCCGAGATTGATATGCTTTGCACATTTTTAACTAAGTACATCACAGCAGGGGTTCTCGGTACTTCAAACTTGTTTTTCCAATGGCTCAAAAGCATAAATGACCACCTTCAAGAAATGATTTGAATCCAGGACATAGACAAATAATCAGTGCAGTTGTTTTTAATAAATCCCAGGGTCAGAATTATGATATAATAAAATAGAAACTACTGCATGGTTATGCAAAAGGCCATCAGGGCCCTAAGCTGTACAGAAAGAAACATGAGCAGAAGGAAGGATGTGGCAAAATCACCATTCTATTAGCTCAATGAAGTAATCTGGGTGCCAGGTCCCTCAGGTTTTAACCCTTCAGATGTAAACATAGCAGTTTCTGAGTAACTGCTATGTTTACATTTGGGGTTAAGCCAGGACAGACACTATAGGCGCAACTGCGACGCTGGAGGCATATTATGCCTCCATCGCACAGAGCATCCATAGGAAAGCATTGATAAATGCTTTCCTATGGACACTTTGAATGCACGCGCAGCACTTGCCGCACATGCGCATTCGGCTCCGCTGACGTCGGCGGGGAAGGAGAGGTCACCAGCGCTGAGGGAGCCCGGTGCTGGATTAAGTTAAGCTGCTAAAGGGGTTTTAACCCCTTCAGCGCCATGGGAGTGGGACCCTGAGTGTGGGGGCACCCTCAGGGCACTATAGTGTCAGGAAAACCGCTTTGTTTTCCTGACACTATAGTGATCCTTTAATATTAATATTTACTATTTTGATTTCTTTTTAGGTTTAGGTCTCATATCTGCAGTCAGCCTGTAACCAGATGAATGTAGCAATGGTATTAACAGCTTGGTAACCACATGGGGCTTTTTGTGAACATAAAAACACTTTACAGACCATTATTTTAGAAGTGGGGGTAAAGTAAGGACAGTCAGACATTTATATAGGGAATTAAGACATTTGGATTTTTGTTTCTGCAACTGCAGCCCTTAGTACTTGCAGCTTACAGTCTGAATATGGTAATATATTTTATAAATGCAAATATAATATGGATATTATGTTGCTCAAAATGGATATAACAATATAGTGTGGGTCCAGACATAAACATGCTCTTTGAAGAGAGATAGATACACTTTAAGGATAAGATGTGCTTAAATTGCTCTAGTATTGGTTATGAATCACAGCTCAAGATGGACAACTGACAACATCAATAAGTTAGCATTCATCATATATACATATATGCACCCCAAAATCTCATGTATCACGATACGCCATATATGTTGGAATTATTTTAAGTCTAAGCAGGGTTTAAAATTTCAAGCCTTACACTACTAGCTTAAAAGTTACTCACCACTGCAAGCCTGGAGGGCCAATGATCCACTCACTAGAGATGAATTTCTACTTGCCAACAGGTAATGGCAAGTGGACATTATGAGCCCTGTTTAAGTATGGCAGGTCGTTCCTGGCCCTCCAGTGCAACATGGTCCAGCTCTGACTACTCCATTCTGTCCACACTAGATTTTGGACAGGACATATCATTTAAGTGCCTCCTTTACCTGGATAGAGATTTCATGACAAGGGGATGTCAGATGAACCCAGATATCCATGTAGACTTACAACAAATTCAAGGTGTCTCAATAATTTGGTCTATGCGGACCTTATTCTATGCCATGATGGAATGTTCTTCCAATTATACCATGCTGACATATTGTCTGCAAGGCCTAGGGTTTGCATGCAAATGTTGTCTTTATTATTTTAACTTGAATTATATTCATAATGCTTAAACTATAAGTTCAATTGCAAATAAACAAGCATCCAATAAACCAACTTTTACTTCTTTTTGATCCACAATTAAATGACATTACAAAATATATAAAAAAAAAAAAAAAACATACCTTAACACAACAGTGAAATTATTTCCCTGGAGTTCCCCTAATTTCAGTGGGTTTTTCTGGTACGAGAAATTTCCCAATTTGAAGTTCATCAAACATTTGTTCAGATGAGCAAGTCTCTGAGCTGTAATCCTAAGCAGAAACAAAGATATTTTATGTAATATAAAATCTTGCACTCAGTAATGATAAACACAGTCTAACTCTATAACAGAAGGAGACGTATAAAATAGACAGGACAAAAATAGCAATGCAGCCCAATGAAAACAAACATATTATGTTAAACCGGTTTCTGTACCGCTGACGTTTATTTTCAAACTTAAAGCTAGAAAATAGGAACCTCAAAGGTGACAACATGCTCGGTGGTCATGTGTTCTGCTCACTGACACATGCTGTGTTCCATAGGATAGAAAATGCATTCATATTGTCTTAGTGTTACGAAACTTTCTCAAAATGAAAGAGCCAGAGGTTGCTACACTATTAGTTTGGCTTGGTCCAACTATAAGCAGGCCTAGTCACCCTTAGGGGTGTTTCTCTTATAATATATCTGTGATAGTTTGTAAGGGTCTGTTTATATGGTTTTCTTCATTAAATATGTAGTTGTTCTTATATCCTGTGCAGGACACCAGAAGGCAAGGCTTTAACACATGCAGAAGGAGATAACCGAACTATGGAAACGGGTTTGCTGAAAAAAAAGAGACTGACTGAAGTCCTGTTATACACGAAGGTCTGAGTCTGTACAACAAACTCTAACAGACCTGTGTCTGTTGCCATGGCCAATCTCTCACTGTTTGATGCGTTAGTGAAGTGTACACTTCCCATCAGTTTTCTTGCAGACCAATTACAATGAGCGTGCCGTGTTTCAGCCAACCAGCACTATTTATACTTACTTGAGAACAGCAATTTCTTGGACAGTGATAGCTCTTTTATCTTTGGTTCCCATGTAGGAAAATATATTAGGCTTCACTCTATATTTCACAAATAAAAGAAAAAAAAAAAATCAATTCACACTGCAAAATATAATGTGTAATAACATTTCATTTTACTTTGACATTTAAAAATCCTTTGCTCAAGATGACCTCACTCCTCATCTGCTGCCTAATTTCCAATTATTATTATACATATTATATAGATCTATATACAATCTTAGAGTTGTGACCATAGTGACTTACTGTTTGCATTTGAGGAAAACAATGTATTTCTAAGAACAATACAGGTATGTATATATTTCAAATGCATTGTTTTCCTCAATACAAACAGAAAGTGAACTGGACTTTTACATTATGAGTATTTACATTGTGTATGAGTATTTACATTGTGTGTAAAGCATAAAACCACCTACAAGAACACCTGTGGAATTACTCATAAATTGATTTACAAAGAGAATATCTATTGCTTTAACTTATTTTATGATTATATTACATTACAACCCTGTGCAACACAGTAATTAAACATTTACATTAAATTTAAGTTTGCATATTGTACGGAATGGTTAGTTTGTATATGGGAAGTAGCAGCAAATTTAAATCCCATTTCTTCTTTAACTGCTAGGCAGATAATGGTTTTATGTTTTATAGTTAGCATTATGTGAAGGCTGTTAAAAGAGTGCACCTGATAAAATATTACTTTTTAAAAGGTTGTTGTGATGATACCTGCCCCTGTTGCGCCTCCTCAGTTTTCTTATTCTCAGGTTGTGCATCAATCCTGTGTCAATGCTGACACTGGGTCGAACTCCATGAATGATGCCACCAACTAAAGACACTATTGTTGCTAAATCAAAGACCATTCTCGTAAAGAAAGGCAGATCCCTGCATCTTCGTACAGCGCTAATATTCAGGGCATCAACCCGGTGTCACTGTTCTGGAGCAGGAATTTAATTTCATCCAATAGAGAGATCTTTACTGCTATTAAAACACTTCTCTCCATTTCTGCAACACCCTGTTGTGGCTTTCGGGCCCATTAATGCTTGTAGATTTCCATGTTCACTTTTAGTATCAACCTTTAGCCGGTTTGACTATTCTGCTTTCTGTACTCCTGACTTCAACTTGTCTTTGACTTGGAGTTACCAGCTTGCAGGTTTTCCAGGTTTACCTTTGCTATCCTGCATTCATCCCGGCCCTTCTAAGGACCAGTAGTATGCGCGGTTCTCTCTCTCAGGTTTGCGTTAGGTTATATTTGACACTGACAGTTGCATCATGTAAAAGCTCTTTAGTATAAACAAGTTTAGCTTTTTAAGTTATATGAAACTACTATTCCCAGTTCTAATTATACGCACTGAGCATTTTTCATGTTAAAAGGATGTTGAATGTCTTAGCTAAGACATTCAGTGAGACAGGGGTATAAACTCAAAATGATGATAACTTAGCTTCTACATGTATAATGTAAAAACTAACCCATGCACTAGCAAAGCTATTCACTAAAATGAGAATTCAAGGTGAATATAGCCAAAGTTTAAAAATTCTCCAAGTCAGCTATGCTATCAGTGTAGATACTCTGAACCTCGCCTCCCGTTTAAAACCTATAAAAGGAAAGATAAACTTACCTAGAATCCAGCCTCCTCTGTTACCAATCTCCTTAGTTTACTGCCAGAGATGGGAGGGAATAAGGGCTTACATAGGGTACCAACACAGGACAGTGGGAGGGAAGATGCAGGCTGAGGCAAGCGGATGTCTGTTACCGGCAAGCAGTGAGCGCCGATGACAGATTCATTTTCTGCACAGAACTCTCGCATTACACAACCTAGAATAATGGCCCGGCACAACAAGAGCAAATATAACTGAATTTGCAGTGTTTCAAGCAGAAACACTGCACATACAGACTCCTAACACCATGACCATTTCTAAAAGCAGAAGTGGTCATGGCGGCTGGAGTAACCTTTTACATTTGAAATTCACTTTGAATTCTCACTTTAGTGAATAATCCTGTAGGTTTATACACATTTAATATCACAGACCTAAATATCATCATGTATTTGAATGATATTAGCAAGTCAGACGAAACTGCTCTAATAAAGACTTACTCACGGAGTCTACTTGTTTCAGGCCTAGATAGCCATGAAAGTATTTCATCCCCAGTACAACACATAATTTCCCACCATCTGATATCTCTCTGATGTTATATGTGCCTGTTTGCTTTTAGAATAGGTTATATGTTGTTTATCTGTGCAGGGAAGAGACAGTAAGGCCATTATGAGCAAATAGCAGGCCAGCTAGTCATTAAGTATGAACTAGCTTTGAAGAAAAAAGATGCTTAATAAAACACCTACACTAGTGTGAATACATTAGTGTTCATAAGCAACACTGAAAGGTTTTTTCACAATCTTAATATTCTCATGTTTTACCCTCAATCAATGAAGAAATAAACAAGTAGAAACTCCAGACAATTAATGACATCTAATTTAACGTAATTTCACGACAGTCTTAACATGATCCAATTACCTTAAAAACTTTGAGAGTACATTGATTGCATCCATTGTGTCTTTGTTTTCCTTGTAAAGTACAAAATGGCAGAAACTTCCTCTGGATTTGGGCCAAGAATGTTTCCGTGGATCTTAAAAAGAGGAGTACATATAAACTTAAAAAATTAAATTTGTTTTGTTTGATAAAACCCCATGGTTGAATGCCTTTGTTATTAGAAAATCACATACTGCATATTTTGCACACAATGTAGAAAAATAAATAAATATAGAAAATTAGAAACAAACAAAAATATTTAAAATGTGCAAAGGCCTAGCAGCCACGCTTCGTTCATAATGTAATACTTATATGGATCGCTGGTCTTGACCACAAATTAGGACTTCTATTTCTTCAGTATTGTCAGCTACAAAATGGATGGTTGGCTTTTCCTAAATGTTGGTTTTTAGCTGTATGGAATGCCAACGTTACTTACCTGTGGGTGTTCTGACCTCTGTCCAAGTGTATAGCATAAAGAGCACAAGAAAGTAATGTTTAAATTCTACAGGTTTTTAGATTTATTTTATGTACTGGAGGTGGACATGCAAAAAAATAATTATGGTTGCATGATTATATCATTCGTTGGGGTTTAAAGGCATCCAACAAATGTGAGACAAGTCGCAATGGGCTTGGGAGAAGCAGGACACAATAAGCACATCAAGCTTTCCCCCCAAGTAGGTACCAGCAAAACATCACTAAGCTCATAAAAAGTGATATATATGGATCTCAAAAGTTCGTTCATCTTTAGAACAAGAGATAGAATGTTGTATGCAACAGAGAAATCTACACTTTTTTTAAACCCAAATGGAAAAAAAATACTTCCACTGTCTGAGATACAGCATTCAAGATTATTCACTAAGCACTGGATAGGCAGGCCTTAAATGCTACTCACCACGGCAAACACAGAGAGTCCATAGCACACTTACTAGGGGTACATTTCTACTCACCAGTGGCTAGAGGAAATTTGTAGACACGCACACAAATATTTTATATGGTGCTGGTGAGTAGAAATTTACCTCTGGCCAATAGAAATGTTTGTTTGAGTCTTGCAGTGGCAAATAACTTCTGAGGCCTGGCTAATAGTATAGGACTTGATATTTACATGCCTGCTGGCCATGTAAATATTTAGTCAACCAATAAATAGAAACAAACAATTGTGGTCCAATTAACAAGAAGCATCATAGTGACAGGTTTCATTGTACTCCCTCAAACTACAAGCAAGACCTCTGCTGTCCACTATACCTAAGCTCAATATGTCTGCCATTTGTGATGGGTTTGAAATTAAAGCTGCTCACTTTCTCCTTTCTCCATATCTTGTGTTGGAATAGGATAAAATAATGGAGGCCCAAGGGATTCTCCTATTAATTGCCTAATATTTCTGCCCTACGCCATAATAAACAGTGGGTGAAAGGTCAAACTTTCATTATTAGGATTCTGTGGCCCCTAGTATTATACCACACGCATCCCAACGCATCCCATTGTGCCAAATAGCACTATTAAAATATCCCTGCAATGTCCCAAAATACAAAGACAGTGGGGCTTCTTCATTAACCTTTAAAGGGACAATGGTCATCAAATTTTCAATAGTCATTTTTTTTAAAGTAATTACATTAAATGCAATGACCATTTGATTTTTTTTTTTTTTTTAAATGATGTATACGGACATTAAAAAAACAAAAACAAAATCCTTTTTTTATCTGGCTGAGTAGTCATGTTGGGTTAGAGTATACCGTTAGCTGACCAACTGTTGCTCCACCTAACTTGCCTGCATCTGCAGGTTCACACAGAGCAATCACATCATTGCTATTTATGGACTTCAAAGGAACAGGAAACAAAGTCTCTGGATCTGTCTCCTCTACAGCCCCTTCAGCATTTGAAAAAAAACACAAAAATAGTCTATTATATATGTTTGTTCACAGCATGTTCTTTCGGCATTCACACATAGACAGGGCTGCCTGCTGCTATGAAGTGCATACAGGGCAATGCTGTGGTTGCTCTGTGTGAACTTGCTGCAGAAGGCAAGATAGGTTGAACAGTAGTTGGTCAGATAGCAGTAGAGTCTGACCCAACATGGCTACCAGCTACCTGAAATAGTTATATTTAAAAAATAAATAAAAAAAATATTACAAATGTTCAACATCATAAAAAAAACCAAAAAAAAAACCACACCATTAAGTTTCAATAAATGTAATTAACTGACAGGATTGAACTGCTAAGGAAAGAAATCTCCCCACCATGCCTCTCTCTTTCTCAACCACACCTAGGTCATGCCTTTCCTACCCTTCAGATTCTCTCCCAGGCTACTGAACATGAGGTGGCTGCGCTTCTCCTTTCCTCTCGACCCACAGCTTGCCCGCTTGATCCTATCCCGTCTCACCTTATCAAATCTCTCTCCTTTTGTCTTGTGCCTTTAACTTCTGTCTTCTGGTGTTGTCCCCGCTGTACCCATCCTCCCCTTCTAACTATCGTCCCATATCCCTGCTCCCTTTTTTCTCAAAGCTTCTGGAAAGACTGGTCTTTACCAGTCTGACTTGCTTCCTCAATTCCAACTCAATCCTTGACCCTCTTCAGTCTGGCTTCTGCCCCCTCCACTCTGAGACTGCTCTTATTAAAGTCACTAACAACCTAATCGCAGCTAAATCCAAAGGGCACTACTCTATACTAATTCCCAACGCTCATTCAGTGTCTCCTTTTCTAATGATACCTCCTCCCTTCGGAGAGTCGGTTAGAGTCCCCCAAGGCTTTATACTTGGTCCCCTTCTATTTTCTCTTTATACTGCCTCTCTTGGCAAACTTATTACCTCATTTGGATTCCACTTCCACCTGTACGCTGATGACACCCAGATATACCTCTCCTACCCAAACCTCTCCCCTGCAACGTGTCACTGCTTGACTTTCTTCCATCTCTCATTGGATGTCCTCCCGCTTATTGAAACTCAATCTCTCCAAAACTGAGCTCCTTGTCTTTCCTCCTCCTAATACTGTACCCACATCAGTCCATCATTGCAAGGGCGCTGTCTTGGCGTCATACTTTATTCTGGCCTCACATCCAGTATGTTAAAAAATTCTGTAGATTCCACATTAAAAACAGACCGCATCCGCCCCTTTCTTACACAAGATGTTACTAATGGGCTTGTCCATGCTCTAGTAATTGTCTCATTTATTGTTAAATCTCCTCCTTTGATAATATTGTAAAGTGCTATAGAATATATTGGTGCTATATAAATACCATTAATAAATAATAATAATAACTGTGAGAAAAATTAGAAGTGATAATTTGATGACCATTGCTTTTTATGCTGTATACAACACATGCCTGATCAAGAGACATTAGAGATTATGCCTTTTAGCTAATTGGCAGCATTGTGAAAAGTTAGCGTAGGCCTAATCTAAGGGAACTACCTAGATGTGACAAGTGAGCTGACATTTTAATGGCTACTGCAGTGGTACTAAAAACCTGTTATTTAAATTTACAAATGAATTTGGCATAATGTGCAGGCAACTTTTTTGTTTGTTTTGTTTGCAAGTTACGGCTAGCCAAAATATAGATCTCGACCATTGTTGAATTACATCTCCCATCAGGGCTGGATTTCCCATTAGAAAGTGTAGCCACCTGCCTAAAGGGTCTCGTTCTGCCTTTTTTGGAGCTTAGGTGGGATAGGTGAAGTGAGATAAGCAACAGGAGCCATGGTTAGTGTCCTCTGTAATTAAGTTTGCATCCAATACTTGATAGCAGAGTGCAGGAACAATTCTAGTGTAAAACTCAGCTATACCTCCCAACATTTCAAATGGCAAAAGAGATTTGGGGTGTGGCCAGGGCGATTCTGAGAAATTGTAGATTACTTACTAATAACAATTTATGCACCTAAAACACAATTTAGTACAAGAACAATGCCTCTTATTTACACATGTTGATTTCTCATCAAATTTATTGATGGGGAGCTCCATCATAAACCCAGAGCTCGTTGAAAAGAGGGACCTTGGGGTAGAAAAGAGGGATTATGGCCATAAATAGGGTAACTTATGAAGTCGGTATCTGTGTGCGAGGATGGGCAGGAAGTGGAAAGTATCATTTCCCATATGCCAACTAATAGTATAACATTATCATTAAATGACGATAATAATAAAACAGACCAGTTTGGATACAACAGGATATATATAAAAAAAAAAATCTTAAATGGGATCTGAAATATTTTTACATTTTTATTTTAGGATACCTTTTGCACTGGCATGTCATTTGATGATAATGTTATACGTACGTCTAGAAACTTTATCTCAACCCATTTTATCTTATCTCTTAACTCATTATGGAGCAAATATTACATTTGGACATCATCCCAAAAGATCTTATGCCAGCAGGCAATGTCCATGCAGACCTGTAGTAGTAACGGAGTGTATTATCCCATTTTCAAATAGGATCAGAACAGATTTTTAAGACAACATAGAACATTATCAGCCCCTAAGCAATTTAAGTATTATAGGACCACTATATGCACCCAGACCACTTCAGCTTAATGAAGTGGTCTGGGTGCCAGGTCCACCTAGGATTAACCCTTTCTGCTGTAAACATAGCGGTTTCAGAGAAACTGCTATGTTTACTTTAGGGTTAATCCAGCCTCTAGTGGCTGTCTCTGACAGCCGCGAGAGGCGCTTCCGCGCTTCTCACTGTGATTTTCACAGTGAGAAGACGCCAGCGTCCATGAGAAAGCATTGAGAATGCTTTCCAATGAGACTGGCTGAATGCGCGCAGCTCTTGCTGCGCATGCGCATTCAGCCGATGACGGGGAGACGAGGAGAGTCTCCAGCACCGAGGGAGCCCGGCGCTGGAGAAAGGTAAGTGTTTAACCCCTTCCTCTCAATCCAGCCTGGTGGGAGTGGGATTCTGAGGGTGGGGGCACCCTCAGGGCACTATAGGCAAGGAAAACGAGTATGTTTGTCTGGCACTATAGTGGTCCTTTAAGTGCTATAGAATTGGTTCATACTGTATTAATAGGAAAAACAAGACCAGACTTGGTGTCAATGTTATTTCTTTGATTGATCTTAAAAGTCTGCAAAAAATAAAACTTACATTTTGGCAAAATCTTTAAGGGTTGCCAAGCATTTATACAATTAAAATGTAAATAAAATAAAGTTAAATAAAGTTAGGAGAGGGCATTAAAAAGCAAGAATGAGCTTACACAGTAGTTCTACCCCAGTCTACAGACGGTATTTCATTCGTATATGAAAAGTAAGAATAATGGCAAGAAGGATAAAAATGCAACATTTCTAGCATGCATGCAACACACGACATGCTTTAAGCATGCAGAGAGAGTGCACACACTATTATAAATGTCTAACGCTTGCTGGCTACAGCTGTAACATCACAGCTATAATGTAAGCATTTATTTAGCACATTTTCTTAAGGATGAAAGGCGTCTAAAACACAGACTAAGAACGAAGTAAACAAGATAACACTGGTTATATTACCCACTATACATTATACACACATTCAGAGAGAGAAAGTATATAAAGTTCATAGAAACACAAGCTAACATTAAAAAAACATCCAAATAATAGAATTCAGATTTTGACAATTGCTCAGTAGCAGCAATATGAAGAATGCAAGTTTGTAGATTGAGGCCTTGGAATAGATTAACTGCTCTTAATCTAGCCCTGTGTGTACAATGCAGAGTCCAAATTCATTCTATGAAGCCTCATTTTCAAGGTGATGACCTGGCTTCATAGAATACCAAAGAGACCTATCTTGTAGGTAGCCTTGAGAGAAGTTAGCGTAGTTTGCATCATTCCATAGAGAATGCTACGGTGAATCATGTGCAATCCCCATGTGATGCAGATATATGCTGCGTCACATGTTGATGTCTTGCATTTCCACATACCTGCATTACTATCACTATGGGCTCCTTGAAACGGTTACAGTACAGTGACTTACTTGAAAGTGCATTTTTGCCAGCTGCATGGTAAGCAATGATATACTTCTTTCCTTCTCGATCCTCTGTTTTGGTCTCCAGTCCAGGAAACAAACCCTTAATGGCTTGGTGGATGATTGTCCTCTTTTCTTTGGTGTCATCAACTACCTTTGAATAAAACACTATTTAAGTTATTCCTAACATTAAATTACATAATGGTAAAGACATTTTCTTTAATTTGTTCTTTGGAGATATAGTGTCCCTGCAGATTATCAGGCTTGCAGGATGCTTCCATCCACATCCCCAAGGTTAAAGGGACACTATAGTCACCTGAACAACTTTAGCTTAATGAGATTGTTCAGGTGAGAACTATAGCTCCCTGCAGCCTCTTTCATGTAAACACTGTATTTTCTGAAAAAATACAGTGTTTACATTGAAAGCTATGAACACCTCCAGTTGCAGTGAACCAGAGGGACTTCGGAGTTGATGGAGGCATAATACGCCTCCATCCCCTCAGATCTGTGGTCAGCAGAGCACAGGGCAGCACTGTGCACAGCATCCTGTGATTCAGTATCTCCTCCCTCTGCATGCAGACACTGAACTTTCCTCAGAGATTCACTGAATCAATTCATCTCTATGAGGAGATGAGGATTGGCCAGGGCTGTGTTTGAATCATGCTGGCTCTGCCCCTGATCTGCCTCCTTGGCAGTCTCAGCCAATCCTATGCGGAAGCATTGTGATTGGATCAGGCTACCACATGTCAGCAGACTGCTTGTTTTTCTGAGTCTAACAGCATGCAGAGTTACAGCTTCTGGCTTGAATACAGTAAGATTTTTTACTATATTTATGGAGGCATGAGGGGCCCAGGGGGGCTAGATGGTGGTGTTAACACTATAGAGTCAGGAATACATGTAAGTGTTCCTGACCCTATAGTGATCCTTTAAACACTAAAATGTTTTTATTTTTTGTTTTAGAAATTCAAACGGAGTATCAAATCCAATTGTTGGCCTAAACAACAAAACTGTAAATATAGCAATTCAGCTATTCTGGCCTAAAATGTGAAATTCTAAACAATCCACATTTTTAGGGAACAATCCAGTTAGTACTACACAAGGATACACTAAGAAGTCAAACAAGTTAATCAATATGATTGATTCCTCAAAGACACCAACATAGCTTGAATTAAAAAAAACAAAAAACAAAAAAACACAACATCAGAGAAGGGTTTTACCATACTTACTTATGTATTACATCTAGTCACATTTGCTTTGTAATTCGCTAGGTACCAGTGTCCATTCTCATGGATTCTTGATTAACACACAAATTACTGAAGACAGTGCAGTGCATGCACCATAACCACTAAAGCTGGTTGAAGTGGTTATAGTGCCCCCCAAAGCTAATGGTTTGACACTTACCCGGGTTCCTCAGGTGGCCATATTCTTTCCAGTCTTCTGCGTATCTCACATTTAATATTTGAGAATCATCGATTGCCTGAGTGCATCAGCTGACACTCTCATTCAATGAACCATAACCAAATAACGCAAGAAAATTGGCATTGATAAAGTGGAATAAGATTTTCTGCTATTTTGATATCTAAAAGAGTGGAAGGATAACGAGGAAGTGAGGGATCCAGGTGTCAAACCATTCAATAACAGTTTGGTTTCTTACTTAGGGACAATGCCTAAAGACTCTTTGCACCATAACCACTAATGTGTAGATTTTCAACTTACCTCAATAGCCACATTTGTTTCTTTGTTCTTATATAGTTGAAGCTCTTCTAAACTTTTCTTGTCGTCCGCTGAGAGCACAGAATAAATCTCTTCTGAAGGATCCTGGAAAATACATATTTATTTGAAAACCACTGGAGATAAAGGATCACTTGAGAAGACTAGAAGCTAGTAAATTTACCTCTTTGTCTGCTGGAACGGACAAATCATTCAAATAACTTATTTTGCCATTCTTTCCAATTTCATGGACAATGAAGTCTGAATATCTATTATACAAAACAACAACACAAAAAGTATTTATTAGGTGCGGAATAACAATACTTAAATGATGTGTACACAAACCTGGAACTCTGTACCAGACTGCAGAACATTTGGCCAACAGTAACAAATGAAAAACAGATAACTTTTTGTTTTGCATTAAACAAAATTTATTATTTTAAGTTCCAACGGGGTAAGCAAATCATGGCATTACCAGGGAAGTCATACCATTAACCCCTTAAGGACGAAGGCAATTGTCCAAGTTCTGAACCAAAACACAACCTAGAGTCTCCGTTATAGGTCTGTTCAACCAAAATTTACCTTTTTTATATTACATGCATCCACATATTATATTTCATTTTGTTCAGGAGAAACAAGGATTTCATTTCACATCAACTATTTATATGTGAAAATAATTAAATATGAATAAAATAATAAAATGTAAAAAAGTGAGGAATTAAGAATGTTGCTATTTTCCAAGTTCTGCATGGCATTTTTTTTATAATTCTTTATTTTTATTGTGCAAAGATTAACATACAGATTTGAAATGCCATGACGGCAGCAATAATCATTCCTTGAACATACATCGAGATGTTGTGTCATAACATTTGAGGATTGTGCACATTTTTAATAGTTTATAAAGCAAGCTAAACTGCGGATCTGAATAGAAGATCTGACTAAGATACATATTTTAACATGCTGGGGTTACACACTGCATATATTTGCCACTGGCCCCTGTCACCCCTCCTACAGCCTTGGCTAACTGATGATGGGAGAACGCGATTCCCTATGGTTAGCAAAATAAGCAAGTTAAAACAATATGGAACGTTGGAGCATAATAACGGTACAGGGTGCCTGTTCAGCCAGAGGTGTTAAGTATCAAGCTATGGTGAAGCCATTTTAAGCTAGTCAGGGTAAGTACTGCTGTGTGTGGCCTGATGTGGTGGGAGGCCTGTGGCAGGATATAGCCCTACGTTTACAACTACCCGATGCCCCTCAGTGGGTATCTACAGTCCCAACCAGTGGAGTGTCCAGTAAGGCAGGGCAGGTACAGGACCTTGTCCGTCCCTGGTGAACTCAGGTAAGTGCAGGCTTGGGGAATAGCGTCAATCATCACCTGGGACAGCAACCCTCTTCCTTGGTGCCTCTCTTTGTGATGGGCGTGATCTCTCAAAGGGTGCGAGGTGTGCCGATGGCGGTAGGGCTCAGCCATAGTGAGTTGGTGGCATCCAGCTAGCTTCCTCACTTTCTGCGTTGCGGCGGTGGTTTGTAGCTTGATGAGGCATTGCCGGTGAGTTGGCTTTGCTGGAACTGCACTCCTCCTACGGACTGTCCTCCTCTTCTTAGTGCGAGCGAGTGCATGTGTAGCTACAGAGGAGCGGTAGACCCACGCGGCGTGTGGTCGTCGAGTGGAGGCTTCCTGTCTGTGAGCCTCCGGTGCTTTAGATGCGGGCTGGTTTCGGCTCTTCATGTCAGCAGCCGGAGGTGAGTGGTCTAGCTTGCTGGCACTCTGTTGCCTCTCTTCGAGCTTGCGCCAAAATTCTGTGAGTAGTGCATCCAGCTTAGCGAGAGTCGTTTCCCTCGGGCCTTGTGGCAAGTTGTGGGGTCTTGCGCCCGCCACCTTGGTTTCCGCCGATTCTTCCAGCAGGGACATGTGCTGTGTCGCAGGGCCACCGGGTAGTCGTGATTGCGGTGTGAGTGCTGGTGCCGGGATAACCCCCACCGGCAAGGGGGGGGAACGGGAGCCCCTGTCGCGTCCACCTTTAGCAGTCGGATAGCCAGCAGGAAGATCGGCCGCTTCTTCCACGCCAGCACCCCCATGTAGGCCGCAGTTGTGTGCCGAGAACAGGCTGCTCATTTTGTGTCCAGGAGTCTTTCAGGTGTTGCAGAAGTAAAGTCTGCTTTTACCTGCTTTCAGGTAGTCGAGTTTGCTAATGTAAAGATTCTGAATTAGGGCTCTGCTGGAGTGTTTTACACAGAGCACACTCTGCATGCGGCCATCTCGGTTGGCAGCCAGGCCCCGCATGGCATTTTAACTGTGAATCTCACAATACCGTTAGCTTTTACTGCAATGAAATATTTGTATGCTGTGATATCGTGCTAGTAGCATAAATCCCCCAACTAACCCCCCTAACCCTGTCCCCCCTGTATTGGTTGCATGGTAATTTGGAAATTGACATGGTCAAATAAAGAGCTTGCCCATTTCAGTTTTTACAGGTTGAAATTTGCCAGATTGATGGGCCTATGGTGCCTTTGACACCGCATGGCAGCCCAGGAATGAAAATAATGTCATCATGGCATACCATTTGCAAAAGAGGACAACGCAGGGTGGGTATTCAGAATGGGGTTTGTCCAGTCTTTTAGTACCTACTTAGTCACAAACCCTGGCTAAAGTTAATTTTCATATTTGTTTTTAGCATTTTTCACATACAAAAACAAAACGTATTTTCACTGAGGATATCATCACCAATCTACATTTTACTGCTCTAAAAAGTACAACAGTACCCCCCATGTACAGGTTTTATGGTGTTTTGAAGTTACAAGGTCAAATATAAGGCTTGCAAATTAAATTCTCTGAAATGTCTGCCTGTGCAGTCAGGCAGGACACCAATATATAATAAAATATTATGATTATACATAAATACACTTACAAACATACAGTACATATATGGAAATTTCATTTTTTATATATATATATATATATATATATATATATATATACACACACACACACACACACATACATATATATATATACACACATACATATATATATATATATACACACACACACACACACACACACACACACACACACACACATAATGAAATTTCCATATATGAACTGTATGTTTGTAAGTGTATTTATATAAATATATATAATTTCTATATACTGTAGTTGTATTAATATAGATCTGCCTGAAAATATAATCCTGCCAGTCAAGCCGATTCGAGTCATGTAATCATGATGTCACCAGGCAGTTGCCCCGATCGCCACGGAGGGTAAGTATTTGGCCCGAAGGGAGAGCCTGATCTTTAGGACGGCATAGCATGCATAGAACTTCTTTTGTAGGACGGCATAGCATGCTCTAACGTTAACATCTTCACTACTGAGCAATTTTACATTTGAGTGGCAATATGAATGAGTCAAATCCCAATTTTGTTACAGATCACTGGACAAGTTGGAGATTTGCAACAAATGCAGGAACCTGACCGGTTGGTAGGAAGTAGTCTAGTAGCTTACTTTTTATTGTATATGAAATGCATCCTAACCTTACCTCTTGTGCCACTTTACCTCAATCCTTCTCACTCCTACTAGAAAACTAGAAAAATGGTCAGAGTTGTGGCAACTGACATTTAATGTGGATAAGTGCAAGATAATGCATTTTGGACGTAAAAACCCAAGGGCAGAGTACAGAATATTGGAGACCCCTAGTCACCTTGGTGGGGAGGGGAGAAATTGAAATAGGGCCCCCACCCGCCGCCCAGGGGTGGGAGCGGGGAGGACGGTAGGTTCCCCCCCCCCTCATTATCTGTATGGCCCCCACCCGCCACCCAGGGGTGGGGGCCGGGAGGACAGTAGGTCCCCCCCCCTCATTATCTTTATGGCACCAACCCGCCACCCAGGGGTGGGGGCCGGAGGGGGGGTGGACAGTAGGTCCCCCCCCCATTATCTTTATGGCCCCTACCTGCCGACCAGGGGTGGGGGCTGGAGGGGGGTGGACAGCAGGTCCCCCCCTCATTATCTTTATGGCCCACACCCGCCGCCCAGGGGTGGGGGCAGTAGACCCCCCCATTATCATTATGACCCCCACCCGCCGCGCAGGGGTGGGGGCCATTAGGTCTCCCCCCTTATTTTACTTTAGGGCCCCCACCCGTCGTTTAGGTGTGGGGGCCAATAGTTTTTTTTATTTTTTTACAGTGAGCAACCACAGGCTCACTGTTTACCAGACATGCCCTACTCGTGGTATAGCGAGTAGGGGCATATTATTTACTAATACTAAGTAATTTTTACTTGGTATTAGTAAAGTTGGCTGAAAGACCAATTTAGGTCTTTCAGACTTTTAGTAGATAGCTCCCTGATACCGTGGGAATTAGGGAGTTATCTACTTAGTGGCTGCAAGGTGCAGCCACAACATGAATAGGATCGGAGTTTCATTCATTCGAATGAAATTGCGATCCGAATAAAATGCCGAATTGCGTCCTAAAAGAAACGAACATACTGTTCTCATTCAGTTAGAATGCAATTCGGCAGTTTCGTGTAAAGTGACAGGAAGCATCGCGGGAACACAGAGGGAAGGTAAGGATCATGGGAAAATTGCTCTGACCAGCGGAAATTAAGCACACTTTGCTCCTCCGCTGGTCAGAGCTGGTCAAGTGGAGGAATCCTCCATGAGGCAAAGAGTCCCTACTTTGTCTTATGATTTTAAAGAAAACTAAAGAAGACAGGAAGAAAAGAAGAACAGATCCTGAGAGAGGGGGAGAAGAGGAAGAGATTGAGGAAAGGTAAGTTTGGCATGACAGTGCCGCTTTAACATGTATAGCTTGGAGGAAAGACGAGACAGGGGGGATATGATAGAAACATTTAAATACATAAAGGGAATCAACACAGTAAAGGAGGAGACTATATTTAAAAGAAGAAAAACTACCACAACAAGAGGACATAGTCTTAAATTAGAGGGGCAAAGGTAATATATTATATTAATATAAAGGTAAAAAATAATATCAGGAAGTATTACTTTACTGAAAGGGTAGTGGATGCATGGAATAGCCTTCCAGCTAAAGTGGTAGAGGTTAACATAGTAAAGGAGTTTTAGCATGTGTGGGATAGGCATAAGGCTATCCTAACTATAAAATAATGCCAGGGACTAATGAAAGTATTTAGAAAATTGGGGAGACTAGATGGGCCGAATGGTTCTTATCTGCCATCACATTCCATGTTTCTATAATATAACCTTTCTTGAGCAGGGCCCTCAATACCCTCTTCTCCCTGTGTCCAACTTGTTTTTCTGCAAATGCTTGTCTGTTAGTCCACCTATTGTACAGCGCTGCAGAATTTGTTGACGCTTCATAAATAATAATGGCAGCGAGCACTGACAAGCAAGCAGAGTGATCAACTCTCTGAACTTTGGGTTATCACATGCTCCTTACAGATAATCAAGGATATGGGAGAACACTGGAAGAGACAAGAGTTTCTATAAGATTCACCCTGGTAACAAGCAGCTTAAATTACAAGTATTATTAACTCCATACATGCCAAAAGGTGTGACAACTCTGTTATATTACCATACACACAATGTGTAATGGTCAACATAAAGGGGTTAAAACCTACATCCTGTATCAGAAACCAGTTTACCTCTCTTTCAAAATTCCAGAAAATCCTTCATGAGAGCTGACAAATTTAGTGATGCCAACATCAAGTTCAATCAGACCATGTTTCATCATGTCAGCAAAGGTCTCCTGGTCTCCTTCAGACTCCAGCTCAAGGGCCTCTTCTTCGCTTTCTGCTGCTTCATCTTCTGCGTTATTCACAGACACATCACCTGAAATATCAGATTCTATGGCTTGTTTGGTCTTTGTGACAGATGCATGATCAGATTCCTGGATGTTCTTCACAGGCTCTTTACTTAAGGAACTTTCTGAAACCCTTTGTCTCTTTGCTCCATCGTCATCAATAAGGTCTTCAGTAGAAATGGGACGTTTTAGTGACACAGGGGAAATTTCAATGGATTCCATTTTTCTTAAGGCACTGTAGAATGATTTAATAAAACCTGATTTGGTAAAGAAAAAAAATAGTCACAAAACAGTAGTACAATACAATGTAAAACAAAATAAAAATTATGGTAAGCACTGTTTATTTACGACTATAGCAAATAGGAATTTGAAAGGTAATCCACAGTTTACAAAATAATTGTACGTATCTGTCCAGTAGAACAACATTCTTTAAAAAAAAATAAAAAATTATTATTTATATATATATATATATATATATATATATATATATATATATATATATTTTTTATCTACTTGTCCATCGTGTCTAACGTGGTAGCTCAATGTACTCGTCCCCCATGACAATCTATTGGTCATGATACACAAAATTATTTTAAATTACAAAGATTGGGGCCCCTTTCTAGTGTGCTGTAAATAGTTTCATACATTTGCCCCAACAAGTCTATTTCTCTCCTATAGTGTGTGGGTTGACTGTGCATAATGTGTATGTACACGAACTGTACCTACCGTGTGCCTGCACGCCAGAGAAATAACCCGCGTTCCTCAAGACCTTAGATTTTAGTTGGCTAAAACAAAAAACTATTCAGATGACTAAAATACAACTAAAGCTAAAATGGCTTTTGAGTCAAAAGACTTTGACTAAAACTAAATAGAAATTTACCGCCAAAATTAAGACTGGCGCTTAATCAGCTACGTCAGTATTAAGTGAGGTGTATGGTTTTAACATATGTAATTTATAAAGATGCAACTTGTGCCATAATTATTGTTTTGGTTAAAAATAAAAGTTATAAAAAAATTAAAAAATAAATAACACTCCAAGCACCATAACCATTAAATGATGTGAACAGTTTCAAAACTAACTTGGAGTCCAATGGGTGTCACCTCTTCAGGTTAGAGCACAGGGCTATGCCCAACTGAGTTTCTGTGCTCTGTAGTGGTTATGGTGCTTGGAGTGTTGTTGAATCCTTTTGTAGGTCTTTGGTCTCGTAATGATACTTCCCATTCTATACTTCCTATGCTGCTGTAGTCAGGCCAAAAAAAAGGAACCATATTTAAAGGGAAACTATAGGCATCAAAACAACTTTAGCTTAATGAAGCAGTTTGAATGTACAGATCATGCCTCTGCCGTCTCACTGCTCAACTCTCTGCCATTTAGGAGTTAAATCACTTTTGTTCCTGTTCATGCAGCCCAAGCCACACCTTCCCTAGCTGTGACTCACACAACCTGTATGAAAAAAAATTAAATTTTATGTCAAGACACGGAGGCTCATATTACTTAAAGGGACACTATAGTCACCTGAACAACTTTAGCTTAATGAAGCATTTTTGGTGTATAGAACATGCCCCTGCAGCCTTTACTGCTCAATCCTCTGCCATTTAGTAGTTAAATCCCGTTGTTTATGAACCCTTGTCACACCTCCCTGCATGTGACTTGCACAACCTTCCATGAACACTTCCTGTAAAGAGAGCCCTATTTAGGCTTTCTTTATTGCAAGTTCTGTTTAATTAAGATTTTCTTCTCCCCTGCTATGTTAATAGCTTGCTAGACCCTGCAAGAGCCTCCTGTATGTGATTAAAGTTCAATTTAGAGATTGAGATACAATTATTTAAGGTAAATTACATCTGTTTGAAAGTGAAACCAGTTTTTTTTTCATGCAGGCTCTGTCAATCATAGCCAGGGGAGGTGTGGCTAGGGCTGCATAAACAGAAACAAAGTGATTGAACTCCTAAATGACAGTGAATTGAGCAGTGAAATTGCAGGGGAATGATCTATACACTAAAACTGCTTTATTTAGTTAAAGTAATTTAGGTGACTAAAGTTTCCACCAATAGCAGCAAAGAATACACCAGTAAGAAAACAAAAACAAATGGTTACCATAGTGATAGGCCACACCCATACCAAGTCCCAGTATAATAGTCAGCACATCCCCACACATTTCCTCTTTCTTTGCTGCTCCGACCAAAGATAAGTAATTACATGACAAATTTTTTCTCATACATACTAGTATTCGCTTATTGATTTCTGGTTATTTATATAATTTATTTATTGTTATTTGAGTTTCTATTGCTCCTTTTGTTGATAATTCCTTTTTTGCTTTAATTTATCCAGTTGTTAAGGATTTTTTCTGTGTATTATTACATGCTTGTTTACTACTATATATTGTGTTGGTTAGCTTTGAGCCCAGGGTTCCAGACCTTCCTTATGTTTTATTCTGTGTGTTAACCATGCTCACTTGCTTCTTCTGATTACTATCTTATCTCTTTTCATCTTCCTCACTACCCTTTGGCGCCATTTTCTCAGTTTATTTGGCGCCCTTTTACACCTGTTTTCCGTTCTGTTCGGCTGTTTTCGTGAAAGAATTCTAACCAGTTCAGCAAATTCTTCACGAACACACACTTAGCTTCATTCGTCTGTTTTGCCTCGTTTGGCTACTTTTTATTCGAACAGTCAGTGCATTCACCTGTTTCCTATTCATTACTTTCGTCTATTTATCCCATTTAATTTGTCTCTTTTTTGCTGAACGTTCGGCTCTTTAACTTGACTAATTGACTGTATTTTTGGCCGCGAATCTTGCGAGATTGCAGACGGCCATTTCCTGACTTCCTGCCCCTCTGACTTTGTGTGTGTTCTCTTCGTATCTGCTGGTCTGGACCCTGGTGAGCTCCATAACTATACCCTCCTAGGTTATATTACTTTGGGGTGATTAACTCCTGCTAGTCTCCTCTACTCTGATTTTAGCTTTATCCCATACATTTATGCTGTTTATAGTTGTTATTCTTTTGTTGGGGGAATAACTCACAGCACTACCATGCCCAGATCTAAAGTGCCTGCCAGCCCCTCCTCCCCTAGGGAGATGGACATGCCACAGGTTTTGGATAACCCATCTTCCAATTCTGATTTCCCTTCTTCTGTTGGGGACCCTATGCCTCTGACTGATGAGACCCAGTCCCTGGCGCTACAGCGCTCAGTCTCTGACGCCATTAAGCTGCTATGGGCTCCATGTCCTCTCCCAGACCATCTCACAGGCCTTACTTGCACGCCCTTTGGCCGCAGAAGGCTCGGCCACGCCGACATGCTTAACGCGCCCGGCTATTGACCCTATAGGGGAGGCACCAAAAAAGGCTACTGCCAAATCCAAGCACTCAAATCTCCCTGCCTCCAGAAACAACACGACTGGTGTGACTATAACCACCCATGACTGCGTGCCTGTCATGAGAGCCTTTCCCCGCCAGGCAGAACGGGCGCGGCAGTGGAAATGTGCTAGAGCACAAAAAGAGAGAGACTCCAACTCGGTGTCAGCCTCCTCACTAGACCCGATTTCTGAGTCTGTGGGTAACTCAGATGATGAATTTTGTGGGCAGAAATTTGACCCTTTTGGCCCTGCTCACTCCGTGGTGGTTGCGAGTGGCCCTAGGAGCGTCTCCCCGGCTACTGCGGGCTCCACCCTCGTGGATCCGTCTGGGGAACCCATGTTTGACCCGGATGCTCTCCATCATCCGAGGTTGGCGGAATTGCTCCCGACGGACCATGTGGCACGGTACCTTGAAAACTGGGTACGACGCCTCCTCAGTAAGGCGGCGTGTAATAAACTTTGGTACCTGGCAAAGACCATTGGTACCTGGCAAAGTCTGTGAGACCCCTGTAGTGGACCCAAAGATGACCCAATTCCTCTCCAACATGGGTTGGAATCCCCGCAAGGGTCTAGATTCAGAATTTAAACAGTCTGACCTGGCTGAAATTGCCAGAGAGCCGACAAGTTGACCTGGAGAAACTCCGTGGCTGGGTGCAGAGGACTATATGCATTGCGGGCAGCGTAAACACTTCCCTGTCCATTGAAAGGTGTAAAGCCATTCTGTTCAAGATTGAACCCAAACTGGCCAACCTCGCCCTCACAGAGGCGGGCAAGGATGCCCAGGGCCTTTTATTTGGGGACTCCATTATTAAAGGACCCGGAACGCTTTGTGGGTGCCTTTACAGCCCTAGATAATGCCCAATCCTCCATGAAGAGGGTGTTTCTTGGGCGGGTCTCTACCAGGGCCGGCAGATTCAGGGGTCCTCTGTCCGGCCGTTCCAATTACCATGCTCGTGGATCGGGACGAGGCTCCTACACTCAGAGAACACCCTACCAGGAGACTTGGGGAAGACCATGGCGTTCCAGAGGCTTTAGAGGAAACCCCGGTTCCAGACGCCCTTACAGTAAGCTTAAATCTTCTTCATGTTTCTTCCAATATGTGTGTAGGGGGCAGACTCCGTCATTTTTTCCACACGTGGTCAGCCATCACTTCAGATGTCTGGGTTCTGACCACAGTTCGGGGGATTCACATCGAACTGGTCGACACTCCGTGTCACATTCCCCCACCTGACCCTATTTTGCTTTCAACAACCGACTGCACCTTGATAGACGCAGAACTAACGGCCCTCCATGCAAAAGGGGCGATAGAGCTAGCCCCGGTGTCCTCCACAAGGGTGATCAGCAACATTTTCCTAGTGGAAAAGAAAGGCGGACAAATGCGCCCAGTTATCAACCTCTGTGCCCTAAACACCCTGGTGTGCTTTCGTCACTTCCAAATGGAGGGCATCCACCTCCTGAGAGACTTACTCCTTCAGGGAGACTGGATGGCAAAGTTGGATTTAAAGGATGCCTACTTGACGGTCCCAGTGGCAGAGTCATCCAGGGACCTGTTAAGTTTCCTCTGGAAAGGAGACACCAGGCGCTTCACGTGCCTCCCTTTCGGACTGTTGTCAGCCCCTTGGTGCTTCACGAAAACTGATGCGCCCCGCCATGGCTTGGCTGCGCTGTTGGGGAGTCCGGCTAATCGTCTACCTGGACGACGTTCCTCATCATGGCACAGGATCGTTCAGTCCTTCAATGGACGATGGACCTCCTCTCCCACCTGGGTTTTCTCCTCAACTGGGAAAAATCCTGCCTATCTCCTTCACAGCGCATGGAATTCCTAGGCTTCACGGTAGATTCCGAAGCGGAGTCACTCAGTCTCCCTACGACCAAGATACGGACAATCTGCAAGGAACTGTGCTGCGCTCTAACGGGCACCCAGCTATCTCTGCGCCACCTGGCACGGATCATTGCCCTTCTGGCAGCATCAATCCAAGTGGTGTTAAAGCCCCACTTAACTACCGCGCCCTCCAGGGCCTGAAGATCGCACACCTTCGCAGCGGGGCGTCCTATGCGGACATGATCTCCCTGGACTCTGAGGCTTGGGACGAATTGACCTGGTGGATCCACAACCTCTCGGCTTGGAATGGCAAGGCCATCTTCGGCTCTCAACCAGAGTTCACAGTAGACAGACGCAAGTCTCCACGGCTGGGGTGCCCATTGCAACAGCTGCGCATAGACAACATCTCAGCGGTCCGCTAAGTAAACCACATGGGTGGCACTCAATCGGCAATCCTGGCCTGCTTGGCAAAAGATTTTTGGGCCTATTGCTTGGACAGGAACCTGGTGGTCCAGGCTGAATACCTTCCCGGACTCCACAACACTCACGCAGACTGGAGTTTATGCTGTCGGATAACAGCGATTGGAAATTGGATGTGGGCGTATTCTCCGCTATATCGGGTCCTTTTGCCATCGACCTCTTCGCTTCCAGGCTCAATGCCCAATTGCCCAGATTCTACAGCTGGCACCCGGATCCAACCACGGAGGCAGTGAATGCCTTCCTACAAGACTGGACCGGCTCACTCCTCTACGCCTTTCCCGTTTGCCATGATCCCTCAGGTCCTGCTCCATGTTCGCCGCCAAATGGCTGACCTTATCCAACTAACCCCATTCTGGCGGACCCAATCCTGGTTCCCACAACTCCTGGAACTGGCGGTAGACGTACCCAGACTGCTGCCGTTTCTACCGAACCTCCTCCTGGACCCATCGGGCCTTCAGCATCCCCTCCTAGCGGACGGGTAGTTACTGCTGCTCGCATGGAGAATTTCGACGCCTCCTGGCTGACGAATGGGCTCCCGGGACTAGACAAGCATATGGGACCGCTTGGACTGGCTGGTGCCTGGCTCGGAACTTGGATCCCGTTTCAGCACCTGTGACCGCGATCCTTCTATTCCTGACTTCATTATTTGAAGCTGGTCTGGCATATCGCACGATTAATTTGTACAGATTGGCCATCTCCTCGGCTCACCAAGGATTTGACGGCCGCTTACTTACGGGCTCACGCCTGTCGCGTCCCCCCTAGACCTCGTTACTCCACTACTTGGGACATTTCCGGCGTTTTGTCTCTGTTCTCCTCCTGGCCGCATAATGCGGAGCTCTCCCTAAGACACCTGTCGGCCAAGTTGGTCTCCCTGTTCTGTCTCATTTCATGCAAACAGGTATCGGATGTTCATGCCCTGGACTATGATGCTAGGTCTTTCACTTCGGACGGGGTGATGTTTAACATCGCCAGACGCACCAAGACCTCTATTCGATCGGTTTCTTATCTGAGCTTCCCGGGTACTCCAGCCCTATGTCCGGTGGCCTGCTTACGGGAATATGAACTTCGGACGAGCGCACATCGTGCAACGTCGTCTCCCCAGCTCTTTCTCTCGCTTCATCGCCCTTGTTTTTCAATCTTATCAGTGGTAAGGGGGAAAACCCCAATCCAATTTCAGGGCTCATCTCTACTACTGTTCCCTGACCTAATGAAAGTGACACTACACTGGTGTAGGTCCATGGAGCCTCTGCTACAAATCTTACGAACCCAAGACGTGGCATACCGCTGGGGAACCCCCGGCTACTCATACTCACCCACCAAAAAAAGCACCTACAGAGCTAAGAGCCCACAAGAACTAGAGGCCAGCATGCACAGCTTGCAGATACTACCTGAACAGGATGCCTCCACTTCTCATTTTCAGAACATAGATCCATCCAAGATCCTAGCTTTCAAGCCTCGGTTAACCCTGGGACACCAGTCTACAACACCGGTTACCTGACTGACCCGATACACACGGTCCTCCTGCTGGAGGTATCTCCAACAAGCCAGAAGGACTATATGAGACCACACGAACTAGCCTTAAAGTTAACCACCGACAGTTTCATAATTTTGGTATTTTATTTTTATTAGTTCTATTTTCCTTTCTCTCAGTTGCTGTGCTCCCATTATATCTCTGTTCTCCTCTCCCACCCTCTGCGAACACGCTGTTTAACTCAAGGGGAGCTAACATACCCAGACCTGGACGTTACCCAGATATACCCATCCCCAGGGTGAATAACACCTGAGAAGACCCCCCCCACCCCACACTCTACTGTTAGATACAAACATGCACTGGTTACAGTGTGGGAACGGGCTACCTTGTATAAGGTTTCACACCTCTTTTGTACATTACCAATTAGGTCCAGCAAGCCCTAACCATAAAAACCCTCCCTCCACTCCCTACTCACACACAATGTCTGAATGGCATACTTGATTTATTGTATTTTTGTGAACCTACTATTTGTTACATACTCACTAGTGGAGTGAGGCAAAAATAAAGCTTTAAAAAAAAAAAAAAAAAGTTTACACATTAGATCTCTCTTTACAGGAAGTGTTTAGGAAGGCTGTGTAAGTCACACGCAGGACTAGAGCTGTAAACAAAGTGATATAACTCCAAAATGTAAGAGAATTAAGCAATGTTTGATCTATACACCAAAACTACGTTATTAGACAAATATTGTTTTCGTGCCTATAGTGTCCTTTTAAATCTTTAGTCTTGAAAGAAATATTGAGAGTATGGATTGATTTCAGAAGGAAACCTAAAATTTATTCTATGATTCCAAGGTACACACCGACTGAAGTCGTTGAGCAGAATATCAATGATATGATACGATCCTATCTAAATGTGAGATTAAAAAAAATACAAAAACTAAAAAACTGGAAATTGACAACTCCCGCCCCAAATACTTAAAGGACCACTATAGTGCCAGGAAAACAAACACTAGGTTCCCCCCACCCGCTGGGCCGAACCTTTCAACAGCACCCTTGGCGCTGGACGACTCTCCTCCTCCTGCCGACGTCAGCGCCAAATGCGCGGCAAAAGACGCGCATGCATTCAAACAGTCCATAGGAAAGAATTACTCAATGCTTTCTTATGGATGCCAGCGTCTTCTTACTGTGATTTTCACAGTGAGATTCGTGGAAGCGGCCTCTTGTGGCTTTCAATGAGACAGCCACTAGAGGATGGATTAACCCTCAGTGTAAACATAGAAGTTTCTCTGAAACTGCTATGTTTAGAGCTGCAGGGTTAAAACTAGAGGGACCTGGCACCCAGACCACTTCATTGAGCTAACCCCTTACGGACCAAACTCCTGGAATAAAAGGGAATCATGACATGTCACACATGTCATGTGTCCTTAAGGGGTTAAGGATTAGTCCACTGAGGAAACTAATCTGAGGGCTTTGATAACAATGACATATCACTGAGACGGCTCACAGAGTTTGTATACCACATAATAGAGCATGCCTGGACTGAGCTGATGTGCAGGATGTGAACTACACCAGCTAACCAATGCTTTAAACACAGAAAAACTTTACAGATACTCTAGCCTATATTTAAATTGGAAATTGAGAACTCCCACCCAAATATAAAATGAGCTATGATAAATATCATGGCCTTATATTTGAAAACTCCACATTGGTAGAACATATTAACAAGATCTTTCTTGGCAAAATGGGGAAGGGCGTCTTTACAATAAATAGTATAATTTGCTTCACTTGTTGGATCACCCTTTTGGTCCAGATTATTTGAATAGTTGGCAAAAGGAATTGGGTATTAAGGTAGATAGAGCAATTTTTGACAGAGAGTTGGTACGAAATAAGTAAGGTTACTCACTGTTTGAATACGCATGAACTTTATTTTGAGATTTTGAATAAGTGATATTTGGTTGCCCAAATATTAACTAAATTTGCTTCTTCTGAATCTTCACTTTGTTGGTGATGCGAAAAAAGATCTGGGTACTCTCTCACATATTTGGTGGGAGAGTAAGAAAATTAGAATTAAACAATCAAACAATGATGGAGGGGGGCGGAGCCTAACCACGGAGCCGAATGGACGCCATCATCCACGGCTCCCCGGCACCGAGACACAATCTACCGCGAATCTCAGGTAGGGGGGGCCATCGACCCGTGGGACCCACAGTCACGATCCCAGGACTCACAGGGCTACCTACCGATGCCCCTTTTAAGCCCACAAACGGGCAAAAAACGAGTCCGCAAATCCCGGGCCTACCTCACTCTCCCGCCGGCATCGCAGCTACCCGCGGGGATCCCCCTGAGCCTGGAGGACTGGTGCGGACAGCGGGCAGGTCACTACTCACCCGACAACGATATGGGGAGGAGAACACAGAAGCCACAACAGGCAGCACCCAGGGACTCCCAAGATATTGGGACTCTGCTGCAACGCACAGCAGGCCACAAAATGGCGGCCGAACAAGAACAGGAACCTAGCCCCACACATTCAGCACAGCTGTCCCAGGGAAGCAGCAGTGACATGAGAGCTGAAGCTCCCAGCAACCCACAAGCAGAGGGGGATGACTCAGCCCCAGCCACTAAAAGGGACATCAGACTCCTATTACAGGAGATGAAGGGGCTGTTTGACACTGACATAAACTTAATCCGCACAGAAACGCAGGCGGTGACGGCAAGAGTACAGGCCTCTGAAGAAGACATACTAGACCTCCGACAGGAGGTGAAAAGCATGGGGGACGCCCTGAAACATTTACAGACAGCGAACTCAGCGCTCCAAAACACGCTAGACGCCATGGAAGATCGCAACAGGCGCACACATATTAAGATTCGGGGTATTCCTGATGCAGTGGGACCATCCGAATTACCACAGTTCCTGAGGAGACTCACGGCCACAATACTGCCACATACACAAGCCAAAAAGCTGGAATTTGACAGCCACTTCCGCATTAACAAAGCAAAAAGGGCACCCACAACGGCCCCAAGGGACGTCATCGTCCGCTGCCATTCCATGACAGACAAACGCCGCATACTAGCAGCAGTAAGAGACAAGACACCCTTGGCCTTCGAAGCCTCACAACTTACCTTCTTCCAAGATATCACGCGGAGCACCCTACTCTGGAGAAAGTCCTTGAGCAACATAACGGAACAACTGCAGAAGGGGAACGTAGAATACAGATGGCTGCTGCCAAGAACTCTGGCGGTATTCAGCGGAGAAGAAGTTCTAAAACTCACCTCACTCTCGGAGGCCCCAGCGCTTCTCCAAAAATTGGGACTAACTCAGAACGCCCCAACACCGGGACAAACACAAGCTACCCACTCCTGGGACCCGGACAGAATAGTACCATATGTCCCTAGGGGCAACAAGAGACCGGAGACGGAGACCTGAACACCTTAAACTGTTTACCTCTTAATTTTATTTCCATGCTCTGATATTCTCCCCTCTTCTATGATTTCACCCTATTGCTCCACGAAAACACGACATCTCACTATTAACTCCCCATACAAAGTCGGAGACGATCTCCCAACCCCCGCGACCCTCTTAGGTTAAGGGCCAACATTACCTACTAACCCAAGCATAGCAAACGCGACACAAAACCCACACTCAGGCACAGACAGACGCACATATACAATTTTCACCGAGGACGAGCAACAGCACGTTACAATTATCAACACCCCCCCTCAAATAACAGAGAGGAGTGCCACTTAACCACTCACAGGACCCAAGCAACATAGACACAAACATTCACAACCAGTTCACCCTATGGGAACCTACCGCATGGGCACACTCGACACTAGAAAACCAGAAAAAGTGCAGAAACATGACCACAAGTTCTTCCTGACTACTAGGACGCAAGCTAAATTCCTCCGACCGTAGAACAAAAAGACTCATGCTATATACTTGCTGCCAATCCTATGCTCCTGATATGTTATAAGTGTAAAACGTATAGACTGATCTAGACCCTTGGCAAAACAATTGTTATTTACTAATCTGCCTATGTTGAAAAGGCAGCTCAAGTATGTTATTCTTTGTTACATTTCTCAATGCACAGAAAATAAAGAATTAAAAAAAAAAAAACAATGATGGAAAATGTATACTTTTAAGCAATGAATAAGTATAGTGAATATTCTTTAAATTGGAATCTTTGGTGGAAAATAAAATCTACTTAAATTAAAACTAAATTTACATTTCAAATAATGAACCTAGAATGAAATTAAATAATTCTTTACTGAATCTTGACCTTGGGGACGGCAAAGTGGGTACATGTGATTTAAAGATTGGATTATTTTATTGGTTTTTTTATAATGCATGGGAATGTATGATGTATGTCTTTATTTGTATAATTTTGTATTGCTATAATAAAGAAATTGAAAAAAAAAAACATCCATCATGATGACAACATGCTAGCTTCCTTGCCAGAGTGTTGGCGTCTGAAGGGAGTGACATCACGTTACTCTGTTCCTTTACTCCCTAATTGCCAGCTTGGGAGTTACCATAGCAACCAAAATTAATATGCTTTGGTTGCTATGGGTGGAGAGTAGAGGGACGTCCTGTAGGAGGTCTTTCCTGCAATCCTTATCTCTGACATTGAGTATCTGCTGAGGAATTGAGAGATAGATGGGAGAGAGAAAAAATATTTGAAAAGTTTTTTTTTCTTTTTTTTTTTCTTCAAATCTATACATTTGCTAGGAAGACCTTTAAAAAGAGCTACAGTTGATTATTTGATGACAGGTTCCCTTTAACGTATAACAAGACTCATACTCTCCCAAGCCTTTTTATAAGTAAATGGCCTTGCTTTTACATTCTTGAGTGGAGTGGAAGGGACTGGAGTCATGTATTAACAAATGCCTGTATAATATCCTTACCAAGATACACTTCAGAATGTGTAAGATGTATTATTTTTGTATGTTTGAAGGCATAAAGTAACCTGTAAAGGACCAAATGATGGTCTATGCCTTGATGTTCTCTGGTTCTTACATTTTTTATAAAGTCTTAAATATGAGGGGGCAGGGCCTGGCTGTCATGCTGCATGGATGCCATCTGGCCCGAGAGCATACAATCTGTCACTATCGAGGGCCAGTTTGGACAGACACTACACAATATTATTGGGTGTAAGCCCTCAAGCCCCCAGTATGCGATATATATTTTGAATTGCTGCAAGAATGGGCAAGATTGAGGCCTACCCTGCCATTAGCACACTGCAGAATCTGGAGGCCTCGATAACAATGAGATATCACAGACGGCTCACCGAGTTTGTATACCACATAACAGAGCATGCCTGGACTGAGCTGATGTGCAGGATGTGAACTACACCAGTTAACCCAGGGGTAGTCAACCTTTTTCTACCTACTGCCCACTAATGCATCTTTGTTGATGAAAAAATGTCCTTACCGCCCACCAGTCCAGAATTTTTTTTTAGAAAGGAGGGTGTTTTAAAAAAATAAATGTACGTACATTTATCTTTTTTTTTCTACTTTATGCATGTTTTTAACGTTATAAAGTTTAATGAGAAAGCAATAAAGTAAATTGAAATTACCTTTACTAGTGATTAATGATATCCTTGAGGTTGATGCTGCGAGACTAAATATTTGATATCTGGTTCGATTTTCGTAAGGAACAAACGCAGGTCTCTTTCGGCGATATTCAGACGACTTCTCTGTTTGCGCATAATATGATTTCTCACCTGTGCATCAGCTCCCCTCCTCTCCTTCCTCAATTCCCTCCCCCTTTTTCTATTTTTTACCTTCCTTATAGCAATGCCCAGCAGGCTGAGCTAGGTAGCCCACTTACTATTATTAGCCAACAACAATTCTCTCCTTTTCCTTTTTATATTTTTTCTATTGTACAAGTTCTTTACCTTTTTTTCTATTCTACAAGTTCTTTACCTTTTTATCTATTCTACAAGTTCTTTACCTTTTTATCTATTCTACAAGTTCTTTACCTTTTTATCTATTCTACAAGTTCTTTACCTTTTTATCTATTCTACAAGTTCTTTCTCCTTTTTTGTTACAAGTACTCTCCTCCTTTATTTTATCCTCTTTTTTTCTAAAAAAATTTTTTTGTATCTTTTCCTTTTTATCTCCTTTTTTATGCTTTTCTTTTACCTTCCTTACGGCAATGTACAAAAGGCTGAGCTAGTTAGCCCACTTGTTATTATTAGCCAAAAACAATTCTCTCCTTGCCCTGTCTATAACTTTTCTTTCTCCTATTTTACAGCTGCTCTGCTCCGCTTCTGCCTGTCCCTGCTATTGTGCATCAGCTCCCACGTGTTACATGTTTGCGCGCATGCACGTGGTTACTTGTTCGCGTGCACGCATTCTCGCGCGTGTTCATACTTTCATTTGTGCACTCGCACCCGCCCACCCTCTCAAAAGGAGGATTTAGCCGCCGAAATCCCTACCGCCCACCTGGAATCCTGAAATGCCCACTAGTGGTCGGTAGGGACCAGGTTGATGACCCATGAGTTAACCAATGCTTTAAACACAGAAAGGGCTGGGCAGCCGCCCTTGTTCTGCCCTGTGGTCAATGCTGGGCCTGAAGGGCAGCCGGGGGATCTGGGAAAGACTGTCGATCCCAAAGCTATAAGGTTTTTTTGCCTCTGCTGGGGGTGGGGAGAGTGCAGGTCATGTCTGGACTGTGCCCGTTGCCCTGAGGCTCGGTAGCCTGCTGGATTATGAGCTCAAGTTCTTATCATATTTTAATGCTCGCCTACTTTATGCGAAATGCAATTAGAAATCATATGTGCTTTTTTTATTTGTGGTGCAGATGGGGTCCAGTTGTGAGAATTGTGAATGGATAGGGTCCCTCTGCCACTCAAACCTTAACCCCTTAAGGACCAAACTTCTTGAATAAAAGGGAATCATGACATGTCACATGTCATGTGTCCTTAAGGGGTTAAGTATCTCGTGTTTTTTTAGCTACCCAGAGGGTTTTGCAATGGTTATTTTCTATTTCTCTACTTCTGTTCTCTTACTTACCTCTGCTTCACTTCTACTTCAGTACAACTTGCATCTACGCTAACTATTATACTGTCAAGTTATGCAGCCGTCATCATAATATATATTAAGACAAAGTAGACTTTCTCTTATTAACAATAATTTTCCAGTTTACTCCCTTTCCTATTCTCTCTCTTCCTCTTTCCTATTCCTACCTTTTCTTTGGGCTCAGGTCAAGCATTTATTCTCATCTACTATTTCTATACTTGATAGTGGGTCAGGTATTCACCCCCATAACAAGCTTTAGGATTACAGCAATCTGTTTTTTTACATTTTTTTTTAGATATACATAGATAGATATTCATTGTACAATTGTGTGCAATAATGCTTTTAGTATTCTATATGTCTTACAAATTGGCAGAGACAGTGTAATTTTTAAAGTAAAATTTCCCGTCAGTATAACAGACCACACGGGGCCCCCCTTTATAGATGTGATATATTACAGGTAGTAATGTGTGTTATACGGTTCCATATTTTAATCAAGCATACACCCACATCTACTGTTGCTATATTTGACAGATTATGCAAAACATGCTTTAGGAATACAGATATATGCTTTTTACAGATCTGTTTGTTTTCTGATACTCATTATTATTTATATAGCGCCAGCAAATTCCATAGTGCTCTACAATGGGTCATATAAGTACTGAGGCACCCCTTGTATTCTACATGCCTTAAAATGAACCGAGGGACCAAGTGTCATTTTTCTCCTTTTTAAATTCCTGTCAATATAGCCTATCACATTTTTGTTGTGATGTTATCTAGGCAGTAAGGAGTGTTATATTGTTATATGCATGCAGATGGGCTTGTCTAACCATTTTCTAATTGTCTAGTTTATTGTTAAAATTTCCCCTTTTATAATATTGTAAAGTGCTGCAAAATAGATGTTATATAAATGCTAATAATAACAATAAAGATTTTAGAACTTTACAATTCTGTGTGAATATGTATGGCTACTGCACGTCATTTAAGTTACTTTTACTCAGTGCATACTGCTCTGGAAAATATGTTGGCATAAAGATATACTGTATGTATATATTTTAGCATTATTTATGAAGTGTCACTATACCTGTTGCAGAACTACAACTCACATGAAGCTTTGCCAACCCTAACAAGATAACTATAGGCATTGGAGATGTCCCACAGCTGGAGGTCTGTCCCTGCTCAGTATATCTGGGTGTATCTGTGCCCACCCTCATGTATCACAATAAGACAAGTCTGACCGCCTGCTAATGTGTGCGGGTAATAATACACACATATTGCATTGTATGTGAAGGCCCTCACAGGGGATGTAACCTATGTGCAGATTTGGCGATGTACCTGGATGGTGCTGGGCCGTGCGGCTGGGAGGTATCCTAGCGAGCAGTAACCAGAACCGAGTGACAATCCTGGGAAACGGGATGCACAACACGTGGGGAGAAAAAGCCAGCTTCACACCACCTGGTCCCGAGTCCTCCGGCTCACCATCGAGACGCAGAGATAAGAGATAGAGCGGCCGTTTCTTCTTCTTTTTTTTTTTTTCCTCCCCCCCTTTCTTCCCTCCCGGCTGTTACAGTCTATGGTGCGCGGCCTGCGGTTGCCTAGGAGAGGAGTCAGAGAGCAGTCAGTCAGACAGAGAGGGGAGGGGGAGTGGGTGACGCAGTGTATAGAAAGCAGCGCGCTGGGCGACGCGGGCTCACTTGGCCCATGGAAGCCGACGGCTGCGCCTGCGTGTACAGAGCCCCGGCCGGCACCGGTACCAGCACACGGAGCAAGGTGGAGATGAGCTCCGGCAAGGGTAGGTACAAGCAGGCCGTGCTCCCCAGGTAAGCCATCCCTCCCCATCCCGGCATGCGGCCACTAACCGCGCTCCCTGTCTGTCTTCCTCCCACAGTACTGGCCATCCAGGCCCGGAAGAGGAGGCCGAAGGGAAAGAAGGAGAAGGCTCGGAAAAAGTGAGTAAGGGGAGAGGGAGAGAGGGGGCCGAACCGCCGCCATGGCTGGCTCTGGCTGGGTCCCAGGCTCCGGGCTGTCAGACCGCCATCACGGCCCGCCATGGAGGGGGCACCGCATGGGACCACCAACACAGGCACATAGAGTGCAAGCTCCGCGGGTTACCGCCTCACTGTGTAATGTTACGAGTTCAGGGTGTTTCTCTTCTGAGAACTATTTCTATATATAAATTTTTAGAATACTCGTCAATCAGTGTTCGTTTTACCATCACATTATTTGCATCATTGTCATTTTATTACAATCAAGCACATGTAACGTACATGTGCTTGTGTGTGTATATATAATGTGTGCATATTATTTATATAAACACACATGTGCTATTTATGACTTTTAATGGATACTTTTTTTTTGATAAGTGGGATATTTACTAAACTGGGAGATGTGTCGAATTGACGTTGGATAAGGAGTTTTAGGCCAGAGTAGCTATCCTGGATCAGTAGCCAAATTGGGCTCTGCGTTCAGTTGTGCTATTTTGACCTGGAATTTGATGTTTCGTTATCCATTCTTCATAATTAGCTTACTGAATTTGTGCACCTACTATTTCAAAGCATTATCTTTTTATACATCTTATTCTTTAAAAACAAAACACTCAAGGGCAGCTCTGTGACGGATTAGATAAATATCCAAGTTCTTATTGGATTACATTTCCAATAACTATAATTAAAACAGAGTTATTCACTAAAGTGAGAATTTCATATATAATATGAAATGGAAAAATACTGTCAGCTATGATTTCAGTTTGACTACTCTGGCCTTTAATTGGAACTTCACTTTGCATTCACACTTAATAAAATAACCCTGCAAAAGTCTGTTGCTAACATCATTTAGTAAATTTGATGTTAAGATTCCAGAATGTATGCAGCAAAAGTGGCGTAGAATTAAAAGCTGTTACCTGTCACGTTTTTAATGGCTTATTCACTAAATTGGGAATAGCTGACCGGTAAAAAGGTGTGTGTTTGTATATATAATATATATATTTGGTGAAAACTTCCAGATTGGTATTTAACCAAGTTTTTTTCCTAACTCCTTTGACCACATTGTCTGGTCCACAATTTCTGATTTATTTGGTGACTAAAGTCACCAAATAAATTTAATCTAAATGACGTTCTTACCTCAAGGGGTTAGACTGTTCTTGAACGGTTTGACTCCTAAGTTGCCTCCAATCAGATGTAGTTATGGAGATGTATGGTCAGGTCCCCCAGAAGGTGTTGAAATTCCTCTACAACTGGAATTCTGATGATGTTCATTGATGTATGTTTCACTTGGGTCCAGCAGACCTGTGTCCTGGGTGATAAATACTATTTGATGGTAAATAAAATGAAGTCTGTGTATAAATTGTAGGGGTGAATGGGAGCCGCCATAATAAGATGTATAATAATCCCTCTATAGCAAAGCTCCCAGTGTGACATAGGGCGCTCCTGATTGGTCAGTCAATTGTCTCTTGGAGACCGCTGGAAGCTCTCTTCACTTATCTTGCTCTGATAGTGACTAATGATCGGCAAATGAACTAGCCCTGCGCTGTAGGGCTTAGTTAAGGAAGGCTAGCATTTAGCACTTGAGTAGGAGCTTCTGGCTGTCACTAATAGTTCATGGTGGTCCACAGGTAAGTAGCCAAACCATTCTAAAATGATTTGACTCCTTACAATGAGGATGTGCTAGGGCACTGCTGTCTCCATAACCACTATTGAGTGCTTTAGTGATTATGGTGCTTGGATTTCCATTTGGACTGTAAATCGCTACATGCAAATGAGCACAGGCAGGCATTATCTTTCAGACTCCGTCTTGCATTTCTGCAAACTCTTTGGTGTTGCCTTCTGCCATATGTGCGATTTTATTATTTATTTTTTTTCTAATGTATTTTTATAATGTGATGGACATAAACTTGGTACTGCTCCTAATTTCATGTACTGATTCAATGTCTTTATTTTATATTTTTATTGCCATTAAAATGAGTAATAGATTTTATTACTGTAATTTATGAATGCATCACAGCCATGTTAAAAAACAAAACTGCCTTTGACAATTACTGAAGTGGATCTGGGAATTTATAGGAAAATACCTACATCCACTTTAGTAATATTTATACTTTATCTGTGTTTGAACGGAAATAATTTGCTACGGACTGCTCAGAAGAGCTCAATTTGAACTAAATATCTTATTCCTATATTGGTCTTATTTTATTTGTATACATTACTATTGTCTTACTTTAGTTTAAAGCAAACTTGACACAAGACAGGACTTGGTGGACCAAGGTAGCATCAAACTACTCAAATCGGTTTGATTCCTCACTTCGGCTCCATAACCATTAGTAGTGTGCAGAATTTCATGTGGTTGTATTTGGCTTAATTAAATCCATTTTAATCCATACCCAAATAAATCATTCCACCTAGGATTTACCTGTATAGTCTTAATTCATTGAAAAAGACTTCACAGGTAAATCTTGGATGGATCGATTTTTGAGAATGCTCTGTTGTGGTTATGGTGCAACTTTAATATGACTTATTTATAAAGTTAACATGAACTTCATGAAGTCAACACATCAAGTGATACTTGCAAGAAAGGTTATTGGTTTAAGTTTCATTCTTTATTTTTTATTTTAGTTTTATTTGGGATTCTGTGCGTTTGAGGCCATTTTAGCACTTTTGCCATGTGTTCTGCTGCTTTGTCACGCTTTCTCTCGTTAAATGCACTCATGAAATATTGTTTTTTTTGTTTTTGTTTTTGTTTTGTTTTTATAAATAAAACTGATAGAGCCTCCTTCTAGTACAGCGCTTCGGAATCTGATGGCGCGATATAAATAATATATCAATAATAAAGATACACTATTTAAAAATGAGTAGGGAAATATTTCACTGTTTTTGATTATAATGTTTTCAAAACTTGTACAACTTAAAAAAACAATGTCATGTAATCATGTTATTACTTACTACCCTGTGCTAAAACATCTGGTTATGTTTTGTTTTGCTTTTTTCATGCTAATACAAACAGAACATTATATTTTGCTTAGAATTATTGTAATCCTTGTGTGCTAATGCAGGAAAACTGTTTGGATTTAGCTTCTGTACTTGAGCAGTAGTAACCTCCCAATTCTGGCTTGGTCAACCCCATCATGACATACCTTTTTTGAAAAGGTAGACCACCTGGGCAATTCCCACATGGAGCATTTTGAGTCTCTTCACATGGATCTTTTATCGTGGATTTCTGCTGAATATTTCATATGGTTTTTCAAACATGCCATCATTTTGTGGATACACTTGCAGTCTTTATCCTACAACTGTAAAGAACCCGGGTTTATCTTCTGATACATCTGCTTGATAGCTCAATAACATTCTTGTATAACTTAGCAAGGCTTGTAAGAAAACATATGATCAGTTTTGATGGACAGATTTACTAGGTCCATGTCTCCTTCAAGGTGGTACTTGAATATGGGGCTTTTCTAAATAATTCCCATAATGGCATACTATTTGCAAAAATAGGCACCCCTCCCACATGCATCCATATATTTACCAGGTGGTGTGTGTCTTGTATCCCCCTCCACCCCCCATCCTTCCTTTGGCCCAACCTTCTTTTAGAGATGTTCTTGCCCAATTCTACTTCATTTCACCTGTTTTAATAGAAGTGGTTTTAATATGGGGTGGAACTGATCTAGCTGTTGCAAAAAGGGAATTTCTACTTTAGATATGTCAGAAAAGGCATGTGCTCCGAGGATGCACTCATTTTGAATGTGTATGGCTTCCCAGTGATGATCTAATAAAGTGTCACTATGATACTTTTGTGCAGTATCTTTGGCAGTACAAGCATCAGTAGAAGAAAAAAAACAACCTAATAATATATACAATATATCAGAATTTATTTAAACTATATAATTTTTTTTACTTGCATTGCCACTAAAACCCAAGCTTACCTATCTTTGTCCACCCACAACATCACATAGTAAATAAAAATGTGATTTATTTTTGAAGTGGGAAAGGCAAGTAGTAATAGGTCAAATGCACCAGTTTCACTTGACATGGGTTTTTACAATTCAAACAGACTCATATGGGTGAATAGCTAGCCTGGAAATAGCTGTTTATGCTGTATGAAAGCAAAAAAAAACTTGCCATCTGATGTGTCAACATTGTGCATTGTTTTATAAAGCGGAACATGTTGCACAGCAAGTCATGACGTTTTTGTAATTTTAAAGCATATCTCATAGTAGAGAACAATGCTTTTTCACATCTTCGGTCAAATACAAAAATGCAGAAAAATAAAATTAACCTTATGCTGGTTAGTGGTTCTACTGGGCATGTGCAGCTAGAGTCAGATGCTTATCATAAAGATTTGGCTTTTTTTTTTTTTTTTAAATCATAATTCTCCTTTAAACTTGGTCTTGGCACCAAAACCTGTATGAATCTCATATTTTCTGCATGGTTGGTGCACCCTATTCCTGAATCCCATACCCCAGTAAGAATGTGTGGGCGAATGCAAATTTATATTTCAATTAAATTATATTTTTTTCATTTTATTTAATTGCATTTAATTATAGA